GAATTCTGCCATGAGAACGGGATATATGTGGTTATTGTCGATACATTTGGCCTATTCGGTTATATCTTCACCGACTTTGGCAAGAACTTCACAGTCGGAGATGCTACAGGCGAGAACCCATTGACTGGAATTGTTGCCGGAATCAACGAGGAAGGGCTGGTCTCTGCTCTTGATGATACCAGACACGGATTTGAAGATGGAGATTATGTCACCTTCACTGAAGTTCGTGGAATGGAAGCCCTCAATAACTCAGAGCCTAGGAAGGTTACAGTTAAGGGACCATTTACCTTCTCCATTGGAGACGTGAGCGGACTCGGAACTTATCAAAGTGGCGGCCGTTATACTCAGGTCAAGATGCCTAAGTTCATTGACTTCCAACCATTCAGTGAACAGCTTAAGAAGCCGGAACTTGTCATCTCCGACTTTGCCAAATTCGACCGACCAGCCCAGATCCATCTTGGTATCCAGGCGCTGCACATGTTCGCCGAAACTCACAAGAATCAACTTCCCCGGCCTCATCATGAAGGAGATGCAAAGGAGGTCATTGCTCTTGTCCAGAAGCTTGCTGGCGAAGGCGAGGATAAGGTTGAGATTGACGAGAAACTTATTCGTGAATTGAGTTACCAGGCTCGGGGAGACCTGTCCCCCATGGCTGCTTTCTTCGGTGGACTGGCCGCTCAGGAGGTCTTGAAAGCTGTCTCCGGCAAGTTCAACCCAATTGTCCAGTGGATGTACTTTGACTCCCTGGAGTCACTTCCAACCACAATCAAGAGATCTGAGGAACTTTGTGCTCCAAGAAACTCAAGATATGACGGTCAAATCGCTGTTTTCGGCCAGGAATTCCAAGATAAGCTGGCAAACATCAACGAGTTCCTTGTTGGAGCTGGTGCAATCGGTTGCGAGATGCTCAAGAACTGGGCCATGATCGGTCTCAGCACGGGTCCTGGGGGTCAGATCACCGTCACGGATATGGACCAAATTGAAAAGAGTAACCTTAACCGACAATTCCTCTTCCGTACTACTGATGTTGGAAAGCTGAAGAGTGATTGTGCTGCCGCCGCTGTTCAGGCAATGAATCCTGACCTCAAGGGAAAGATTACCGCCCTGAAAGAACGAGTTGGCGCCGACTCCGAACATATTTTCAACGAAGACTTCTGGGCCAAGCTTGACGGAGTTACTAACGCCCTTGACAATGTTGACGCCCGTACATACGTTGACAGACGCTGTGTGTTCTTCCGAAAGCCCTTGCTTGAGAGCGGTACCCTCGGTACCAAGGGAAACACTCAGGTTATCATTCCACGACTCACCGAGTCATACTCCAGTTCCCACGACCCACCGGAGAAGTCCTTCCCAATGTGCACTCTGAGAAGTTTCCCCAACCAGATTCAGCATACTATTGCTTGGGCGAGAGATATCTTCGAGTCTCTATTTGCCGGACCGCCCGAGGTTGTAAACCAATATCTTACACAGCCAGGCTACATTGAGCGTACCTTGAAGCAGGGTGGATCTGAGAGGCAGACCTTGGAGAACCTCCGGGATTTCCTGGTTACCGAGAAACCTCTTAGTTTCGATGACTGTATTGTCTGGGCCAGACACCAGTTCGAGAAGTACTACAACAACGCCATTCAACAGCTCCTATTTAACTTCCCTCGAGACTCAGTCACTGCTAGCGGTGCTCCTTTCTGGTCTGGACCAAAGCGCGCTCCAACCCCATTGAAGTTTGACTCCAAGAATGATACCCACCTTGCATATATCATTGCTGCCGCCAATCTTCATGCTTTCAACTACAACATTAAGAACCCTGGTGTTGATAAGGATCATTACCGCAAGGTGACTGATGATATGATCATTCCAGAATTCACTCCTTCATCTGGTGTTAAGATTCAAGCCGATGATAATGAAGAACCGGAGGCACAGCCAACTTCGTTTGATGACAATGAAGAAATCAACAAGCTCGTCAGCTCTCTTCCCGACCCAAAGACCCTGGCCGGATTTAAACTTGAGCCGGTCGAGTTTGAAAAGGATGACGACACAAACCACCATATCGACTTCATCACTGCTGCCAGCAACCTGCGTGCAGAGAACTATGAGATTGAGCCCGCCGATAGGCACAACACCAAGTTCATCGCTGGAAAGATTATTCCAGCTATTGCTACCACCACTGCCCTGGTGACTGGATTGGTGATCCTCGAGCTTTACAAGGTCATTGACAACAACCAGAATATCGAGAGATACAAGAATGGTTTCATCAACCTTGCGCTTCCCTTCTTTGGCTTCAGTGAGCCGATTGCCAGCCCCAAGACCAAGTACAACGGTCCAAACGGTGAAGTTGTATTGGACAAGCTGTGGGACCGCTTCGAGATTGACGATGTCACCCTCCAGGAGTTCCTGGACCACTTCAAGAAGCAGGGTCTAGAGATTGTTATGGTCAGCTCTGGCGTCAGCCTGCTATATGCCAGTTTCTACCCACCTGCAAAGGTCAAGGATCGTCTGCCCATGAAGTAAGTTCAAAATAGTAATTGGCCTAATTAAGCACTTAAGATACGATTTACTAACGTCTCCCTAAACAGGATGAGCAAGCTGATTGCAGAGATCAGCCGCAAGCCGATCCCTGAACACCAGAAGAGCGTGATTATTGAAATACACCCCGAGACTCCCGATGGTGAGGAAGTCGAAGCTCCCTATGTCATGCTCAAGCTTGACAAGTAGCTCCTTAATCAAATGACCAAAAGAAAAACAATGAATGAAAATGGGAAACCCAGATAAAAAGGAGTCGTTTTTGCACATGCTTTTATTGCATGCTTTATTGCTCCATGTACCTAAGGATGAACCGTAGATAGGTCACTTCTGGCCGAATAGTAGCCAGAGTAATAGAATATTCTATCCATATCGATCCCGCAAGCACCTTGTACGCCTCTACATATAACAGCTGGATGTATAATGCTTCCACCATGCTCAGTCATGGAGCCGTAAGCGAAACAACTTAAAACATCCGGACGAAGCGAGCAAAATAAGCATTACTCGAGCATTTGTCATCACGTCTAGACTTTCGGCCTTTCCCCCTCGTCCAAGATTGTTAAATAGTTGGATAAAAGTAAATTGACAGCAACCAAGTATATAAGGTATCAGGTTCCTCCCTCTCGATATCTTCAATCTCACTCCCTTTCTTCATCTCCTCTTCATGCTATGATCTCTGCCCTTCGTCCCATCATCAGCTTCAACCTGATCTACACGCTCAAAGCGCCCTCTACCCCGCTGACGTCAGCCAAGAAGTTCTTATCGATATCAACTCGCAGCATGGCGGTTCGTAGTAGATAGCCCTATGCAGGATTCTAGGGAGAAGGATGATACTGACCTTTGACAGACCGGAAACGACGTAAAGATCACTTCCTGGGTGAATCCAGATGACAAGTCCGGAGAATTCAAGCGCGGACAGTCGGCGTTTAGGAATTGGATCTCCAGCAAGCCCGGAGCTCAGTTCCCGCCGGAGAAAGACAGATATCATCTCTACGTCTCTTATGCTTGTCCATGGGGTACGTTGGAATATCGCTTCAATTCGCATAATACACTTGTACTGACTGTTTGTAGCTCATAGAACCCTTATCACGAGGAAGTTGAAGGGATTGGAAGATATCATCCCCTACACCGCTGTCCATTGGCATATGGGAGAGAAGGGATGGCGATTCGTTACCCCTGATGAGAATGTGCCCGGTGAAAATGTGACGGCCGAACCATTGAATGGGTACTCTCATCTGCGTGAGATTTACTTCTCCGTTGACCCAGAGTACAAGGGCCGCTTCACGGTGCCGACGCTATATGACAAGAAGACGAAACAGATCGTCAGCAACGAGGTGAGACCATCTTTATTTCCTGAGGTGCGGGTACCCTTATTAACGCTAGGTATAGAGCTCGGAGATAATTCGCATGTTCTATCATGAATTTGACGGCCTGTTGGACGACAAGTATAAATGCGTCGACCTGCTTCCCGCGGCATTGGAGAAGGATATCGACGCTGCCAATGAATGGATTTACGACACCGTCAACAACGGCGTGTACAAGTGTGGATTCGCAACGTATGTCTACCTTCACCAATTTTAATCGAGCAAGTGGTTACTAACGAGGTATAAAAACAGCACCCAGGAAGCGTATGAGAAATCAATCACCCCACTTTTTTCATCCCTCGACAGAATCGAAGAACACCTGGCCAAGACATACACCCCTTCTACACCCTATTACTTCGGCAAAGATATCACAGAGGTAGACATCAGGCTGTTCACGACCATCATCCGCTTCGACCCCGTATATGTGCAGCACTTTAAGACGAATATTCGTGATATTAGGTCTGGATATCCAGCTATTCATCGCTGGCTGAGGCATTTGTACTGGGACATCCCGGCGTTTGGAGAGACGACGCAGTTCGAACATATCAGGAAGCATTATACCAAGAGTCATGGACAGATTAATCCGTTTGGCATTACTCCTGTTGGACCATTGCCGGATATTATGCAAAAGGATGAGGAGGTTAATGCTGTCAAGAAGTGAGGTGAGGTGATTGCTCTACAGCCTCGGGAAGGACATATATATAATTGCATATCATATCAAATTGGCACGGCTGAGTGCCCTTTATATCTCTTATCTTTATCTTTTTTTTAAATAAACAAGATGTCATGATACAAGATTGGAAATAGGCACAAATGAAATGGCTCGGCTAGTGAGCCAGTTGCATAGGTTGAAAAATCGGAAGTATCCAGGTTAAATGGAGCATGTACCCAAGCACAAGGATGGTAGAATGGCATGTAAAAGCAGGAACCAAACAATATACATAGCCCTTGAAAAGCGCGCCGGATATATGCTAACGAAATGAAGTAAAGTGAACTTACAGGTCGGGCCGACATGATGAGAATGGAAATGAGGCCGAGTGTGGGTATAGTAGGTAGGGTGGATAGGTGGGTAGATAGATGGACGTGTCGTGGGTCGTGAATTGTGGAATTCCGAGATCGTTAAGATAGACCGAATAACCGCTTTGAGTTTTCGTAGACAATATAGCTGATTGATACAGACGGGACGACTTTTAGCAGGTTTGGAGTTAGTCCTCTGAAGAGACCGTAGACACCTTCGCTCCGCACTGTGCGTACAGTCACGTCCACAATGCCGGTGTAGGTGGGCTTATGCAGCACGGTACCCTGGGCCTGGAGCCGAGTACGCAGCACGTTAAGTGGGTAAACAATGGACGCGCTCAATGCACCGCTGAATGCGCCGATGGCTCCAGTTGAGAAGTTGCTTAGCTGCACGTCAGATTCGTGGCAGTGAGCTAGTCGCGCACTGCGTGATACCAGGGTTGATTTTAGATATTCGAAAGTCATAAGGTCGATGGCGGCGAATGGGAACATCCCCAGTAAGCCGAGGGGGAGACCTCGGAAGTAGCCTGATATGCCGTTTGTTTGCCACATTTTAGAGGCAGTGGAGTATATAAGTTGATTGCCATGCAGGCCACCTTGTACGGTCTCACATTGCATGCGGCTAAAGGGGGTGGGTTAGGGACAAGAAACTAAAGAAAAGCGGTGATATTGGCAGCCTTACAATTTTAAGGTATCAAGCGGATAGACACAGCATCTAGAATTGTTAGTTAGTGGCATTTGTTTTGTGCAGGGATTAGAAAATAGCTGTGGCACAGGGATCCATACTGGGAAATCATGCCACCAATGCCACCGGATAGGAATTGTGAGATGGGTAGCAAATTCTTCGTGTCACCATGGCCTTCAAGACTGGCGAAAAAGCGTTTTGAAGCCTGAAATAAGTCAGCTAAGTTGTGCATGCAGGCATGCAGGAGGTGGTGCAGAAAAGCTCACTTCGTATGCACCAAACTTGATAGCTGACTCGGGCATGACCTTGACGACATTCAGGCCATTTCCTATGCATTATTATGGTCAATTGTCCGCCAGGACCAGGGACTATACGGCTCTACACTGAGCATAGAGATGGGGAGAAACGCACCGGCAAAAAGACTCCTGATGCCTCCAGCACGCCATAGCTCCTTTGTGGCCTCGACGATAGGCCAAGACAACCACCCCACGGCCTTAACCGGCGCACCGGCCTTGACTGCGTTGATGGCTGCACTCTTCGCGCTGTTCGTACTTGTTTGGGCGATGAGGTAGACCTTCAACCGATCAAAAGGCGCGGTAGCGGTTCGGGAGACAACGCCGGCCATCCCGCCGGCAAGGAAGTAGCCTACATGGGGGGTGGTTTCGGTCAATACTTCTTCTAGGTAGCGGTACGACAGCCATAATCTGACGAGAGAAGGGACGGTGATGAACTCTAGTTCCACTTCTAATCCCTGATCTATTTTATGGTGGTCGTTATAAGGAGGCGCAAAACAAAAGATCTCGGTGTGTGTGTGTATTGGGCTGGATCAGGCGGGAGTTGTGGTGAAGGTGGAGGGAATATGTCTTGGGGAGGACTGGTGTGATGGAGGCTGAACTCGCGGTGGAATGGATGGAAGGAAAACTGGGGGGGTTGAGGAGCTATAACTACCTGATCCTTGCAGAGTCTTGTTAATGTGCACGTCTCCTTCGGGATTGAGGGTGCCGGTTGCGGAGTAGTACGATATAACGGAACGGAGGTTATGGGTGTCGGGGAGAAAGAGGAGAAAGTCTCTTCTGGTGTGTTAGCAGCGTAGTGGTGGCAGTGGATAAATGAGGGTGTATACGAAAAGGCATACCTCCACTCGTCGAAGCTGATGACCCCGTCTCTGTTTGTGTCTACATCGGCAAAGAACTGATCTAGTTTGGAGCTCGGTACGGTCAAGCCAGCATTGGAGAATGCATCTTTCAGTTCCTGCTTATCGAGATGGCCGTTTTTGTCGTGGTCGATAGCTTGGAAGAGCCGCCATAGCTGATTTTCAGCCTGTTTAACGAAGGAGTAGAATTCTGGCCTCCCCCCACGCCATGGTCAGCATTTCTACTACTAGATCTAGAGGATGTCAACGCACCGGAATACTGTATTCGGCCATCCTGGCTTGTATCTATTGCTTTGAGAATGTCATATAGCAGGTCGTCGGCATTTTTTAAAGCTATATCAGGGAATATCAATATATGATGTAACAGTAGCAGTAGCAGCAGCAGCAGCAGACAGTAACATACGGTGATCGATCTTCTTCAGCCCCTTTTTGAACCCCTTGAAATCAACCTGCCCTTCTCCACGCGTATCCAGCGAGCTCCAGAGACGTTCTATGCGTTCATCTCGCTCTCGCGTGCCCTCGTTATCGTCCTGGGGCATTGTTGATAGGGAATGGTGGAGCAACTATGTAAGAGGGCACCGGTTTCAAGCCTGCGCTCCCAACCGGCACACAAACTGCAGACGAGCTGACAGCACCGGACGTACCAATGGCAACGGCGAGTGCAACAGTAGCAGAGAGAAACAAGTAGACGAGCAGCTGGCCTCAGTCTGCTACGAAGAGAGAGCTCGCAGGTCGACGCATCCAGGCTCTTGCCGGCGGTGCGGGCCGCAGTTGAAGGTCGTTTCGAGTGGGCTGCACATCAGACGGCGCGGCGAGGCGGTGGGATAGCAGTGTCGGCGGTTCTTCTACCCCGGCAGACGGTGTCCAGCAGTATCATCTGCTCGCTTGTCTGGCTTGAAGATGCGGACGGTGAAGTCGGCGTTGCTTGAAGTGCTTTTTCTGATGCTTTTTCGACTTGTCTTCGTCGCCCTTTTGGTTGTTTTTGTATTGGCGGCCTCTGATTGGCTGGAGGCTTACGTCATTTACCCAGCTTAGTCATCACTCTTATCAACACGAAAACGACGACAGAGAATAGAAATAGAATAGAAAATAGAGAAAGAAATAAGATAGAGAAGAGAGAGAGAGAGAGAGTAGATGAATGCGAGGCTGAAGCTGAGGATGCATGGCGGCCAACTACTGGACCTCGACGCAGCGGCGGTTCTGGCTGTTTGACCGCGAGCAGCTGGCGGAGACGCGGGCAGCGCTGGACGAGGCAGACCGAGCCTTCATTGCGCAGTATCCGCTGCCCGACCACCGGCTGGTCAACATCTACATAAACCAGCGTACGTCTGTCTGATGAGCTCGAGTAGTAGTGAGTGAGTGAGTTAGGGTAGTGTGTGCTGACGGGAGCAGAGCTGATCAAGCTGGGGAAGCGGATGAACACCCGGCAGCAGGCTCTAGCAACAGCCCAAGTATATGTGAAACGCTTCCTGACGAAGGTCAGCATCCGGCGGACGAACCCTTATCTGCTGCTGACGACGGCATTCTACCTCGCCTGCAAGACGGAGGAGTGTCCGCAGCATATCAAGTATGTCGTCTCGGAGGCTAGAGGACTATGGCCGGGTAGGTGATATCTACATCTATATATATATATATGTTTACGGAGTACGACGAAGTGTGTATCTAATATATTCCGTGGGGTAGAATTCATACTGAGCGACAGTGCAAAGGTCGGCGAGTGCGAGTTCTGGCTCATCAGCGAGCTCAACTCGCAGCTGATCGTGCACCACCCGTACCGGACGCTCTCGGACTTCTCGTCGACGCTGACTAACACGGCGAGCTCGGGGCTGACGCTGAGCTCCGACGAGATCGCGCTGGCCTGGTCGGTAGTGAACGACAGCTACCTGACGGACCTGCCGCTGCTCCAGCCACCGCACGTCATTGCGGTGATGGCGGTGTTTGTGGCTGTGGTGTTCAAGCCGGGAACGAGCAGCAGCACTATCACCATCGCCAGCAGCAGCAGCAGCAGCAGCACCGGCACCAGCACCAGCACCAGCACAGGGGCAGGAGGCCCAGGCACCCTCGCCAGCGCCGGCGCCAGCACCAGCACCAGCACCGGCACTGGCACCGGTCCAGGAACAGGCACGACAAGTTCTGCCGGGATGGCGGCGGGCATACGAGAAGGGATGGGCGACGGGGGCCGGGTGCAGAAGGTCATCGAGTGGCTGGCGGGCAGCGAAGTGTCGATCGAGGCCGTGGTGGAATGCACGCAGGAGATGGTGGCGCTGTATGAGGTGTGGGAGGGCTACGGGGAGAAGGGCCTGCGGGAGGCGATAGGCCGCTACGTGCGGGGGAGGTTTCTCGACAAGTAGCAGCTGCAGACGCCAGCCAGACAACGGACGAAGAGGAGCAGAGGGAGGAGGAGCAGGAGGAGCAGGCTGGCTGGCGCTGGCGTTGGGCCTCTGCATGTACATGTTTCGACCTGCAGCCTGCGTCTTGTCGTCGCTGTCACTGCTGCAGTGCTATTAATGGATGAAACTCGGCGCTAAAATCCGGAGATACTTCTGTCTGTATGTAGGAGCGTAGGAGAGCCGAAGTACCCCCTGGGTCCGCTGGGTCGCTGGGCTGGTCAGGCGGACGATGATGCAAGGGTATGCGCTGCCATGCAGAGCGACTTCTGCCGCCATAGTAATTTGTATGGCGGCCGAAGTCACGCTCCACAGCGCTGCATCGATCGGCATTTCTGGTTCAGGCCTAGCGGCAGAATCCACTCCTGGTCGCTTTTTTCTTCGCTTTTCGCTCGTTCGCCCGCCTCACCGCCTTCGCTTCCCTCTTTCGACTTTCTTCGACTTTCGCAACTCCGTCACTTTTCCCATCTCGATCTTGATACTCTCGACATTCTGATCTTCTTTGCCTCTTCTTTGCATCTTCTTACTCTTCTTGCTCTTCTTACTCTTCTTACTCTTCTTACTCGTCCTACTCCTCGTTTATTTTCATATCTCCAGTCGATCTGTGTCGAGTCATCCCCTATGTCTGCGCTATTCTTCGCCCACCACAGCCCACAACACCAACAACAACACCACCACCACCAGCAACACCCGGCGCCGCCAACACATCTGCCAGCAGCGACAGCAGCCACCATGTCTCACCACCAGCATCACCAGCACCAGCACCAGCATCAACATCAGCATCAGCACCAGCACCAGCATCAGCACCACCACCGTCGTCGACAACGGCTCACCCCGTCCAACGCCGGCGCCACCTCGACCCTCAGCTCGCTCACCACCCCCTCGACAGCTCCCGCTCCGTCCTCCGCCTCTGCCTCGTCCTCGGGCTCCCGCCAGTTCCGCGGCGTCAAGTCGATGCGGGATCTCGTCGAGGCTCCTGCCATCACCGCCTTCCGGGCCCGTTTCGAGGCCGGACGCTCCTTTGACCTCGACGACGACCTCGAGTTCTGCCCCAACTTGCTGACCGAGGACGACCTGCAGTCCATCCACTCCCTGGCTGCCTCGGACCGCAGCTCGCTGGGCAGTGCCTCGCCCGACTCGTCTCCCTTGCAGCACCAGGTTCACCCCATGCAGCAACACCACATCAACGGCATGGGCGGGCACATGGCCATGTCGGGCATGATGGGCAAGATCCATCAGCCCGCCGCCGTCAGGACACGGAATGCCATCCCCATCGTCAACCCGAGCACCGGCATGCGAGTCTCCAGTCCCACCAGACGGGAGTGGTAGATTGACTTCACCACTCCCCATACGTTCTTTTTTTCCTTCACGCCATGACGAATCGTCTCTCGCTCGCTATTCCAGTCTATTCTTCTTTTCCTTGCATCAACAACACTATACCATCTATACGGACTTTTTCGGTAATCGACGAAAACCTCGTTTCTGCTACCATTTTTCTTAACCCTATTCTTCATCTCTCTCGACGGGCTGAGCGACGGCGTGTATCTTTTTCCTCGACCTCTATTTTTTTTTATACTGCAAATCATCGCTTCTCTTAACGATATGCCAACACTATACTTATACTACATACAATACATATACGGAGCGGACGGACGGAACTGGAGGAATAGTCGGTGTTTTCATGCCCTTGTTTTCACTTCTTCACTTCTCGACTTCACTTCTTAAAAAAAAGACCTTTTTCGAATTCCCCCCCATTTCGAACTCAAAAACATTTGCTGTTTATACCATTATCTCTTGGATTACTTATTTGCCCACTACTGGATACTGGATACCGGATACTCGTCGTTGGTTTGGTTGTCGTTTACCTGATGATAGAACGCCGGCTGCGTCGTCGTGTTGTTGCCTTTTGTCGGTTCATATCTCATTGTTGAACTCATCTCCCTCCCCCCAATGATACATACATATTACATTATAAAAAACTACCCCCCCGGATGGACGGTCGGTCGGTCGGTCGGATGGATGGATGGTGTGTCTGTTGCTGTACTCGGGTGTTGTTGTTGTCGTTGTTGGCTGGCTGGTTGGTCGGTTGGTTGCATCCTTTTCCTACCCATATCATATACTCGTCTCCTCCCTTCTTGGTTTCTTCTCTTTTTTCCACAGAAGTGTATTCTGCCTGCCACATTTTTTGTCTTCCCCTCTACTACTATTATTTATTTCTCCGTCTCTCTTTTTTTCTCTCTCTTCCTTCTTTCTCCTTAATTCTCCTCTACCCGCTTTCTCTTCTCCTGTCTCGTTGAACATTCTTCATTAATATCCTCCGGTCTCCCTCCAAAAAGGACTCGACGGAAAAGTGGACATGCAAAGGAAAAAGGACAGAAAAGAAAAAAATAAGACCGCCTGCCTGTTAGGGCGCTGAATAAATAATACAATGAACATTCTACTTCGTCTTTTATCTTCTTCTCCCATCAACTATTGCTTCTTCTTCCACGCTTTGTGTAGTTAAGCAAGATTCCAGCCCTGGAGGCCTATGACGTCACACCTCGGATGCGCAGAACTTCTCTCCAACCCAGCAGCTTCTTGCGTGTATCAAAAAAAACCAGGAACTTATCGACTCCATTAATTGGCCGGGTCCTTGCTGCTGCTGACTTACACAAACGGGCCGATTGGAAGAAGGTGGTAGAACTCGTCATCCATCCTTGCGTTGGCCGTTTTGCTCTTATATCTCTGCTACATCTCGAGACATCCTACCAAACAACCCACCCCGTTACTATACACTACCACTATACACCGCTACTACTACTACTACAATGGCATCCATCACATCCACCTTTCGCTCCTCCATGCTCAGAGGCAGCAGATTCCAGCTCCGTCCTCTCACTAGACCTGCCTTTAACCAGGCATATCTATTCCACACGTCTCCGTCCTACAGAGCCCTGAAGGAGGAAGACAGACGTGCGTCCACCCAGCCCTATGCAAGTATCCGTTTGCAAATATAGTTCAGAAACTAACTGGCTGGCTACCCAAACAGACCGAGACACACAGGAAGTATCTTCCGAAGTCGAGAGGGAGAAACATGAACACTTGTCCAAACACAAGGAGGGCCATGGGAAGTGGAATAATAGCCTTGCCAGCAGTAGTGAGGCAGATGTATGTTTTAGTTACACCTAGCTCCTCCTGCGGGTTATACGGGGTTAACTAACAGTAATACTTAGGTCAAAGCCGACAGAGGAGAGGTAGACAGTGTGGAGACGGAGCAGATGGAAAAGGAAGTGCGCAAGGCGAGGACTATCAATAAGGAGACTAAGGGGGCTTCTAAGTGAAGTTGTTATACGGGACAAAAGTTAGGCAGGATAGGGTGCATTCCCTGTTTTCGGGCTGGGGATAAGTAATATGTGTAAAAATGTATATATCATATCCAGGCGGAATAATGCGTGTATGCTCCCCCGTCTCTACTTTAGGATAGCAATGGCTGGGCAAATTGCATCGAAAGGCTTTGTGCCGACATTCACCCTGCTATCAGTTCAGGATTTTCTGGCCTGGGCTCCTTATATAACTGGGTATGTGAAGTTCAACATATCCATATTTTCCTGCACAATATCCCAGGCATGGTGATCTAATCGAGTCAGTGATTTGAATGTGTCTTCACTTCTGCAGAAATACATCTGTGAATTCTTAAAGACTGTATCACCAGTGAGCGGTCCCCATACGAGAACCTGGAGCTTAGGCAGTCCATCGTCGCTGAATGCCCATTCTGCAAACTCAAGCAGAGATAAGATTGAAGCCTTGCCCGACTTCCTTAAATCCTCCACGGTAGGTATATCGTCATCTATTTAGGAAGGTTAGTATAGATAATTGTAGTATATTGGTACTGTTCAGGGGTACATAGTCTTACCGTCCAAGCACACCCCTTCTCCATAAAATAATTGACCTACGCCTCCCGAATTATCGTCCGTTATATTCTCACGAAATCCTGCCCGTCGAATTTGTAACAACCGGCACGACGGTCTTGGAGACAGCCTCTGCCATTTCTCAATCTAATTGCGGCCAGACAGTGGTTAGTGAAAAACGCACTATGGCAGTAAGATGCATTAAATCCTGGGCTTCACACTCACTGGTATTTTAAGCTGCATTCTCAGCGAGATGCACTCTACCGGAGAGCCCGTCAGTAAGGGATAAAAGAGGTCATCTGAAATTTCCACGGGATACGATGAAGGGTCTTCTAGCCGAATGGTGCCGTGAAGAAGCAGGCGGCGAAGCGCTGGATAGTGGTTCTGGATAGTTTGGCATTCAATGGCTTTGAGGGAAATACGTGGTATCGAAAGGTAGAGATCTTCGAGTGTTTGAAATGCCATAAGGAAACTTGCAAGAGCAGCAGACAGAGTTTCAGCGCTTCTAAACTCAAGGCCAGATGGAACAAACTTGAGTTGAAACGACACCAATCTTAAAGGTTTGGTAGAATTGCTTAGAGCATCAAGGAAAGTAGATGTTCCATTGCAATTGTGTAGCTTCAAGCAGCGTAGGCAGTCAAAATTCAGTGCAGATACAATATCTGCCTCCATCTGATTGAGAGATATCCCCAGTGATAGTGTTTCAAGGTTGAGTAAAGCTTGACTCTCTCCCGCTTCCTGGCTACCCAAAAGTAAAATCTTGATATCAGGGGTGCCGAGGTTAAAAATGTCAAATGTTTGTTCCTCCGGGCCTATTTGTAACTCCAATGTAGTGAGTTGGTGGCGCAACTGGAAAAGCCTCTGTACCAGTTTGAGATCTGCCGGATGCTGCGGGGATGTATATCTCAAAGAACGGAGATTGCGGAGGTGGGAGATATCCGTTGGAAAGTCAAGTTTCTCATCATACATCACGCACCTAACTAAATTAATACTCTTGATCTGCTGTTGGCTGGCGAGCAATCCGCGCTCGCTGCTAAATATTTCACTGGGAAGACGCGGCCCCAATTCCCAGCTAGACAGAATTGAATTTAGCACACCATGAGATAACTAAATAACTAGTATAGTTGAGTGGGCGAGAAGACAATACCTGAAGGAGCGTAGGCTGTCCCGAGGAATGGCTAGAACTAGGGTAATGATGGCCTTCATAATTCCCCTCCTGAACTCCTCTGCTGTGATGGTGTTTCTACTGTCACCCCTGTCACTCATTGGAGACGGAGGCAACAGGAGTAACTCTTGATGGGTGAAGGAGAGATGCCTTGTATGCTTTAAGTATTGCAGTGGTAGCTGTTCAATCTGGGCTGCTAATGTACCGCTCAGTCCGTAATACGTAGTGAGCCTAGGATGCTTGACGGTTACATGGTCGTATAGGGCTGGAAGAGCGATGTTATTAAGGAACTTGCAGGCCAGACAGAGGTTCCGTAGGTCCTTTTGGTGCCGTATCTTTGCCCGTTGGTTAGCCATCGGTTACTCACAAGTCAAAATAGATAACAATGTCGTTGTATATCCAGTCGGTAGGACTCACTTGGCTCATGATCAATCCCCATATCTCCAAAGGCAGCTTCGACAGGACTTTCATGGGCGTCTCCGCGTCAGAGGAAGACGCCCCCATGGATCGCAGCCGAGGGACCATTGCAGACTCACACTAACTGATGGATCAGCTGCTGGTCGGTGTAGCTGAGAGTCTTGTAGCTGGCATCCAAATCATTTCAGATGCAAGAAGGGCGGATGTTTTGGATATCATTGCTTTGCAGCCACGAACCGTGCCTTCCGCGCTGTCGACTGGTCCTCCTCCGTAGTAACCAGCCCCTGAATGTTCTAAAGCTGCCTGTAACAAGCCGGGTCTATCAAATGCTGCTTGCACGGGGATATCAACAGGCGCAAACTGACTGCTTGATGAGCCCATCGGCCAGCTGGAGCTGCTCGAAGCCGCCAGGGCGCAGTCACCGGCGCGTCGTTTCATGTACCAGCTGTGTTTGGCCATGTTGAACGACTGATGATAACATTTAAGACGCCATATACGTGACATAACTGATTGAGTCGCTATGTGCTTGGGTATAGAGCCCATCTTGTTCCGGCTGTCTGCTCTCAATAGTAAGGTAGCCATCTTTATCAACTGTGGATGTTGACTAACTACCAAACACCCACACTTATTGCCCCAGGAACCGGAATCCCTTGCAAACGGGACCTGGAGCCAGTGGCCACCAAATAGTCTCTCTGGCCAACCATGGTCGTATAGTTGGTCAGAGATGTGGTCGAACATATACGGATCGGGCTGGGATCTGGTATGCCTCCGTCTGGCTATGTATTGGTTTGTTAACCAGTCAACCAACCTCTGCAGTCGTCCTATCTTGGTTGGTGCCGTATAATGCTATCGTTTCAATTATTATGGCCATGGGGTTTGGCCCGATAGGAATAGAAGCGGGTATGCTCGATGGGTCGATGATGATGCAGCTCACGACCAGAACTAACAATATTTTGTTTTCACCAAAGGATCCCCGGCAGCCGCCTATCAGTCCTGCATGTACGGTGGATTTACACCAGCCGGGTGAATATTCGCTAAGTCGACAAGCCGGACGATACTGGGAAAACTCCTATGCCCAGCCCGGGCGGTTGCTGGTGCTGCTGCAACTGGTATTTCTGGGGCCACTGCATACGTTTGGAATCTTGCAGCTGACAGGTGATTTTGGAGATGATACCAGAGGAGATATCTGTCTATTAACTCCATTAACGAGACGCCCAGAATGATAATTAACGATGTATGCGTAGTTAATGGTTCGTGGTTCGTAGTTAGTTATAAAAGTCTTCATTTTTTCATTGTTGAAAGGAACTATCCATAAAAAAAAGGGGTGAAGAGCAGTAGCATATCTAAGTCTCTTCCACAGGCTTCAACCTGAGCACAAGCTATGCCGGTGTCTGCTAATCCTATGTTACTGCATTGTGCCTGCTCAACCCTCCATCTCAGTTGCACGAGTGACCCCCTGGACAGCAGTGTGGCTACGTCCACCGATACATGCACCACACTCAGGACAACGAGCGAGCTCCATTGGCATTCCGCACTCTCCGATTGCGAACTAAAGGACTAGTTAGCAAAGTAAAATCCTAGGTTACTGGTATGTGTGGTCATGATGAACTTACAGGGTGTCCGTTTGAACAGTTGTACCAATGGCCCGAATGAGTTGCAATCCCGTTGGGACCGCTGAGCATTGCTGCCTTAATGGCTTCTTTCTCAGCTACGGTGACTTCTTCATACCATTCGGTCTTCATTGAGCGTATGGACTGTTCAACAAGGGCACGCAGGCCCTCGGCGTTGTGGAAGGGCCGCTGGCAGGTCTTTAGAGCCTTCTCAAGCAATTCCTTTGCCGTCTCTACAAACTTTGTAGCGGCGTCAATTTTCGTTTTGCCCGAGCGGCAATGAGCCTCGAATGAACGTGCAATGCTAGCAAACAATAAAGTCCCTTCCACAGCTAGTTTTGGGAGGTTTTGGGTATCACACTCAGCAATATATTTCTTGCAGGTCTGGAAAAAGAATATGGCAAGTTTATCGGGACTTTGACCCGGGAGTTTTATGAGAGCGTTTTTCGACCTTAGGGCCTTCGACAGAACAAACCCATCATCAATGATAAGGAAATTTACCTTGATCAAAGCCATCTTGCCACCCATAGTGATTTGACTATCACGGGAGGCAGTTGGGGCAGGCTCCGCGTCAGTTATTCTCAGGGCCGTTAACAAGGTATCAGAGGGTAGCTGCAAAATCGCCGCTCTTCTCACTGCATGCACGGTAGCTTCATGAAGTTTCTGTGCGGGCTGGCATTTGTCTGCAAAGACTTTGCAGAACTTTTGCACACCGGTTTTGAGATCTTCGGATCTCTTATAGCCGTCACGCAGTAGTTTGTTAATATTAGAGACTGCCATGAGAGTAAGCTCGTAGCCTTCATGAATGTCCATAACCTTCTTTCTGGTTTCTTGTTGCCAATTCTTCAGTTCCTCAATTTGTCGTTCTAATTCTTGGAGGCCATCTTTTCCGCTTGAGAGGAAGCGTCTCGACATCTCGTCAATGACTGCCCGATTAACTACCCTGTTATATCTCCGTGTAGCAAACTGTCTCACTGGACATTTGCAATCTGGACAGAAAGGTATGGATGGCGCCAGATTTGTAGATATGTCTTTCAATCCAGTAAACTCCCCGTTTTTGTCAATTTCATATACGGCAGCCATATTCATCAGACAGTCCACGGATTCCGTTGTGAAGAAATAGCCACATCCAAGAACAACGATTGGAGTCTCGCTAACATCAATTTCTTTATAGGATTTCATCTCAACAAAATCCACTCGTGCATCAAGCTTAGTAGAGCACTTTTAACAGTAGCCTTCAGCACATTCTTCACCACAGATTCCCGGGCATTAGTGTCCGCAGGAGAGGTTCTTCGAGCAGCGTTCGTTGCAGGGAAGACGATTACATGGAGCAGCACATAGCAGCTCGCAGGTCCCCTGGTGCTCGCATGACCAAGTGCAGCTTTCAATACAAGGAGCACACGGTTCGTGGCAGCGTAGCATGCAATGAGAATGAGAACATCTAACCTATTTTATGAATCAGCATGGATTTCAATATGTTGACAGGGCTGAGCCATAACGCTAGAATTACCTCGCAGGGGGCTAGACAAGGACCACAGTCCGTACCATCATGGCAGGTTCTAGGACATGTGTGGTTGCAAGTTCCGAACCTTCTTCCACATATTTTGGTACATTCGTGGTGCTCTCCATTGTAGCATTCGTTGCAGGTCCCTGGACAGCGGTGGCCACAGGGCAATGATTCTTCGCATTTTGTGGGGCATAAGAAAGCCATGGAAGAAACGTCTCGGAAGCATGGAGCATCCACGAGATGATCGCATTTTGGGACTCGTTTTTGGACCATGACATTGCACTTGATGCTTTTAACATCCTATGTTCTGTAGCAAGGAACACCATCCTTGGTGTGTTCACATGGAAGCAGGACGTTGTCAATCTTTATCATGCAGACGCCACAATCCTCTCCACAGGTTTGTTTTTGGCAGCCGTGCTTGCAAGGAGAGTGTAGGCGTTGGCATGGTTGTGGACACTGAAACACTTCGTGCATGGCATCTAAGTGGCAACGGGCCAGGCACTTGTGTCCGCAGGTAGTTAAACGCCTATCACAGGGCAATTAACATCCTCCTTCCGGGCTAAATTTTTCGAAATCCAGAGGTTCAGAGACTTGCATCACTATATCCATATGTCGGGGACAACAAAGCCCTAGTTACTTTCCAACCGATTGCTCAGCATCTAACATACCTATAACTTTTACCCACATTAGTACGTTAGAGTAAGTGTCTGCATTTCCAATCAAATACATGCCATGCTGAGCCCGGCTAAGGAGGACATTAATACGGTTGGTCGTTCTCAGAAATCCAACTTTCTTCTCCTTATTGCTTCGAACGAGAGAAATAATGACTATCTTGCTTTCCTCGCCTTAGAAATTATCGACGGTTACGATACGAAGGAACTCGCTTAGTTTTTTCTTTTCAACAGATCTCTATTGACGTTTTACAACATCCTTTTGGTCTTCTTCTAAAGACGTGCTTGTCTCTTCATCAAACCCGTCCTTAGCAAGTATCTCTAGATCCCGGTCACTCAAGACAATTTCAAAGTCGCTCCTTAATTTTGCTCGCAGCTTCTGCAATTGGCCAGTATAAGGCGTTAACACAGCGATATCTTTACTCTCATAAACACCTTGCCGAATAATATGACGGACAAGAGATTAAGTCATATCCACTTCCCAGCTATTACTGTGTGACATTTGGTGTCGATCGGAACTCGACGAATCTTCTATATTCTCATAATCAAGCCAGAATACATTATTTCGCATCCCAACCACATCAGGAAACGTTTTTGTAGATGGATGATCAACAAGGCGAGGATAAAGGGTCATCCGAATCAAACGAGAGATTTCAGGGCGCATTCGTCTCTGGGTATCTAGCTGTGCTACCGGAAAGGGAGCTCTGCCTGGTTCTCCAATGGAGAGCCGTTCAAACTGACTTCGATCAAGCTGGTAAGCTCCGCCCTGCTTGCTTTCAAGCGATAGTTCGTAGTTGTTGATCTGCGGACGTAACTGCTGGTGGTCTCCTATTTGAATGAAATGCTCGACATTCGGCAGTAAGGCTGATATCATATGGGGCTCCATAACCTCTCCAGCTTCCTCACAGATGACGACTTTGCTTCGTAGGCGTCGAAGGACAGAAATTCTTTTCGCAAGCCCTGTCGTGGTAACACCTATGACTTCTGCATCCTCAAGCACCCTTCTATCTCTCTCATCGTGTATCCTATCGAGCTGTTCGTGAAGTTTAGAGCACTCATCCACAAGTTCAAATAACTGATCACGGTGGATTTCACAATATTCTCTAGCCCAAAAATTAATCAAAAGTTCTCTCTCGGGAATTGGCAGATTGGATATATCGTCTGTACCGACGCGCTCGAGAATTTGTACAATATTGGCTTCTTCGTTTGCTGAGAACCGTGCTCTAAGCTCTCTTGGTATCGCCTTTTCACACCAGACATCAAATGGATCTTTTCCCGCAACCTTGTAACCGTCCCCGCCAACCTGGGAAAATTCATTGAATGCCAGGGGGTATCTCTGCTTAATATGGCCCTTAAGTCTATGCAGAATATTGGCCTTCAGACTTCCCCAGTTCTGTTCCTTTCTCAGAGCATGCAAAGCGCCGAGTGAGGTAGCAATCAGGGGCTCCTTTGTCCGAAGGGCTTCGTATGTTCTAGCAGCGCAAAATGACTCGTTCCTTGTCTTTCTCTCGCCATTTGACACAACTCGTAAATTATGGCCCTCTAAGATCTTCGACTTGCTTTGGCCTCCGATCCGAATAAGCTTCTTAACACCCGCCTTTATTAATTCCTCAAGGAATTGATCCAAGGCATGATTAGTATAACATCTAAATAAGAGTTAGTCTTTCAACATATAAATGGCATGCAGAGCAACATACACAACTATGACAGGACCCAACTTTGACTTCTTCCTGCAGGCTAGCAGGACCTTCATCAGGTGGACACCAATGTACGATTTTCCTGTACCCGGCGGGCCCTATATAAATGCATACTCTCTGGTCAAGGCTGCTATGAGCGCTTGGCATTGTCCATGGTCAAGAGTAGTCCTCTCTTCAAGGTTTCGAAGAATGGCTATGTTGCAAGAGGTAGTGGGACTGAATGACAGGCTATCACCCTGTCTTGTGAGTATAGGATCCAAAAGAAAAAAGTAACTTCGATTCCTAGCATAAAGTGGTGGGAGTATTTGGGCTGGCTCTCCAGAAATAGTAGCCCGATCAGGTAATATCCACTGAGAGAAGGGTATATAGCCAGACAATTGCATGGCCTGGAGATTTGTCAGAATAGGCATAAACGTTGCGGGAATTACTCCCGGAAACTCAAATAAAACTCCATTTGTGCTCTTGCTACTTAACTCTGTTAACAAGGCAAACTCCGCCTGGTTACGAGTTACCAGCTTGGTAGTAACCGTAGCATTATATTCGTTTGAGCCCAAGTTGCGAGACTCCTTGAGATCAGTGATTTTTTTGCCAACGGTAAGAAACAAAATGGAGGGTATTCCACATGAAACAGCAACAAAGCATAGAAGAATACCTTCTTCTAGGCGCTTTGAGTCTGCCCACCACTTGCTCCTCTCAGCAGGGGTCTTCTTTCGAAGAGCGGGCAGTTGACTGAACGATACTTGAGCTTCGATGCCTGCTCTTCGTTCAAATGAAACATATTGAATGCAAGCATTGGGATACGCATATGCTCGAATATCTCCAACAGGAATTTTCCAGGTTCGCTGTATGCTTTCATCTTCTTTCATGGCGTGTATCAATATCCCAAGAGCATGTTTTAATTCTCCGAAAATGTCATGTCGAAGTAGGCGAAACAAAGTATCTATGTGACGCTCAGTGGCATTCGTGATGAAAGAAGGTTGATCACGATCGGTCGTTGGTAGATAATCAGGCAGTTCACAACAGATCTCTTCATTGGTTGGCATTATCCTGATCTTTGTAATGTCAGCGTGGTCATTATCATGTCGAGTTCCTGGCACCGTTATCGGCCGTGGATAAGACGACTTGAATGTTGCAGTTGAGATCCCATCGACTGTGGCAGTATTGTCAATCTCTTTGTCTTTTAATAGGCCAGTTGCACGCCCAATCCTAGCTCTAACCTCAGCGATGCTGGAGTTGAATCTAATGAATTGTGTGTCAATTTCAACTGCGTTAGCAGCATACTCTAAAGAAGTGACCAAGTCCGGCAGCTCATCATTGTACACTGCTCGTTGTTCTCTCCTCAAGAGCTCGTGCAATGCAATTCCCACAGACGTGAGTGTAGTCTCAGCCACAGCTTTCGGAATCACTAATTGAGCATAAGCCCTTGTGAGATTTGTGCAAATACGTGTAAAAAATCCGACTGCTCTTTGGCCGTTAGTGCCACTGATGAAATTATACAGCCCTCCAACAGCAGTGTCGATCGAAAGACAGTCCAGCATGGAAGGATGGGTAATCACTGCAAGAAAGGGTTGTGAAAGCTCAACAAAAGTTCGACATCCATTACCATGAGACTTCATACTCAAGAGAATCTGAATATGCTCACGGCCAAAATTTTCGTCCGCATCAAGATCCCGAGGGAGCATCTGTTTCCAGTTTCGATCGAACCCTTCCAAGATATCAAGTGCTCCAGTCCATAGGCGTTTTATCGTAGCAAGGTCATTTTGCTTTGGAGGACTCTTGATAATCCGCTTCCAAGCGTTGTAGTCTACTCTTTCTTGCTGTTCCTTTGGAGAATTGGATGACTTGACTCGCTCATTGCTAAAATTCGCGATATCATGCGAATACGTGCAGTTCTCGCCATATGGACACGTCTTTGCATGCTCGATAAAGCGACACAGCTTGGTCTGGGTTCTCTTCTGGCCGTTCTGCTTGCCTGGCCGCGAATTTTCCCCCATTCTCTGCACCCTTCCAGGGGGACGGACCTCCCGCCTACCGGCCCTGCCTCCTGGTTTCGCCATGAGGCAGGCCAAATCTTGAGGATGGTATCGAACAGCAGTCCTCGTTGATTCAGGTTGAGTATTCTGGCCAACAGATAGAAAAGGCTGATGTGAGAGGGAAAACAAAACAGGTTAAGAGTGGTGTTGATGAAAAATTCTCATTCTTGATGCCCTAACGCGTTTTTATATCGTTGTAGAGGAACTTTCCGGAAACTAGCAGGATAGGACAATCATAAATTTTTATTTATTGGCACTTCTCTGTGGTTTTTTCTGTCTTGGGCCTGGAGAATGAGCTCTTGAGACTCTGCTGGCTTTATCATAAACCGAACAGGCGATATTATGTAGTATATGCGACCATATACTACCAACTATCACCATTAAGGATATCTCGGGAGTTGTGCTTCATCCCTTTCTTAAGTGATAAGCGAGTATTCTATTCCCAGAGGTGAACCTCGCCAATTCAAGAAGCTAGAATTCTCCATAATGACCCGGTCTACTATCCTTGATGAAAAGAATAGTAACATGTCTCAAAGAGACAGTACGATAAGCGAGCGCCTCTGTATATCGATGGACCACCTCTGCTTCAAAGGGATTCCTGTTGATAATATCTATGAATGGAATATCCATAACTGTGCTCCTTCATAGGTGATTGGCAATCAGTCGTTTCGAAAATTACTGCAGATGCGCGACACCCAAGTGGCCTGCGGGTGAGAGGCATGAGGGCAGGGATTTCGTCATGAGGCTGAGGGAAGATAGCTTCTTAGACCAGGCGCATTTTGCTGCAGAGTTTGTGGGATGGCGTTTAATCTTTCTCGTATTCATTTTATTCCCAACTCAGCCCAACTTCGAAAAAAACATGCAGGCCGTTGATCTGGGATGATGCCTGCCTCTAAATGCGCCAACAGTCCTCTTGTGGCTCCAGGCCTGTTCATAGTTGGCCTAGGGTCGCAATACCCGCCGTATCTTCTCGACCATGAAAAACTAACTTGCTTTGCCGGACGGTTTTACGATATCCGGCGCCCTGGGTAAGGTATCAAGCAGGACGAGGCAGCATTCCACGAAAGCGTAAAAAGTAACAATGGCTAACTCTTGAGATATCACCATATAGTCTCCAAAAGCTGCTTCAAATCAACGCCTCGACAGGAATTGAAACTCGCTCATCAATTCGATCTTATGAAACTGGATTTGCCTGCGGCCCCATTCCGCCATCGATCGCTGACCTTGACGAGCTATTTCGTCAGGATGGGGTCGATCTCGCGGTGCAAGCGTGCATGAAAGCAATGAAGGAAGCGGGCGTCCTTCCAGAGCAGATAACACACACTGTCAGTGTAACGTGTACCAACCAAGGGAATCCTGGGTATGACCTCCTTGTGAATGAAAGGCTTGGTCTGCCGGAGAGGACAAGCCGTATATTACTCCATGGAGTAGGATGTGCTGGCGGATTGTCTATTATGAGAGTCGCTTCTCAGGTTGCCTGCGGAGCAACTATGCGCGGAAAACCAGCTTGCATATTAGCGTATGCCTGCGAGCTTTGCACGCCTAACGTTCGGCATGACCTGGCAGAGGCAGAACAATGTATGGATCTCATTAAAGTCAACATAGCTGGCACATTGTTCTCGGACGCAGCGGCAGCGTTTATCCTGTGCAACAAGACTGCATTGGAGGAAGTTAACGCGAGTCCGATTTTCGAACTTATTGAATGGGACAATGCTCTACTACCGGACACTATGCAGCACCTCACATGCTATACGGATCCATATGGTAAGTATATGTATGCTCTCGCTGATATGTCTCTGCGGTAGAGGAAATATTGACTGTTCATAGGCTTTCGGAGTGTTTTGAGCAAAGATATCCCAACGTATGCAAAGGGAGCGATTGGACCGATGTTCCATAAGCTGCTGCCATCGTATAAAGAGCAAGTATCCGCAGCAGATAAGCATCTGGGCATAGACGATTTCGATTGGGCGGTGCATCCTGGAGGGAAAGCTCTGATTGACGGTGTCCAGGAGACAATGCAGTTGACGGAGGACCAGCTTCGAGCGAGCCGAGAAATATATAAAACCCGAGGAAATTCATCGAGTCCAACCATACTATCAGTCCTTGATCGGTTGCGGACGTATGAGAAGAACCGGGGCCATGTTGTGGCCGCATCTTTTGGGCCCGGCATGGTTATTGAGATGGTGATGCTGAAGCGGTGCGAGAGGAACTCCCCGACTGCATGATTATTGTAAAGCACGGCGTCAATTTTGCCATCTCCCTGGCCGTAATTGGCACACAATAGATTCAGAATTGTACACCGTAGATATATTTCTGGACCCAGTGGTCGTTATATCTGCAGAGGATAGTATGGTATCCAGCTCCATCACACCAACACCTGAGCATCTTTCAAGGCTTGTATGGCTTCAGCAGTCCACTCCTGACATCGCCTGATGGGCTCCTTGGGATAAAGCCTCTTTGCACCGTCGAACTGCTTCCGTGGAGGAATGCCTTCGCATATCCCCTGAATCCGATGGTAGTTCGCGTGCGTAACAGTCCCGATCTCCTGCTTGCCGACGAACGAGCTCGAGGCCTCCGGCTGGTCTTCAGGTCTCTGCTCGAAGGACATGCCGTTCTATATATTCCCCGTAACCTGGAATAAATGGCCGGTCTTTTCGCTGTTCTCGCTGGTCTCGACGAAGATGGCGTGGTGGTCGCGTGGTAGGCCGGCGGAGGCGACACGATAGACGGCGTACGACATCATGGGCGGCGGGAATCTAGAGATAAGATGATAACTAACCAGATAGTTTTATTAGAAACAACCGTCAAGTTGTAGACGGAAGAAATCCAACATTGCAGATCACTTTGTTGTTAACTAACTAGCTGAAGGAATCTAACTGTCTTTAGTTACATGAATCGCACATCAAGGCCTCCACGCCCAATAACTAGTTAGTTAACTAGGATCCATGGATGTTATTAGTTAACTAACAGCTAAGACTCCAGCTCCAAGCAAACCGCAGCCAGAAGCGCCTCTACGATGCTCCGTTTATACCCCGGACCAGCAATCACCAAAAATCTCCAGAAAAGCGATAGCAACAGGCAAATGCCATGTTTCTGCATACCCTGATACCCCAATGGCTCCTCTAAGCTCCAAGGTGACTCTTTCATCCACGTCCTGATACTGAGTCCAGCAGCCAAAGCCGGTGGTGCTCTGGGGCCAGCTGGTGCAATTATGCACAATATCAGACAGGCCTACCGTTTCATGCGAGACCATCTCGGCGTACTGGCTTTGCACAGCGGCAATGCTGTCCGGCCTGGTTCTCCCAGAACCGCAGTGGACGCGGATTGGCAGGCCTTGACATCTACCAGGTCGGCACCAAGGGCTGCATATACAATGATATTATTACTTCATTACGGCGACAGATAACTAGATCTGAACAAGCCTTGAACCTCAACCATCCACGCCTTATATTGACTCCTGGCTTAGCGCGGTTGCTTGTACAATATCATGTCTTTCCCTTGTGGTGTATGTATCCGCTAACAACTGTATCGATAATTGACATACTGACAAACAATGTCTAGTAACATGTCCCTGGTCATCTTTGCTCATGACCTCAACACCAACAATAATTTCCTTCTAGTCTTCTACCTGACAGCCCCGAACCTCGGTGAAGCCATTGCCCCCTTGTACATTGGGCCGCTGTCAGAAAAGTTTGGTCGTCTACCCATCTGCCACATCTTCAACACGATATTTCTTATTTTCACCCTAGTTACGGGTTGCAGTTCCAACATCAACATGATCGTTGCTTTTCGATTCCTGGCTGGGGCATCTACTTCGTCCACCTGTCTGAACCCAAGCATCATAGGCGATTTATATCCCGTCAAGAACCGCGGCGCTGCCATGTCTGTCATGAGCTTGATACCCATACTTGGCAGTGCTGTAGGGCCTATAGCAGGAGGGTATATAACACAGGGCCTGAACTGGCGATGGACGTTTTGGTTAAGCGCCATGATGACTGGTATTTTACTGCTTGTCAGCCTCTGCGTGATGAGAGAAACCTATTTGCCTGTGTTACGGCGGGAAGAACACAACGAGAAGATCAGTTCCAGGTCGAAATACTTTAAGGGATGGAAGTGGTCTACCATCAAGGGACTATGTTTGCTAGCAGTTCGGCCATTTACTATCCTGTTTAGCTCTAATGTCGCGATAATCATGGCCTGCTACCTGTCGATCCACTACGCCTATCTTTCTCTCCTCGCGGCGACCTTGGCTACCACATTCCAAGATGCCTATGGGTTTTCTGAAAGTCACTCTGGCCTCATCTATATATCCTTGAGTATGAACTTGACCCTTAACCACTTACACTTCCAAAACGTGGGGACAAATAAACTAACTAAACATCTCAGCCCTCGGAACACTTACCGGAGCCATTTACTGTCGCTTCACCCTTGATTATTTCCTATACAGGGGTTTATCGACTCGCAACCCAGCCCCCATTGGAACAGATGACCAGCCTCTGCCGGAAAATCGCCTGATACCCACCATCCCTGGCATGACCCTGTTTCCAGCAGGCCTGTTCATCTACGGCTGGACGTTGCAGCACCATGTACACTAGATCGTTCCAACCCTCGCTACCAGCCTGTGTGGGTTCCCTGGCTTCCAGCACGACTCCAATCATGAACTATCTTGTCGATATCTTTGGAGATAGATCTGCCTCAGCAGTTGCAGCTGTCCTGCCGATGCGATACCTCATGGGAACGTTCCTACCCGTTGCTGCGCCATACATGTATAAATCTCTCGGATACGGCTGGGCAAACTCATTGCTCGCTTTTATTCTTCTTGCCATTGTGCCGTTTCCACTACTAGCGACTGTCCAGCCAAAAGCTGTTTCATCGATGCATAGAATGGAGGCCTACAAATAGTTGAAGTGTGAAGTCATGCTTAAGACTAGTTTATGGTATTTATGCCCAAAAAATATAATAGCAATGTTTTCGTCTGTTACCGGCCATAAAACTTCCCACAAGCTTAGAATCACAGCTCAAGTAACCCAAAGAAGCTGCATCGCTCAGGACCAACAGTATAGATATGCAATTCTGTTTTTGGGGTGTCCAACATGACTGTTAATAGACAGACGTTTTATTCTCAGCTGCGAGATAAACATCAAATGGAACTAATCTGGGTTGTTCAAATATATATTCAGGAGCATTGACCGATAATCGCAGTGGACAAAGGAAAGCGATATATACGATGTAGTAACGCCAGCTATCCTTTCCAAAAATAACGCCCTTGAAAATAGGAAACAAAACAAATGACCAGCTAGGGCCGTAGGGATATATGTGATACACTCCGAGTTATGTGGTAACGAGATTAAAGCAAGGAAAGTAAACAAGGTAGCAAACCTGCTATCCTTGTAAGGTCATGAAAATCGTCATAAAAAATAAAGAGCAGAGGGGAATGAGACACAAAATGGGGGAAGAGACAATGACTTGATCACTTGAGAATCACGATCAAAATCACTAGTACGATGATCAGTCCAATGATGGTCATCATGCCCTTGCTCCCCTTTGACTTTTCTCTAAATCTCCCAAGGCTTCTTCGCGCCCCATCCAGCCGGCCCTGGTGTCTTTCAACGTGGCCGTCCATGTCATCCAGAAGGGCAACTTGGCCTTCCAGCTCATCTCCAATCTGGATACTCAGCTGGTGCTGGCGCCCAATTGACTCGCCCAGACGGTCCAAGTGCTCATCTTGTTCCTGCATGACCTGATTGTGATAATCATGGATTTCCTGGTTCGTAGCTTCTGAAGGGTCGAAGCTAGGCTGTGGGGAGTCAGAGTAGGGTCTAAGCAGGGCATCGCGGTTGGGGTCATGCTCTTCAGCACTGGCGGTTAAAGTGTCCGTGAAACGAACAGATTTTGAGACCGGGTGTTGCGGTGTAGGATGTTTGAGGATAGACGGAGTGCTGCTTGCACGAATGAAGTCTTCGGCCAGCTCTTCATTGTTTGGTTGGGTGGATAGGGAGGGTGCATTGTCGCCATGGAATTGACGTGAGAGGTCCTCGTACTGGGCTCGTAGGGAGCTAGTTTGCTCTTTGAAGTCATTTGATGATCTACCAATCGTAACATTAGCTAAATATACTGTGTCTCAATGAAGTGATAAAACTTACGCATCCCCAACAGAGACCAGCCTTTGGGCTTCCCTCTCAGCCGATTCCAGACCCTCTCGCAACGACTCTAGCGAACGGGATATCTCTCCATCCTGCGCGTTGGGTTCAAGGTCAAGGGAGATTGCTCTTTGCCGCTCTAGCAGAGAGAGCTTTATATGGTCTGCCAAAAGGAAAAGCTGAGATGGGTTGCTCATGGTCGATTATCAGCCTTAGTTTCCTATATATACCCCCCAGTTTATTGTTGTCCCGACGGTCTCCGGTGTCCCGCAAAAGCGAAGTAGGCAGAGCTAGCAGTGGGCTATTAAACCAGAGTAACCGCTACTCTCGATCTCATGCTCTGTTCTATCAAAGACTGTCTATGAGATGGGTTCGTTCTGGCTGGCGTCTCAAACATCTCAAACAGCCAAAGGAGCGACCTTGGACGTCGTAATTAGCTTCGTGCACGGACCACAAGAAAGTGTTATTCGCCTTCAACATTCACATTCTTGGCAATGAATGACTAATAAAAACCGGATAAATAATTCAGGCCCGGTTATTCGGATCATGTGATTTTACAGTCACATGTCTATGACTAATCTTTATCACGTGAAACCTCCATCGGCTTTTGCTTTTTCTTCGCTTTTGATATCAAAAAAACAAAGTGAGCGACAGCAACCAAGTTGAAACGAGCTCCGGGTGGTTGGTCGATGTTTTGCTGCTTGTCGGAGCCAGAAATCTAGTTCCGCTGCTTTGCTTGAGCCTACCTTGCTCTGATGGCAGACGAGGATATACTTCTGCTCCTTTGGGACTGATCCCTTCAGCTGCTCGAGCTCCCGCCGACTCTAACTACCTGTGTATATCTCGAACAACGACTCACCCCCACTGTCCGCCCCTCGGGTTTGCATATCAGACACAGTCCTTCGCGCTTCAGAGCGCCTTACTGCGCAGGACTGCAAGAATGGCGTCTGGCACCGGTGACAACTCTATAGACCTGCGGGCTCTCGAAGCCGTGTCTGAATACAACAAAAATCTCATGTGTCTCGTCTGCCATTGCCCGTTCATCACTCCCACTCGGCTACGATGCGATCACATCTTTTGCCGGTCTTGTCTGGATGATTGTATCAAATCCTCAAGCGATATGAACCAGTTCACGCAGCCAAGCGAATTTCTTTGTCCTACCTGCCGTACGCCTACAAATGCTACGTATACAACCGTGCCGCGACTTGTGGTCGCCATGTGTGATGACATATTGGTGAAGTGTCCGTACCATGCTGAAGGCTGTACCGAGACCATCCAGCGCGGCCATGCGCAAGTGCACGTAGATAAGTACTGTGAGTATCGATGGATGCCATGTCCCGATGCGCAATGCGAAAAGAAAATCCGCAAAAAGGATTTAGGCCCAGAAGATCGGTGTCTGCATACACTTGTCGACTGCGGACAATGTGGGGAGTCCGTGATGGAGCTCGACTTTGAGGTTTGTACTTGCAGTTACTCAGAGAATATTCGATAACCTTGAACATTAATGCTGACAACTACTTCCAGGCACATGCAACAAATCTATGTCCGCAAATAGAGATGACATGTCCTGATTGCGAGGAAGTCTACTATAAGGTCAATCAGCAAGAACACAAAGACAACTGTCTAAAGGCTACTGTACCTTGCAAAGCTTCGAAGTATGGATGTGTGACGCGACTCTTGAAAACCGAGCTCAAGGACCATGAAGAGTCCTGCCCACTGGCCAGATTAGGCCCGTACCTCGAGAGTCAAGCAGCAAGACTCGAAACCATGGACTCCACCATCCGACAGCTGAAACAACAGAACTCTTTCCTTGAAGACAGCATCGCCAGCCTACGGTCTGCAATCTCACAGACAAATTCACGACCTCCATCAAGAGTACAATTAACATCCAACTCCGGGACTGAAAATGCTAATCTTCCAGTGCCTGAGCTGAACCGGAGTGTCTCTCCGTCAAGGGATGCCCTCGCATCCTCGCCTACGATCAACTCCTCGGCTCCTTACCATAACAACACTACAACTTACCTCCTATCTATCCACGAGGCACTGCGAGAAGAAGTATTACAACTTACCTCGACAGTTGCAGACCTCGAGGCTCGTACCAATATATCAATGATGAATGACACCCTCCGTGTGAGGGAAGATATGGCTCATCTCACAGCAGGGCTGAACACGGTCAGAATGCAGGTCCACTTACTCATGAATTCCCGGATACATCAAAGTCAGAGAACGCCAATAAATGCTCGCCCCGGTAGCAGTAGCAATGGAGCAGGGATGGATGGGGCCTCTGGACAGACCCGGATGCCTTCCACCGCCGGACCAGAGCCGCGAGGCAGACGCCCAAGTGACAGTGGCTGGGAAGGGACGAAACTATAAGCACGAAAGCTTCTGTTTATCAACGAATCATGGGTATTTATGACTTTCTTTTACTTCACTTCAACTTCGTTTCTGGTTGACCGGCGCAGGGTGCTAGTCCCATATATATATGACTTCATGAACACGGGGAATTGCGCATTCACGCACATACTTTAATTGTATTATACTATACCTCTTATTCCCGTAATGTTTTAATAGCAAATGCATAGCAAACAGGGCTTCGCCATCTTATCTATACACAATACTAAATCGTCAGGTCTCCCATCTTTGGACGTAAATAGCGATCTTCAAAAGATCGACAAGACGAGCCGAGCCCGCATCTTGGTACCAGGTAATGTAGGTGATCTGGGGTGAAAATAAGCTTATATCCTTCAGTTGGTCTGTGTGGTATTATTCTCAGAGCGATAATGAAGCAGTGGAATTAATCGTCAAGACTTGAGACTGTATCCCAGTGTAGAATACACTGTCGTGAATATGATGTGCCGGTCTTTAGAGTGGCCTGTTACCAAACTGGAACTCTTTCAGGAGAGGCTCTTGAATACCCAAACTTGGCGGAGATTTTTAAACTGGCAAGCCAGTCGATGCCTGCTATTATGTCTTTCCATGCTGAAATCCAGAATTCTGTTGATATCCCATAGACATTCCCTATCAGTGGGAGCTTTCATATATATACCCTGAATGACTAGACATTTTTCAATTAACATAACAGGTCTAGCCCGAGACAATTTTCAAAAACCCATCCATCCCCTTACAAAGCCAACGCCGCACCGAAAACAGCGGCACCACCAAGAAGAGCCAGGTTAGGCGTACCAGTTGCCTTAGGACCGCTGTTTGGCTTGCCAGTACCACTTGGGCCACCAGTGCCGCTGGTTTGGGTGGCCTTTGGCAGCTTTTCAGCTCCAGCGGTGATGGTGACGGGAACGTAAGTGACTTCTGATGCTGGATAGGTGGTAGTTTCTACCATGTTAGTGCTGAAGCTAGCTATCGCCGTAGAGAAGGATACGCTGCAGGTGGCAGCTTCGTGAATAGTACAGCCGCCATGAATGGTTCTAGTTTCAACCGTCAGCATGCTACAATCAACTGGGCCCCGTTATCCTAGTAGAGTACAGAACAACATACCCAGTCATGCCTTCATCAGTGTTGACCTCGTTGTACTCGAGCAGAGTCGTGCCGCCAACAGTGAAGGTCTGGAGCATGTCTGCTTCACATGAATGCCGCGAAACGAAGTTGATACAGACAGCAACGGTGGTCAATGGCTCTTTCTAGAGACAAATCAGCCAGTCATGTTCATGTGTATCGTTCTTCCTCTTGCACCGTTAAGAGGGGAATATTACCACGCTGACCACCGATGCATCTGCAAGTGGTGTTACAATGGGGCCGTCAGTTGGCCGCGCTGTGTTGGGAAAGAATATCGAGATCGTAGGAGACGGGCTGCCGGACTGTGTGGTGCTGGCTGGAGCGGACGAAGAGGAGGCAGCGGCAGCGAGGCCGAGATGCACAAGGGCAGATAGAACAGATTTGAGCATCATGGTGAATAAGTTATCTAGATTGACTGCCTCGACTGATAGAGTAGGTAATCGGCAGAGGCGAAAATAGCAAGCAGACACTGGACCTGGAGCAGCGAATGCAACGGAACCAGCGGCCACGAGCGCCTCTTTATATAGCTGATCCTTCAAGAGAGAGACTACGGAAGCAAAAGTACACCACCCAGGGGCATCGGCGAGCTCTTCCACGAGCCATAGCCGTTAGAAGAGTCCATGCACGCCCCATGCAAGACGCTAAATGGTTGACTAGACCAGACGTTGCAACAAGCCGAGGGTTTCAAAGCTCTCTAGGAGCGGAATCGTGATTGAAAGGAGCATCGGGTGTGAGACGCATTATTAAATCCAGTTGAAAAGAAGTAACTTCTTTTGCGATGAAACGATTCGAGTAGAAGAATCCTATCCTCGGCCCCACAGCCTAAAGCGCGATAATTCCCTGACGAGTTAACCAATTAGTTAGCTGCTCAACCAACCAGCTGTGAGAAGACCTCTAGCGCTCTCGCTAAGGGAGGTCCAGGACCGGGGCAACAGTGAAGGCAGAGAACAGGCCATGCAAGTTGGATTTTATTCCTTTCACGCAGTAGTGCAACGTCAAATCCCTGCTCATTTCAATTGGACGTGTACATCATTATTGGCAGCTTAGCTTTGTCTGGGGAAGTTTGGCTGTTGTTACATGAGACTGGGCATCAACCCCTTTCAGCCTCAGAGGCTGGTCGTTTTCTTATGGGGTCCTCTATTTTCCGCTGTCCAGCTCGGGCATCGGTCTCCGTCTGGTTTCGGACGAAATCTGAAGTGTTAGCGAGTTTATCGAGCTATGTACATGCAAGCTTTCCCTTTGTGAGGGGCTGTCTCATATCAGCTTTGACTAGTACTGATGCGAATGGCCGTAGCCGCTGTTGTGGCCTGGACCATAGTAGTAATCGTATGTGTGGGCACCCTCGCTCGGTGGTTCATATACTGGATTACCTTCTCTCTGCTGGTGATAGTGTTCGTAGCCAGCTGGTGGTGGCATATCAGGTTGAGGTGTTGTGCTTCGTGATGCTGGATGCTCCTCTGGTGCGATACCCCTACTGGTCTCATCACCTAGGTCCCTTGTTCGGCCCCCTGATCCTGATAAGAATCCTCCTATTTTGCCTAAATTGGATGCGCCTGGGATGGGCAGATGAGACAGCTTATCCCATGGAATAGATGATGCTGCAGACCCTGCGTTTGAGTGGCCTGCCCCGTGGTGTGAAGAATTGCCAGCAAGACCTGCCAGGGCTGACAGGCCCGGTATGTTTGATAGTGGATTACTGCTATGATGAGAACTGCCACCACCCTGATGAGGGTACGACTGCTGGCCATAGTGAGGTGAGTTGTAGCTTTGATGTTGCTGTTGCTGTTGATATGGCGGCTGATAGCCATGGGCCCCTCCATGCATTGGCTGCTGACCATATCCGTGCCCAGATCCATGCCCAGATCCATGTCCGTGACCACCCCCTTGCAGATGGGGGTTGCCGCCAGTATGGTTTTTGCCTTCTCTCACGCTCTGTGCGTTCAAGATCGTATCTAGACTGGCACCACCATCACGTCTCGAGCGAGCCCAGTTCTGTACAGCCTCAAACATCGTCCGATGAGCTTCGTTGTTCATGTCTCGAAGCGCTGGGTGGTGAAATACCCTCATACAATCCGCGAGGACATCATCGACTGGGATATCGACGTGCTGCCATGCATATAACACTCGAGGCACTACATATTTGAGAATGGCGGCCGCAACATGTCCAGCGGGCTCATTAAGGATGTTGGAGAAGTGATCCTTTGAAAGCAGGGAGTGAGTTGGATCAGTACAGTTTGGATCCGTCCATGGTTCGTACTGATGCTGTTCGGAGGTGCTGATAACTCCAGATGACCCAGTTTGCAGTTGTGACGTTGCTACTTTGATAAGAGGTCTGACGAAGGGAGACAGCAACGAAAAGATAAACACGCTGAGCGTATCTGTAATCTTTTCGACAAGGGACTCGAGGCCAGGAATCTTCGATACAACAGAAGAGATTCTCCTCACGACATTGTCTCTGAAGACAAGAATCGGATATATTTGGGAAATAACCTTCTGTGGGTCGACACTGGGCAATCCTCCCGGCCCAGCCCGAGATGTCTGATCATATCCCCCCGTTGCACTATACGCCTGTGTCTGTCCGTCGTCGAGACCTCTAGAGGCACCTCCGTATCCGTAGCCTGCATTGCTGTTTGCCTGAGCCTGGGCTTGCGAGCTAGCCTTCAGCTTCTCAGCTTCAGCAATCAAATCACCCATGCCAGGGACCTTGGACAGCAAGCTTGTCAGGGCGTTCACTGAGCCTGTGGTAGCACCGCCCACCTCTGCATTCTCAAGTGTAGTGTCCAACTCGCTGATCTCAGATTGCGTAACATGGTCCGAGGCTTCACCCAGCACTGAGTGGAGGAAATCCACCATTCCAAAAGTACCTGTTACTAATGGGAAGATGTGTTTTCCTTTGATGTTCATCATCGTGTTTGTTCCCGTGTGAGGGAAGACATTGAGCATGCCCATCTCGCGCAGAGCTAGTTCGCAGTAATTCGTATGAGCACCAAAGTCCTCAAGAGTATGCAAGCCTTGGCCCAGACAGCGCAGAGCTTCGTACAGGTCTTCATCTTTACCCCTGCGTAGGTGGCCTCCATTGATGTACTGTCGAGCAAAGTGGATGCTACGGGAGAAGCTGTACTTGACATAGCCAGCACTCGTAGCCCAATTGCCTCGTTCATTGGCAATGTAATTTTTCATACCAGTTTCATGGTCGATTTCAAGCTCGACTCGTTGGACAGGTCCGCGTAAACGTGGATCATACTGTCTTGCATCTGCATCGTCTGCGTATCCCTTTGGATTACTATAAACAAAGTATCAGCAAGGTACCTAGCGGCGGACCGGGTTACGATCAATACGACATACTCAATGTGCTCTTCTGGTCGATACACTCCAAGCCTCTCAGAGGTAACTTCAAACTCTGCCGTAGCATATCCAAAAGTCATAAAAGACAAGACCCATACAAGAACACGGACACTGTCAGCGGGAACATTCTTCAGAGTCCCGACATCGACAGCTTGCGAGCTACACCAACAGCCATGTCAGTTATACCATGTGACATATAGAGCGTGTGTATGTTGCATCATAGCTGAGATGTAACTAGCACGTCAGGGGGACTCACTAATCTCTTAACCAGTTACCAAAATAGACCCTCTTCACCATATTGGCGGTCCATTTATGGCCTTTGATGAATGCAAGGGTCTTGATGACATCTTCGATATCTCCATGACGCCAATTCTTGCCTTCGACGGCTGAAACAGAAGCAATATCTAGTAGTTTTGCATGTCTTCGTCAATATAATGTACACCAACCGAATTGATGCGGGACCGGAGTACCCAGGAACACAACCAGGGGTATTCTCCGAGCTTTCTTGGGGTCTCTCTCTATTGCTCGTGTAACACGGCAGGGGTAATAGCTTACTTCCAGCTCCAAATGCTTCTACCCTCGCCGGCAAGACGACGAGTAGGAGAGCAACAAGCAAAATAGTGGTGGTGGGGTTGAAGCCCATCGTCAGGTCAGCTTTGAACACAGCTGTTTGCCCGCCAATAGAAGATAATATATCGAAGCCGAGAAGAATTAAAGCGGATAAATGAAGAAGATCGTTGCCAGCTGCAGCTCGTGAAGCTATCCAAATGTCCCGTTCGCTGTAGGGCGTGTGTATCCTCGAGTTATGGTGCTGTTCGATGCAGGCTGAAGCTGTTGCTTGTACCTTTATCCCGCCCTCCGACGCCACCACAAACGGCGCTAGGGCGTTTAATGTGGCTGAGTCGGGCGTTGATTGGCCATAAATTCATTATGCAATTAACGGCCTATTCCCATTGGTTGAATTGCTTATTCGCTGACTATTTTCTTTTTTATTTCTGCCTGAATCCGGCCAAATCAACGACATCGACAATGCAGCCACAGTCGAGCAACCCGCAGCAGGTTCGAGATGTATCTTGGAGACGAGCAACGGGCGTCACTGTTCACAGCGTGAGACCAGGTGTCTGCTGTGCATAAACAATGTCAGCGTATCTCGGCCTTGAATCATTAACGCAATACCCCAGCCAATACCATGGCTTTAGAGAGAGCAGGCAGAAGTGAGAGGCAATGCACCCAAGATCTTGGACTGATGACTTCGCCAGCTTGCATTTGGCAAGGCTGCAGATCAACCCTGGCATGGAGAACAACTCGCTCCATACGATACCCGGGGTCTAATGTCGATCATTTTAGTTCTGGTGCGACAAATCCACCTTATTTAGCATTGAACATCGCACATTGGAGATTTCTCTACGAGAATTCCAAAAGCTGAACAGTACTTCGTACGCCTTATGCTCTGCAACCAGTATACGAGATAGATGTTTCATTTTTCTGGATACCAAGATCATGCGAATAATGGGAATAGCAGTACATTTGCTCACAACGCCAAGCTGTCAGCAAGATTGCTTTATTGTCTGACCACAGAGCTTTCCACAATAACATAGCCTTCTGGACACGGAATGCTCTCGTTTTCTCCGCCCTTGACATCATTTGCACTCTCCAGTCATGCATATTATTACCGCTTTGACCGGTTGATGCATAATGAGCAAGAAAAACAAGGACGGATGTCAGAAGTTTTGCCCGAAAGGGTATGTTCAGCTTCGTTTTAGACCAACGAAGTCATTGGAGCAAGTCTTGTCATATCCAACGATTTTGCATACCCGATGACAGAGAGAGATATCAGGCTAAAAGGGCGTTCTCGAAAAACATAAATACCCCCTTCCCTCCCGCCCTCGACGACTTCCATTTCAACAGCAAAGAATTTCAATTATCCAGCTAACTCTTCACTACAACCCTTCATTTTAAAGCCTTTCAGCTTCAAATCCCCCAACAAACAATCAAAATGCAGTTCACCAAGCTCGCCACCGTCCTCATTGTCTCCCTTATGGGAAGCGCTGCCATTGCCGCTCCACCAGTTGACAATGCTCCCGCTGCTGCAGCCGACGAGGTTGCCGCCGAGAACCTTGGGAAGCGCGGCTTCGGCTGCCCATTGAACGAGAGAGAGTGCCATGCTCACGTAAGTTAATCTCTTTGCCCTTCGGCCTTGTAGGTCTTGGGCTGACGGATATATATAGTGCCTTTCCATTGGCCGCAAGTTTGGCTACTGTGGTGGTAGCCTGCGCCTGTGAGTGAAACTCTTTCTTTCATATTCATTAAATGTATACTAACATCATATAGCACCTGCATCTGCGGCAAGGAGTAAATAACGACAACTCATATCTCCACGCCTGATATCCTCGATACATAAAATAGCAAATGATACACCGTATCGCAAACGGGTTCCGAACGGCCAGCTGTTACAATATCTGGGAAATAGAAGGAATTATGGAAGGCCGATAGTTATCTGCTTGTCGTTGGCTACTACCTTTACTCTTGTTCTCCTTTCTCTGTCACTCTTTAATTTCACTCGCGGTATACCTAGGTAGCTTGATCAACTACTGTCTTTTTATTTTATTTCCTCCAGTCCAGACTGCTAGTTACCAGACCGTCCGAATTCTCCTGAAAAGTCGAATCTACCGACTGTTTAATCATTTAAGAGGACCTTCGCGGCGATTCTAACACAGAGACCTCGTGAGTAATGGTACGATGTGGATAATTGCGTATAATAACGGCTATTATAGTAAACTAGTTATCATCCGAGAAATATAGCGAACACTCCTATAACTATCCACCAACTAGCTATAAACAAGTGAGACATCCATGATAGCGGCAAAAGGCCACGGAAGACGGACAAAAGTCGACATTTCATCATCACTCGAGTCGCCAATGGCCCAATGTAGCTGTCGCTTTGGCTGCGTATAGTCACCAGACATCACAATAAGGCCCTGTGCCACCTTTAGGCCGCATAATGCATGTATCTACCAAAAGTTGCAAGCAGTAATTGAACAACAATTGGCATCTCTGGGCGCTTCTCAAATCTCCATCGATCGCCCCCCCTCGGGAGAAAAAGGGAGCATCGCCGCCGAACCACTGATTGGCTCGCGTAACTTGACAAACTAACCAAATGGCCAACCAATTTGATTATTCAACGTTGGTGCTATATGCACGCGAACCCGGGCGAGCCAGGAATCCTGCGAAGGGTGATAAGCATCCAGATAGCGCTGTATTACCATCCCAGGCGAACCGAGGGTTGAATTGGCGGTTATTTAATAATTTAACGCGTCGGCAGAGATAAATTCACTAGTCAACCAAAGAAGTTGGTTAGCCCGTTTTGAAACAAAGCCTGTTCACCGGAGCCATCCTTATTATAACAGCGAGGTACCAAATTAACCAACTCGCACCCCCTTGCGTTTCGTCTCATGTTGGTCTCTTAACCTGCCTCTTCTTTCAGCGCTCGAGTGTTGGCCAGGTCAATTGTCATGCCACCTCCCAGCTCGGCTGCCGCATCGCCGTCTCTACCAAACATGAGCGCCGACCAAGGCTCTGCCTCCCCGGCCGCCTCTGGTGTCCGCAAGCGAGGGAAGAGGGGCAAGTATTCGAGATGGAAGAACGAGGAAGAGAGGCTCTTCCGGCTCAGGACTCAATACCCTACTATGACATGGAAGGAGTTTCATCGGGTTAATATCCCCCAAGTGACCAGTCTTCATATTAATTCTTTTTTTTTTTTTTTTTTTTTTTTTTTTTTTTTTTTTTTTTTTTTTTTTTTTTTTTTTTTTTTTTTCTTTGAGCGCGGCCCTTCGTTCATCAATTGGTTTTGAAACTGATGATTTTGATACCAAATTTAGCGATTCTACAGTCATTACACACCCAGCCCGGGAGTGATATCATCAAAATACAATGTAAGTGTCGGTCTTTTCATCATTTTTGGCTGATGACCAATGGCTAATTTTGATGGATGCAGCATTTGTTGAAAGCCGGCTTTACGCTGCCCGAGGTTAGTTGTCTCATCATTTTCACTATCTCTTTAATTTTTTTCCTCTCGGGTTGAGCGCAAAAATGTTAAAAGATTGTCATTTAGACGGTGTTTCCTCCAAGGGATTATACTCCTACTCCCAGCGGGAATTCCATCTATAGCGACGATGATGCTGCTACGCACATTTCCTTTGAAGCGGGCAGCCCCAGCGGCCACAGATTAGACTATTTTGACAGACACTCAGCCAGTGAATTAAGGCTACGAGACCAGAACCAGGCGTCTCTGCCACTAAGGAATCATAGCACGCCGAGGTCTGAGGACAGCGATAGCGACTTTTCCGACTCAGGCCACAGGAACGGCGACAGGTCGAGTAGTAATAGACAGCCCCGAAAACCTCGGGGTGGCGGAGCATTTGCTAGCGTCAACGGCGGGTCGGGGTCATCCCATGCAGAGAGATTGCAGGCCGAGAAGAAGCTAAGAGACGTGGAAGAGACCGCCAGAGAGGTCAGGGCCGCCTGGGAAGAGGTCCGGGAAGCAATCCGCGACGTCATGTTTGTCGAGCAATGGGACAGAGGCGGAATGGGGCCCAAAACGTCCTCGCTGGAGACCTCCATCGACCGGCTCATCGAGAAATCAGCGACCAGCAAGCCTGCGTCTTCGACACATTCTTAATCTATATTGATACCATAATATGTATGTAACTAGTTTTCTTCACATTTCTTCGTGCGGAGCGTTTTATGTTAATCGACCAAATTTCCCGGTCAAATCGCAATTCGGTTGACCAAATTTTCAATCAAATTCGGCGTTTTGCGACTCTACGTCTCAAAAACATTGCCCAGACTGTAACTAGCTATCAAATCTCCCCTGTTTTATCGCTTCTACGCCTGTCTAGCTACAGAACCAAACATAAATACGTCCACACTCGGGACTCCCCGAGCATGATATCTCCTCCTCCCCCCCTTTTTTTAAATTTGAAATCTGTTCATCTTCGGCCCCTGTGAAAAGTGTTGATCATGTGACCGACCAAAAGGAAAAATAAAGAAAAGAAAAAAAAAAAAAAAAAAAAAAAAACCATATCGCAAGAAAAGAAAGCAACGACAAGCTGCATAAACAACAACGCGGTCACAGTCACATCGCCGGCTCGAGTGCTCTCGGTTCGTGTCCTTGCGTACCAGGCAGCGCGCCCTTGGCATATCCCGAGCTCCTTCGGCGTCTCTTGCGCGGCTGCTGGACTGCGGATTGAAAAGACCTAGTACCGACGTACGGAGTACAGAGACAAGGGACGATGGACTCTCCGGCGCCACAGCAGCCTGCAACCGCGAGCGGCAGCGGGAAGAAGCAGCGCGGCGAGCGATGGGGCGAGCAGGAGGATGCGAGATTTGTAAATCTCAGGATTGAGAATCCAGACATGTCGTGGGAAGAATTTCAAAGGGTTCATATCCCCTACCCAGCTGCGCAAGGTTAGCTGTCCGGGTGTATCGTCCAGTTAATACTAACTAATATGGCCTTTTCTTCCCGGCTCTGTAGAAATTCTTCCCCCATCGCACCACAGCAGCTCTACTTTGGAGGCATTCGACCGTTAGTGCCCGGGTTTCTCGCTTTTTCTACCCTTATCAGAGCTTTCTTCCATCTTGATCGCTTTGATCGAAAACGTGTATGGTCCATATTGGTCTAACGTTGCCCCAAAAAAACAGGTCCTGAGAGCGAGGATTGAACAGAAAAAAGCATCTACTAGAGAGGCTGCAGCTGGTGCGGTTAGTGTCATCTGTGAATCTCCGAGAGTCAGTTAATTCGGGGGCTGACAATTGTGAATGTGCAAAGGCATCATCCTTCCAAGATCGCGAGACCCTTTCTCCATTCACCGAGAGCGAAGACGACTCGGCAAGCCACGTCTCGTATGAAGGCGGCCGTTCACTTCGTCACCGACGCGATTACGCAGATAAGCCAGGGGATGAACCAAGCTCGAAAAGACGGCGAACTCTCCCTGCCAGGACTCGCCGTCGACCCGTCCGTTTAGGCTACGAAGACGATGCCATGGCTGAAGACGATGGACTAGCTAAGCTTCTTGACTTAGTCACCGCGGAAGATTTTACCAAAATACACCAGCGAGCGAAGGCCTGTCTCTCAGAGACCAAACGAGCTGAAAATGCGCTACGCCAGAATGCTGAGCTGGAGCGTCGATTGAAAGAGGCAGAAGCCGAGCTCCGAGAACTTACTGAGCGGGCAAAAAAGGACTCTAAAAAGACCGAGCAGGAGATAGAGGACCGAAAAGATATAAAGTATGAAGGCCTCGAGGTCGAGCTTACGGGAATGGATGAGGAGTCCAAAGCCAAGGTCAGAACCTCCTGGGAGATCATCAAATCCAAAGTCCGCGACACGTTTACCCTTCGACAATGGGATGAGGCCGGCATGGGTCCAGCAGTGAATACAGTCCAGCAAGTTATTGACAAGCTCATGGAAACATCAGCGGCAACAGCACCGAACGGGCATCCCGGAGAAGATGTTGGCACCACCAGCCAAAAATCCCCTACGATGGGAAATTGATAATTGAATTCTGCTTCCCTTGTTCAGGTTTTCCTACTTTTTCTTGGTTTCCGGAGTATAATTGGTTTAGATTCTTTCAGCAAGCAAGTTGGTTGTTGGGATGAGCGTCCAGGCATCAGTCTCTTGTTGGAGGCGATTAGTTGTATATATATATAATTCAGTGATATCACACGCACAACCCCCTTATTTTGAATTGGAATAACGGAATTTCGGAGCTTTCCCCCTCGATGACCGCCCGACGAAATTCTGGACAAGTACAGGCATCCTCTCCCATCCTTCGAGTATAAACTCCGCTGGGCGGGAAGGTTAAGCGAGCTGAGGCTCAAGTCGCATCCCCACGCCCTATCATCACCACGGACAACGGCCCAAAACTGGGCCACTCCAGGCTGCCATGCCGTCTCCTCCATCCTTCGCTAACCTCCTGCTGCCTTCTTACGCGTTAGCTCAAGGCTCCAGTCGCGAATTCACCATGAATAAAGCCCCATCACGTGTTTTAGGCCCGTTGCTGCCTTGAACTAAGAGGCTTGGATACGGGACTAAAAGGGGTGATCATCCTCGTTGGCAGCAGATGTATATCTTTATAAGGTCAGGTAGCGGTCTCTGTCTGGATGACTTCTATCAGACAATTCATTCCATCTGGCTGCCAATTCCCTGACAATTGTGTTCCCCTGAGAGCTTCCTTAGTTTCCTACATTATTCCTACATTAACTATCACCATTCGTGGTGACTAGCTCCTAAAGAAAGATATTATGTCTTCTCTCCCTCAACTTCCTGCAAAACATTCCGACTTTCTCTGTTACATCAAGGCGAACTCCAATACCCCCATCAATGAGCTGCTCAAACCGTACAATGAGTACGACTCAGCTTTACGTCAGATTTTTGCCCAGGAGCCTTCTAATCCCATCTTGAGGGACAATCACGTCAATGTTGTCCCTTTGTATGGAGCTGATGGTGTTGCCGATCTCCGTGTTCAGGCCCGGGACCTCGACTCCGAGCCGCAGGAACTCACTGACAAGTATCTTCTGCCCCTGAAAGACGAGGATAGGAGACCCAATGGCTCCCCGGCCGTCGTCACATCGTTCAAAGAATTCCAGACCAACTTCAACCTCTTCTCTGAGAGTTCTCTGAGCGACCTTGACTGGAGCAATGTCATTGCTGCGGGAAGTTCCGTGGTGACAGCGCTGCTCCCTGTGCCAGACGAATACAAGGAATCTAAACGGCAACTTCGTCATTTCTATCACGAAAAGTTCGCTCCTGCATCTGACGTGGACCTGTTCATTTACGGGCTAAACGAGGAGCAGACAATCGAGAAGATCAAGCAGATTGAGCAGAAGATCAAGGACTCCATCTTATATGAGACGACTTCCATCAGGACGAAAAATACTATTACCATTGTCTCCCAGTATCCCACTCGCCATGTCCAAGTGGTTTTACGCATATACAAGTCCCTTGCAGAAGTTATCACCGGTTTCGATGTTGATTGCTCTTGTGTGGCATACGATGGCAAGAACGTCTACGCGGCCCCTCGTGCAATTGCTGCGCTTATCACACAGACGAACCAGATTGATCTAACGAGACGTTCACCTTCTTATGAAAACCGTCTGTCAAAGTACTCTCATCGTGGATTTGAAGTGTTTTGGCCTCAGCTCGATAGATCCCGCATTGATCCTGTGAGTGTCATATAACCATTACCATGTTTACCTACCCTAACTTTAAATGACAGACAATTTTTGAACGGAGTTTTATGAGAACAACTGGTTTAGCTCGACTGCTTGTTCTAGAACAGTTGCCAACGTCGAGGGATCGAGAGGAGTATACGCAAAAGAGACGTGAGGAGCGAGGTCGTCCTCCTTCATACACTAGTTCCTACCGGAGTATACGAAAGTTAAGGGGTAATATCAAAAACGACTGGGAGGACGAAGTGGCAGAATGGGTGGATGAAGAGGAAATATCCGATTATCATACAATCGTAAGTTCTTCTGTTTTCCCTAAACACTACTTATTATGCTTACTTTGGTGTAGACAATCCCATATGGTGAAAAGTTCCATGCAAGGAAGATTGAAAAGCTTCTATATACCCATGATCTGCTTTTAAACGCTGAATGGAATAACCAAGAGCGTGAGGTTGCACTTCATCGACATCCAGTGTTCTTTGGTGATGTCGAGGACATCATTCATGACTGCTGTGGCTCATGTCCTAAGCCCTCGACCCCTGAAGAGGAAGAGGTATGGGAAAAGGAGAGTAAGGTCTACATCTCGGGTGAAGTCACGTTTATCAAAGATGACCCAGGTCGACAAGCAATCGGAAGTTTCAACCCGATTACTGAAACAGACTGGACTGGTACGCATAACCTTACACATCTCTATCATGCTTACTGCTCGGACCGGCTAACCATCGGGATTAGAAATGGCCTACATCGGCAATACTGCTCGACTATTCCAGGCTATTGCCGATAATGATATTGAAACCGTACGTGAATGGCTTTCAAGGGATGGTGCTGATCCAAACCGCCGTGATCACACTGGAAGAGCCCCTCTGCATTTAGCAACCATGGTTTCTACTCCGGAGATCGTACAGTGCCTTGTTGACCATGGAGCGCGATTAATCGCACGTCTTGCAGACGGGCGCATGGCTTTACATCTCGCAGCGGAGCGCGGGAGTGTTGACATTGTTCGCATTCTACTCCACAAGAGCGAGGAGAATGAAGAAGCAGAAGAAGAGAAAAAAGACCAGCAACGTGCGACAAAGAAAAATACTCAAGCCGAAACTGAAGATGTTGACATGACTGACCCTGATAACATGGTGGTTGTTAATGAAGACCCTGAGGACTCTGACGAGGATAAAATGTCCTTGATAACAGGCTCCTTCGTTGACGTTAAAAAGCAAGATGTTAAAATGGATAACGAGGAAACCATTCCCGGTGACATTGACGAATCTGAGCCGGATATCATAGATATCAACGCCGTTGCTTGGGACTGTCATGCAACCCCCTTGCATCTTGCCATAGTCCATGGTCATGCAGAAGTTGTGAAGGAGCTTGTTTCCTCTTTTGGAGCAGATGTTCTTCTTCCAATAAAGCTTCCTAAGATCAGCCATCTGGACCCAGGGGCGATTCTCCCCTTAACTCTACCCCTGAAACTGTCCCAAGATCAGGCTGTTACCATGATTGAGACTCTCCTGAAGCTTGGTGCCACTCCGGCACAAGCCGATTTAACAGGAAGAACTCCTTTACACTACTTCGCTGCCCGCCGCCGTCCAGCGCTCTTTGATGTCCTTATGAAGCATGATCCGTCTGCTGTCAAAAGGGCAATAGATCACTTAGCCGTCGAAGATGTCTCCTATAGAGCCTATGCCGAATCTGTCTTAACTGTTGCCGTGGACTCGAGGCACCCTGATATTGTCGAGAAACTCCTTAGCCTCGGGGCGCCTCCAGATATCAACTTTAGCAAGTATATACAGATTGCTATTCGCCAGTGTGAGTGGCTGAAGACCCGTGATGCCGATGCCAACCTCAATTGTTTCCAACAAAACGTTATACAGCCAATTGTAGCTGCTACCGTGACAGATCAACCCTTGGTTGCCCTAAAATTGCTTCAAAATGGAGTGGATCCAAACACATTATCGACCTTTGGATATACTATACTTTCGGAGAAGCATGCTAGCAACCCCGGTGAGTCATTATTGGACCTCGTTGATGCAAAAATTTGCCTTCTACAGGACTATAAAGAATCTTGCAAGAATATACCACCAACTCCATTGCAAAGTGACGAGGTATATCTGGCTGAATATCCTGAGGGCAGCTATCAGCTTTGCTTTGCCAGAGAGCGTCTTGAGAGAGAAAAAGCTTCTTTCAAGAGGCGACAGGAAGAATATGAGAAGGCAATTAAAGAGGCTAAGAACCGCAAAGGTTTGGAAGAAAAGAGCGATGCCATTACCGCCCTCCTACAAGATTTCCAAGCACTTCACTCGGCTTTGGTCACGAAGGAAGCAAAAACATTCAAGGAGCTACATCCAGATGCCATTTGCATCAACTACCGGCAGCCTAGGGTATTTACACCGGGGAAACCTGGGGAATTCAAGATCGACTTCAATTTCAATGTGGCTGATCTTTCCGGCGGGAGGAAGGAAGGTTACATAAAACTGTAAGTTCTAATGCAGGGCTAGAGGGTTGTTATCTTTTTGCATTTCCAAGGAGCACTAACCATTACCCTTATAGATTTGAAGCTGCATGGTCTGGTGATATAGAGACCATTAAGTCCCTAACGCTCGGCATGTGGGGTCCCGATAAGCAAATGTCTCCTCTCGTAATCTCCGTGAACGAAAGCATGGGAGCTTCTCCATTTTCGATAGCTGTCCTCAGGGGTCATTTTGATGTTGCAAAGGCCATTCTTCAAATTGTTCGAGCGCAGTACAAACCAAAGACTGTTACCCGACAGACATATCATATGCAATCTGACGATGAGGATGAATCTGATGCGGGAGAGTCGCAGGAAGAAGATGGGCTTCAGATCACTGGTGAGGGTGTTTGTGATGAACTTACCATTGACAACATTGGCGAAGTTGCAACACAGGCAGAAAGCAACGTTTCACCGCTCGATGTCCTTCAACGGAGTTGCCGAGCCAGCCTTATTGCAGACCCCAACGCCGCTGAGCATTCTTTGAGCCATATAAACCTTTTCAATTTTGCCGTTGAGCAGGACAATATTGAATTGCTGCGGTTCTTGCTGGATCTTGGACAATCTGAAATCGTTAGTAGTGCCTTTGATAGCCCTTACGAATTGCTCTCCAGCACAAATTTCAACGATGCCCTAAGAGACGGACAGCCACGATGCATTGCCTTGATCATTAGCCGGACTGGAGCTCACCTACCACTGGACAAGTTTGTGGAAGAGGGTGGAATCACTATCAAGCAAAAGCCAAAGTATTATCAAGGTCTGTCAATTCACGGGAAGAAGCGCGAGGACTGGGCTGCAGCTGCAGGCCAAGATGCCCCTTCACGCATAAGCAGCGAATCGGACATACCACTTCTCCGCGCTGCTCTGGCTGGCAGTCTGGTCAATGTCGAATGGTTTCTCGGCACTGCCCCCAAGAGACATTATATGGAGTTTGCAAACTCCAACAAACAGGATAAGCGGCTAAGAAAGCTATCACAACTGCCCGGCGGAGTAGAAAAATTCATTGAAAAATGGCTTAGCTCAAGAAGTAAGTTCTTCCTCCTTTATCAGCACTGTATCAATGGTATTCAGCACTGACTCATGGCTTTCTTTCGTTTCAGATGACTTGCTCCTGCATTGTGCCATTATGGGCAGAGAAACAGATGAGAGCTTGGAACTGGTTAAATATATTATAGAAAACGTCCCAGGCTGTCTCGAAAGGAAATCCTCCAATGGATATACGCCTTTACTCCTTGCCTTTTCCAAACGCAGACCCCGTTTTGCTAAGGTTCTCATTGAGGCTGGCGCCAACGTGGAGGCTCGTGATGTGCTGGGCAATAATATCCTCCATATACTAAACAAACCGAATGGATCATACCGTTCCTTGGATACAAATTTAAAGGAACTCCTGGACTTGATCGATCCTTCGGTGGTCTCTTCACTCCTTACCTGCCGCTCGGCCGATAACCCTGGGGCACTGACACCTTTCGCTGCTTGGGTAAATCATCTGAGTTCACACCATAGATGGGTTAGTGGCACACCCGTCCAAATAACGAAGCTTCTCCTTGACTTTGCCAAACCAACGGGCCAAGCTCACCTTGAACTCCTCGATGGATCCGGAAACACGCCTCTTCACATTGCTGTGAGGCATAAGTTCACGCCAATCGTCAGACTGATGTTGGAATGCAACCCCAAGCTTCTCACCATAGAAAACTCAACGGGAACTACCCCTATGGATCTCGTGCGAGATGGATGGACTACCAACGCCACGACGACCTCTCCAAAGCTACCAGAGCGTACAACTGTACCCCAATGGAGAAAACCAGATTACTCCCCGGCCGTTTTGAGCAAGGACCCCGAATCATTTGTTTCCAATACTAAGCAAGAGACATGTGATCATTCTTCCCTTTACAAATTATGCCGTGGAATCTGGGGCCAACTGAATCAGAAAAAGCGGAAGCTTGTGAGTCTCCTTGAAGCTAACGAGGTTGCGAAGCGGGTGGAGAGAAGAGTGAGATCAAGGCATACGCACACGGGAATTGTGAGGGTTTATGATAGTGATGATATGGCTGGAGGTCGGCGAGCGAGACGATACGCAAGACATGGTGATTCAGTAAGTGTGAGAAGCTCTGGCGAAGAGGATGAGGTTTCAAAGTGGCATGGCTTGTATTAAAATGGCCAGCAATCTAGGGCAATAGTTTCGGGCATGTTGTATTAATTTTCAATTCTTTTCTACCATTTAATGGTCTACGAGACTATCTATTAGGGTTTATTGGTTTAATGTTTGAATAAAAGGGCAATCTTTTGTTTCATTGCTGTCTTGAAATCTTCTTATGGGGCATTTTCATTAAGTCATGTATTGAATCGTAGGAATGAGCATGGGAAATGGTTAACAAGGCGCCAGTAAATCAGGAAGACAAACTCTGCAGTCTGCCTTGCTCGGTTGGGGTAAGAGAAGCAAAAATCTGCTGGAATCTGGGGGTAGAGGCAGTCTCGGCGAAGAACTGGGTCAAGAACGCCTGTGTCTCATCATCTCTCTGTCTCGAGGCCAAGGCACCATCATCGTCTTCAGCAGCAAAACCCATCAATTCCTGTTTCGTGACACCGAGGCCCAAGTCTAGGAAGTTGTTATTAGATGGGAGATCTTCCCAGTCGTCGTTCTCATCGTCGCTCTCTAGTTCATCTAGCTGGCTTCCTGACAAGCCTGCAGCTCCTCGAATATCTCGACCGCCTGAAGCAGAAGATAGTTCTTCGATCAGAACTTTGATGATTTTCAAAGGTGCTGAGATAACAGTGTATCGATCTGGGTTTTTGCGAGATTGAGAACGGGTCTTAATCCTGCCAGTGTCCTGGATGATGAGCTCGCCTTTGACTTGAATTTCGGCAATGCGGGGATCATCAAGTTGGTAGAGCTTAGAAAGTGCAATGACATTCTGTCTGATTTCATCATATCCAGCAAAAGTGACCGAATTTTCGAGCCATTTGGCCAAGACAACTTGAAGGCCAGATTGGCCATTGATGTCGAGTTGAGCGAGGAAATCAATTACTTCACTGGTATTGACGAGGGATAAACGAGCAAAGACAAGGATGAGACTTTGAATCAACTGTGCCTTCTCAGCAGTGGCAAGTCGCTGGGCAACAGCACGTAGCAGTTGAGGTAGATATGGTCCCAATTTCTCAGAGCCTGCCTTCTCAACTAATTCAGCAGCAAGCTCACCTACTTCAGATGCAGCGTTGTCATCCACAGCTTCACCAAGAAGGCGATCAATGATAATCAAAACCGTTTCAACAGCACCCTTGCCTGTCTGCGGGTCCTGCCAGGCAAGGAATTGGTCAGGGTCACGTTCCAGCATGTGTATGACAGCCAAGGTTGCGGACGGAAGGAGTTCGCTATCTCCAGATCCGAGCAATAGCCGGTTCAATTTCGGCAATACGGTTGCGACTAGGCCCTGCGGGAGTGGCTTTAAGCCATTCTGAGCGAGAGCTCGTAGAAGGTCGGTTGCCAGATTCGTCAGCGAGTTCTCCTGGGTGAGGTTCCCGACATCCAGAGCCCCGGTCAAGGGGGGAAGCACTTTCTCGCAGAGGCTGATGTATGCATCTGGTCCCTGACCAGCGATGTGCTCAACGATCTGCTCAAAGGTTTCTGTCACAATCATCGCCAATTGGAAGTTTCCTGCACCAGCACTGGCAATGTTGAAAAGAACGTCAAGCGCGGTGGAGGTCAGGACGATGTTAGCGTCCACCATGATGGTATCACGTAAGGTATCCGCCAGCGTGAATTTAAGGTCATCTCCTTCTGAGAAATCACGTAGGTCATGGCTAGAGATAAAGTCTGCTAGTATTGATAGCACTGGCACCTGGAAAGGGGCGGCCGTAGCCTGAGGGAGAGCCGGCAGGAAGTCCTGCAGGACACGAACGCAAGAGACCTTGACCACCTCCGAAGGGTCATTTCGGATAGCCTGGATAACAGCTTCGAGGTAAGGCACAGCAGACTGATGGAATCCCTCTCCGGCGGTCTGAGCAATAGCGCCTGCTACAAGATAGCCTCTAGATCGGAGGAAGACTTCATCCCGCTGGATACAGAACTTGACAAATTCGTTAAAACTGGTTGCAAGGTCGGCAGAAATTGTTTGATCCACATCGTTCAAATCCCGGAGCAACTGATTAAGAATGAAAAGAGCTGCTTCACGGTATTTCCATCTAAAGAATGTAAGCCATAATAGTCTCGCAGAGTCAACTGTGAGGGGAAGATACATACCCAGTGCTGGGGTCCGAGAAGAGAACATTTGTGTATGCAAGCAGGCCATCGACGACAGTACGCTTGAGCCACTCTCCTAGTCTGATTACAAGATCACCACCGCAAGTTCTTGGAGTGTAGTTTGCAGTAACGGAAGTATCCTCGGAAAGGTACAAGTTGACATCGATATCCCACAGGCCTTCCTCTTCAGTAGTAATCTGGGCATACGATATGACCAGTTTCATCATCTCAGGAAGCCAACTTGTAGACGAGGTAGCTCCAGCTAGCTTCAATTGGTTCTCCAGCTCGATTCTTACTGGGGGCGCGCGGAGCAAAGCCTGCATAAGGTCCAACTCTTCAAGAACCAAGAAGTCAAGTGTGTATGGAAGATTATCTGCATCTTCGAGGCGACCCTGCCTCTCATCTTGAATATAGAGCTGTTGGTATGCGTCTTGAATCGTAGTCAACTCAGTCCAGATAGTATGGAAGAGAGTGGTGCTTTGAGTTGTGAGGAGGGATGGCAACACGGATCGAACTTTCATAATGGTCTGAATTCGAGTATTAGCAGCATTCCTTCCTATAGATTGTTGCTTTCTTTGTTGGTACATACCTTAACAACCTGTGATTTCAAGGCAATAACACCACGCCATTGCTGTGGGCCAGGGGCATCTGTGGCCTCCTCTTCCTCCGAGGGCATAGGAGGGAGGGGTTCCTTGATGGTAGCAATAAAGAATGGAAGCCATCCGTTCAGGGCCTCGTCCATAAACTGTTTAACCTCGTTCTTATGTTGCTCAAGGACCATCTCCAAAGTATCAAGACAGGCTCTAAAAGTGGACACAGCGAGTGCCCGCAACACCGGTTTGCGCGAGGCGTTGGTCGCAACGTTGAACACGGTCGACACAAGCTCTCTAGCCACCTTGAAGAACTGCTCTTCATTGAATCCAGTCTCCACGAGGTCAGACAGGACCTTCAAGGCACCGTGGAGTTGTGCATCTGTGCTGTTGGGAATGATCTGTAGCAAGGTGGGAAGAATCTCGGGCCAGTCCTCTGGGAAGTCGGCGCTGGCAATACGGCTGACGACCAAGCTGGCTGAGTTCTTGACCTTGCGGTCATCCTGCTCCGGAGATGTAGCTAGATCAAGCAGAACGCGCCTGAGATGTGCCTTATTCGCGTCGCTGACCAGGACCTGGCCCTTGAAATCGTCGAGCTGTGAGGACCATGCTGAATTGATGAACGTACGAAGGAGGACAAGGGCGGATTGGCGCAGGGGAACAGGAACCGAGCTATGAGATGCTATCGAGGCGAGGGATAGGGGGAAGCTTTCGTTCGAGTAGAGGCTCTGCAGGCGAACCTCCGCGGCCTTTCGAGTCTCCGCCGCGGCGCTCTGGGTATCGGAGAGAAGCCGGATGAGCTCTTGATCCATGATGAATCCCGATCTACCGGTTAGCGAGCAAGCTGAGGGAGGGAAAAGGTCGCGTTGACCTTGGGATGGTTGTGAGCCGCGATGTTGTTTGGTTTCGCGACGTTGAGGTTGAAATATTTACCTAAAATAATTAGTTAGTTAGTTTCCCTTTTTGGCGGGGCAGTTGGGTAGCTAACTAGCTAGTGAAGTTACTACAACAGAGGCAGAGAGAGTGGTAAATGCATGAATGAATGAACAAAGAGGATATTCGATAGTGAGAGAAGAAGAGAAACTACAGTGAACATATAGAAATGTCACTTTATAGTTACATGGATGTCTGCTTTGGCTGCTAATTGGGGTGTTCAATTTCATGCAGACGCGACCTCGAGGCCTACCAATATCACGACACCCGGAGCAAATAGAAAGGATTTCTCTATATCTTGCATAGAAACTTCATGAGAAGCTATATAATTATATTCTTTTACTTGTTATCTCAACTCGATATGCAGTTGTAGATATCAATATGGATGCCAACACCAAAGCAGGGCCAGGTATGTAGTTACACCTCATGACATCCAGAATATATGCCTACCAAGGCCAGAGCTCACTTCTATCCCCCTGAAACCTTCGTCTTTCTGTGTTTTACCTCATTTTTCTTCGTCTTATAGGTACTTTTATCATATTTATCATACACAAAGCTGATACCGATGGCGATGTTCGCTATTCGCTGGAAGAAGGTAAAATTCTATTGGCCAGAGGACCGCGTTAATTGCTTTTTCGAAAATATTCTCATTTGTATTGGTGGAAAATATGAATTCCGAAGATATGCAGCCCTTTTAACCAATGAACGCCACTTTTATTGCATTGACTTGATTTCGAGATTTGTGATTTGCTAGCTAATAATACCAGGCGCGGAATAATAACCTTACTGCTGCAGTCACCTGATGCCTCCAACTTAATTTCTTTTAAGCGCCGGCTCCACCAGCAAAACCACAACCTGCATATCAGGAGGTATGGAGTACATGAACACGATGAACTGGAAAGCTGATTCCATCCCGCAATCTGATGAGTATAAAGTCAAGGATAAGTGCTTATTTTCGAACGGCTCATGCCTCGGACTTGGCCATATTAACTATTGTATATTCCTGGCGCAAGAATACTAATAGTTAATAAAGGTATACAGCGCAACGGGAGCAACCATTCTCTGTACGCAGTACATTGGTGGCTGATGACAGGCTTCGGACTATTAACTGCCAGAATGCTCCTTCGCTATTCCAGAAAGCCATCTTGTGTGTCCAAGGAATGCACCTGGACGACAACTAACTCCGTATTCGTTTCAAGCGAGTGATGTCTAAAACCTACAGCAAGCCACCGCCAGCCACCAGATCGCACTAGTTATGCACGAGAAGTGTGCCTCGATGATCTTCCCTACAACAATATATGTCGATGATAGCTTGATTCTATGCAGAGAGGGCATCACGGATCGCTCCTCCAGCAGTGCTTCTGAACTGTCAACACAAGCCTACGATCTCCGTGGTTAAAATATGTTAAGTTGGCAGGTTAGCTATGGCTTTTTCATCCCTGCCATTCACTCTAAGCTAACTAATCCTTGTGAACTGCTAGTTACCCCGTACTTAAGTAGTTGTATGCGTGGGGGAAACACCACGGTAAGCTAGCCCCTATTGCGGGGGTAGTTGTCCAGCCTGGTTGGTGCCGTGATCTCGGAACAACTATGGATGTCAATCTCAGCCAGGAATGGCAGCATAACTAGTCACTGGTTAGCGACGGCGGCCAACTATAGGCTCTTGAGTGATGGCAAGACTTGCCCGGGGAATGAACACCAGAATTGAGCAGTCTCGAAAAGAACGGGATGAGAACCGGAGATGGAGGGGATGATCCCTTGTCTTCCGATAATGAACAGACCCTCGATGGCGAAAAAATGGCCTCCTCATCCCGTACGGAGTATGTCTCGAACAATTTCAAGACGGATCAGCAAAGGACACCTCGAGTCAGTCCTATGCCGATCTCATCCATGAATCCTCCGATTAACTAGGTATACTCAGAGGCCCAAGTGCCTGCCATCAATATTTTTTTATTTTTTATTTTATTTTTTTACCCCCTACATAACTTGACTGTGTCTCGCAATGTTTTTATGAATTCTTCTCTTATCGCGCTTTGCGATGTTTCATTGACGACTTGCAGCATTCCTGCCGACACCCTCGTTGAGACCCGGTATCTGACAGCATACAATGCAGCTCCCTCCAGCCTCAGTGATACTTTCCTGGCCCCGGCCCAATTATGAGAATCCATCGGAAGTTCGCGGGCCACTCGTGATTATACTCAACTCGATATTTGCATCGTTGATGCTTTTCGTTATTTTCATCCGCATATTCAGCCGCATCCACGTATCGAAGAGCTTCGGTTGGGACGATGTCTTCATAATAGCCGCTGTGATCCCGACACTTGGCTGTGGGACCATTACGATCCTGGGCTCCATCAAGTACGGCTGGACTCGACATGTCTACGACGTGCCATTTGCGCATCTTGTCATAGGATTAAAATTGACCATGTTGATAGAGTGCCTGTTTGCTGTTAGCTGCTCATTTACCAAACTCTCGCTGCTATGTTTCACCCATAAGATCACATCAGGTCTCAACTCGCGCGTTATGAGAATCCTCATCATCGCGAACGCAACCATCGTCACACTGGAGATGATAGTCTTTTGCATAGTAGCTGTGTTCACCTGCCGGTATGTGTTTACCCGTCTTCTATGATACAGAGTGTCACTCTGCTAACACTGCTGCTGCTTGCAGCCCCGTCTCTGCCTATTGGACACTCTCGACCCAGCCGCAAGAATGCATAAATGAAACTGCGCATCTCCTGGGCGGCGGTATACTAAACACCCTCACTGATGTCAGCGTGGTGTTTTTGCCGTTTCCTACCGTCATGTCCCTCAAGCTACCTACCAGACAGCGGGTCATGCTCTGCGTCCTGTTCGGTGCTGGTTTCATTGTCTGCATTGCCGGGTGCTTCAGAGCTTACTTCCTCCACAAGCTAAACACTTCATACGATAAGACGTGGGCCGGCTATCCCCTCTGGATCTCTGGAACGATTGAGATGTATCTCGGCGTGGTATGTTCCAGTCGATGTTCAAGTATATTTATAGGCGCAGCTAACTAACAGCTTCCTAGATCGCCGCCTCGTTGGCATCTCTCAAGCCGTTTATCGTGCGCTACTTCCCTGCTCTCCTCGGCTCCCTTTCGGCGAAGAAGACTGGACCAACGTCCTTCTCGTTCTTGAACTCGTTTGTGCTGAGAATCAGCGCACCCCGTCCCGTAGAGGAGGACAAGAACAAGAGCAAGCCCAAGATTTTCGACAGCCAGACCGAAACTATAACATCTACCATCGACTGCGATATCGAGTTTGAAGCACTAAACCCCCCGAATGGGGGGAAGGAAGAAACCCAACCTATTGGACAGCATGAGAGCGGTCATATGTCGAAGTCCACTTTCCACTCCGCTGACGCAACGTGGCAGCAGAGTTGAAGAGAAAGGAAAATGTAGGGGTTTGATACCAGGCGTTGGTTTTGACTATTTTCTAAAAGTCCCGAGCGATCTATATCACTTTTGTATTTACTTTAGCATTGGGGATGGCTTCAGGGTTGGGGAACGGCCAGAGAAGGGTTTCCTTCTATGTAGTTACTATTATTTTCGATGTCTTTATTACTTGAATGAACATATTATATGGTTTCCGAGGAATGTATCTCCGCGTACCTGGCAGCTTTGATTCATATATGATTCCACAATCGGGCGTCAAACTCGAACTAAAAATAATAGCGATGGTAGCACAATAGCTAGTTAACTCATGGATGTTCGTTAGTTGGTTCGTTAGGCTAAAGTCAAATGTTGGGGGATGGTCGCAAATTCACAACTTCCGAGATATCAAAACGAAACAACATCTCAAGGACAGCAGTATTTATTACTCGGCGGCCATTAGAGCAGGACAGGGACAATGGCAGAGTCAAGTCGCCCTCCAGAGACCTACGCTGCTCTAGCTTCGGCTTTCTCCTCGTTTCTCGCCGTCAGCATACACCAGATTCTCTACCTGCGGTCCATATACCCCCAGTCCACCTTCTTGTCCGTCAGGCAGTTCAACCAGCCAGTCCGCCAGTCACGGCATCCCAAGGTGTGCAGCTGGGTCAACGATGCCTGTGCCGCGGTCGAGACACAGCTGATCAAGTCAACCGTCACCTCAGTGGCGATAGTCATACTCTCGGTATCATCCAATAAGGCCGTGGAGAAGTTCACCTTTGACCTCTCTCAGATCCCCCAAGTCGCCCCAGGAGACATACATACTCCATTTGCGAGCTCCAGGCAACAGCAGCAGAGAGAAGGCATGAGTATACCGCAAGTCGATCTAGAGGCGCAGTTTCGTGCCGTGTTGCACCGGCTAACCGCAGCCTGTGGGAGGTTGGCCCCTTTACCTCCGGATGAGGAGTATTTGCCTACTCTACATATGGTCTTAGGCCCGGACGCCGATGCACCGGCCGGTATGGACAAAGATGACCAGCAGTGGATAGCTGCTGAACCGGAACCTGAGCGTATCAGATACGGACCGGGCTGTTCTCAGGCGAAGACAGTGCCTGTACGAGCCATTGACGCAGGGGAGATGAAGCTCGAGGTCTGGATTGAAGAAGCTAGGGACAAGTTTGATGTCGATAACCGCTCTCGATAGCTACCCCCCAACACACGCGCGAAATAGTCGGAGATATTCATACTGCTCGCGATATAAGATGTAACCAAACTCACATCTAAGAAGCCTTGTGACATAAGCTACGTAGAAACCCCAGCCTGGAGGAAGCGAAATATGTTACACTGTGTGGAAGAAACCGCATACGAGAAATGAACTGAACCATAGCATATTTTATTAGACTAAAGGAGTAGAAAAAGTGAGTAACGACATCAAGGAGGCCGACTACTGTTAGGACGCGGAGATATGGATAGGAGGAACAGCAAGAGAAATCAGCTCGAATCAAAAAGGAACCAAAATTCACAAAACGACCATTCTACTTTGTACGAGATGGTTGTGCTCTGCGCAGACCCTTGAACCAATGAGGATTTTGTTCCCTCTCATATCGAACAACTGGGAGATCCGGTGGTAGCGGATACGGTGCATATGCGTAAAATGAAAACCACTGCGTCTGCTGGTAATGACTGTCCTGAGGATTCTGAGATGGTGCTGGCAATACGCCAATTGTTTCTATAGCTTGGTACTCATAATTGATGGGCAGTTGGGTGTCTTGATTTGCTGGTGGGAATCGTACGCGTAGCTGTGGCCAACGTTGCAACTGACGGTCAGGCCGACCTGATACACGCTCTCCAAACACCCATAGCGGCATTTCGCTAGTGTCAGGCGTGCCTTCAGGGTATACAATCGGCAATCCGTCACGCACTGTTCGACGTTTGATGAGCTCGACACCAAGGTCTTCTTCGTTCAGCTCGGGTTTGTCCTTTAGAAGGCTCTCAACTGCCTCATTTCGTGCCGTCATCCGCTCCCGCTCATGTCTCTCTAGCAAGTAGCGGTCATCCTCTACGGGACAACTTCCCACCATATCAAAGTGGCTGTCCTTCGCCCGCGAGATATTTTTCTTGCAAACATAACACATGACTGTGGAACATTTGCGACATTTCAAGGTATTGCATCCATCCTCTTTGATAATCGGGGCTTTGCACTTCTTGTTAGGACAAATGCGAATAACGGCTTTACTCATTGCCTCTTCAACGTGCTTCCGTAAATTTTTGGAGTCTTCCCTTCGGCTCTCTGCGCAGGTTATGGGAATGTGTGAAGGTCTTTGGCACCTCCGGCAGCTCATCCTCATACATCCCGGTTTCAAACAACGGAATTCGCAGTTTTCTTCAACTGGGGGATATATCGCCTTGTACTCACAGAACGGACATTCTTCAAGGTCTGTGAGGTCCGCTTGTTGAATCTCTTCCAATTGCTGCAAGTCAAAGAGTTTGTTCATAAGAGAATCCCCCGCTGAGTTGATCAAATCCTCACGGGAGAAACCCGCATCACAACCATTAATGTCCATGCATTTGATACTGTGTCTCATCATACCAACTTGGGCTTTGGCATTGGATTTTATGCATTCCCAGCAAAATGGATGGGCTGCTGCGGCAGCACAATATACTACCCGATTAAGGGGCGTATCACTAAAGCAGCAATGGCATTCAATTATCCCACCAATGGAGGTATAGTAGGCAAGATTCCTTTTTTCATCCTCGAAGGCTTGCTTCCTAAGGGTTTGAGCAACTACATGAACGTTTAGCCTTTGCAGTAAACACTTGAGTGGGGATTATTACCAATACGACGTTTCCGTTCAGCTCTAGCATCTTTGATCTCCAGGTCTATGTCCCTATTCGGGTACTTGGCTACTACTTTCCTAAAAGAAGCCATCAATTTTTCCCTTTTGACATCGGTATTTCTGCTATACGGTTTGGGATCCGATGTCTCATAAGTTGATTCAACCTCGTACAATCGCAGGTACGCATTGTACAAGCAATCATTCGTTACCTCCAAATATTCTTTTATGTAGTCCGTGGGAACCAGAGGAAAGTCGAGTTTCAAAAGAGCTTTGCTAGATGGTACGTGTCAGGTTTTAGCCAGGCGGGGAAAAAAGAGGAAAGTTATTTAACGAGAATAAAAGAGTATACCAGCATTTCCAATACCGACTGTTTCTCGTGAGGTTGTCTTCTTTACCCCAATGGACATCCTTAGCCATATCCTCCCGCTTTTGCCTTGAACCACTTACAGTTGTGTAAGTAGCTTCCTTGAGGATTGCATCGATCAACGCTCCTTCAAAATTTTCTGGTTTCCTAGCCAACATCGGTTGGTAGAGGGTAGTGACGTATCGAGGGCATATATCTGGGAATAAAGTAAGGATATTGGCCAGCCCGGCCGCAGTCAGGCCCTGACTGGAAGTCCTCTTATCGTCTTCGCCAAGAACGAGGAGGCTCTCCAGGAATGCCATGCCATCGTCATCCCCATCTTCAGCGACACTGTTTTCACCAGGGCTGGTCAGATCATATTCATCAATAAAGTACGGGTCCTGCAGCTTCGCTTTGTCTTTTGTGAAGCCATTTGATGACTGATCTCGCCTGAGCACGGACAAAGTCAGCCTCTGAAGCGGTCTAAGGATGGTTCTAGACATATGGACAGCCAGGAGATATGACTGTGTAAATTATCGAGTTTAGTGGTGCTAAATCAGCTCCGAATACGACGACAGGCGAGATTAAGACACCGTTAGAGCTTCTATATAGCCTAATAGAGTGTCCTCGATGCTAATCAGTATCTTAATGAATGAAGTAAGCAACCAAGGCGCATAATTGGAAATATCTCGGTCCTTCAACCCAGCATATTTTCAAGTAGAAGAAGACAAAGTGGTCTATAGGAATGAGTGAGAAATATATCTCTTCGCCCTAGCATTTGCCGCCCTGATGGCAAACGTCAAGGAAATAGGGCAAGTTTGCTTATAATGATAAGCATCGCTTTTAACAGTTTGGAGGTTCCAAACTAATAGAGCAATGGTGTAATAAGGGTATCATAGAATATGGAAGACGTTGCTGCTTCATGGGCACGCTTATGGCGGTTGATATCAACCGCTTCTTCCCGAGCCCAAAGCAGGTGGGTATGCCCGTAGAGGGTCCATCCCGTGGCCGTTCAAGGTGCCTAGCTGGGGATCTCTTGCTTAGCCAGACAGATCTTGAGGATTCTGTGCTATGTCTAGCGCAACTGTTCCATCAGTGGCCATAACAATTAGCCCTCGTCTGTCCATCTTTGCAACGTTTGTTCAATATTTGATGTTTTTTCGATGTTTTTTTTTTTTTCGATATTATTTTCGGTTGGTGGTTTATGCCAAGATTTTATATAATCAACTTGACTAAAGATGATTAGCGTGTATTACGTCAGAACCTTAAACGCCGCTTCCTAATCTTAATGAAAGCTAAAATTTATACAAGAACGAAAGGACATCAAGACGAAATCAAGCGTGAGAAGTAGAAAAGAAGCAGAGAAACAAGCCATTTGGACATGTTTCTGGCACGCAGTCACCATGTTGGAAGCATGAGGTTTGCATCTACGCTAGTTTGCCGTTCTGGGCGGGAGTACGTCCGGGGAAAGATACTAAAGCGCCATCCGAAACGACCAGACTACAATGTTTACCTCGCGCAGTAAGTAAGCTGATTTCTACTCTCTGCATTGATCCAAATGCTCACCCGGGGTCTAGATCTGGAAACCAAAGCTTTGTGCTCAAGGGAACATCGGACTCGGTAGTCGAATTGGCTATGGATCTAAAAAGAGAGTTTCCGGATACTCGTCGCCTTCGGGTACATATTGACGAGAATGTTGAGGAGAATGTTCTGGTATACGAATATTTCAATGATGACTTACTTTCCTTTATAAAGAGAAACCCAAATTTGCCAATTGGGGCGAGAAAATGGATATTGAGGGAGCTCGGGGAATCTCTCAAGGAGCTCCATGCTAAAAATTGGATACACATAGGTAAACAACGTCAAGGCACTTGGCGTTGAAAGATTCATGCTGATAACCCTGCGACTTACTTAGATGTGAAGCCTGACAATGTGATGATCAATTATAGTCGAGATGAGCAGGGCTTACCCCTGCCGCAGAGGGTTGTACTGGGTGACCTGGATGTCTCGCTGAAGATGAAAGGTGACAAGCTTCTACGGCTCCCGGAAGGCATCAAGCTCGGCAACGTAATGTGGCGTAGCCCCGAAGCTCAAACTGGCCAGGGAATTGGGAAGCCATCTGACGTGTTTTCCTATGGGCTTGTGGTTAGTATTTAATCACTGTTTACACTTGATAACTATGTTCGTGGGGGTGTATTGGGTGAGTGTAATGACTAACGCTAGATGTTAGAGTCTATTCACCACAACAGGCGTGGAAACGCTGTATCCAGACTTTGAGGGGTTGAGGAAGGATGGGGTTGACCCCGAGTTGGAGATCATGGGCTGATTGATCTCATTCTTCGGGCCAGTACCGAAGGAGCTAGTGACGCACGTCCAACATGAAGACTGGGGCAAGGTAATGATGGCACTCTCAGAGGCACTGGAGGATGGCAGTCCTGTTGGCCCCGGACGGTTCACAGAGTGGCCGGAGAAGGATTATCCAAACCTTGATGGCGAGACAAAACGAATCTTCCTACGTATGTTGGATCTTGCTCCTTCAAAAAGAGTGACCATGGCAGAAGTCTTGGAGGACCAATGGTGGGGTCGTGGAGAGGAGGAGTACCAAAGTCCTCCGCTCTCTACCACTGAAACACCTTGAAAATGCAGCCCCGGGTACTCGTCACCAGGGATAGGCTGGCATGCGTCGTGGACCCGGTCAGTCTAGAAGGCATCCCCATGCCCTGCCAACCAACTAATACTCCCAAGCTTTCACCATCACCACTCGATCTTTGTACAATACGTATCATCCCCCAGCAGAAAAGCAATGCAAGTGAGACTTACCATGCAGATTGGACCACTAGTTGCATCGACTATGGCGTTGGAAGACGCCCGGAGTAGCCCGTTTCGCCTCCCGCCCCGGCCATTCTTTTTCCTTCCAGCCCTCAGGGAGCCAGCGGAGTGATATCATCACACAGCCAGCCAATGTCACGCCGCATCATCTTTTGCCGCCTCAACCAACAGAATTGACGTTTGGCCTCCCACAAAATGTCACTAGCGGTGATACGGGCCGTAAGGCCATCGAAGATCGAAACGAGCGCAGGAGAAAAGGGCCTGCTGGTCCTGTCACGGGACCCGCTAGTTATAACACCGAACAAAAGGAGGCTCGGCCCTATATACGACGTATTATGTGGAGAGGCCAGGTACCTGTGGCCCCATACAAAATCATGAGACATGCGAGGTACCGCTGGCTTGTGCACCTCGCAGCTTCTTGGGTTTCTCCCTCTGAGCCGAGAGAGGGATGACGATGCTCCACCAGCAGGTTAGCCGGATGTTTTCGCTTCCAGCCGGCAGTTTGGCCCTTTGTACCCATGCGGATGATGGCAAAGCCCGTATTTAACACACCCGCGGATTTCGATTAAGGCGAGGGGGAACGGAGTGGTCAAAAAAGGGCGTGGGCGGGGGCTGTTCTCGACTTGGGGACGGACTTGCTGGCTGCTGGGCTGGGGGAATTCCCCCGGCGGGAACGCTAGTATCATCAGGAATATATATATTTACACATTTTGCGTTAGGGCCATGCTCCATGCTTCGGCGTTCCCAGCCAAAGAACGTTATGCAAACAAGGGAAGTGGTGGAAATAAAATCCCGACAAGGGCTTGTTTTCTTTTCTAAGCTGCCTGGTCCTCTCAGTACTTATTTTCTTCTTGACCGGACCTCTCCCCCCTCAAGCCTGTGTGTTTATTAGTACTCCGTATACTCCCTCACACCCCCGGCTGCCTATCTGTGCAACCCGTCCAACATCAAATAAAAAGGGAGAACAAGCTTCCTGTTTGTTTCTCTCCAGACCGTCCAAAACAAGGGGTGCTGGCTTGCAGAAAAATAACTCGTCACCATCACAAAACGATACGAAGAATATCAAAAAAGAAGAAGATAGGCAAAGCAAAACAAGAAAGTGAAGAAGAAGAAGAACAAAAGGGGGGTTTTTGAAAAAATAAAAAAAGGAAAAAGACTGAAAAATAAAACAAAAACAAGATTCCCAACGATAACCGCGCAACCATGGGCTCGCTCGATCATCACCTCCTAAACGCCGACTCGCCGGATATCGCTCTCGTAGTGGCCACCCCGGCAGAGAGGATCGAGAGCATAAGGGCAAATGGGCTGTCGTGGAAAGGCCCCTTGACGATGGAGCAGTACATTGCTCGCGAAGACTTCTTGATACAGCAGGACATGGTCAAGGATGGGTGGATGACATGTTGGGTCCTGGTTGACCGTCGGCTCCGGCCAGACGAGCGTCCTATCCTGAGCAGCTGCGAGTCGATTGCCAAACGAGCGTTCCTTGCATATAAGGGCAATATCGAGACGGTTATCACTCATGGAATCGGAAGTGTGTTTTGTCCGCCCGAGCACCGAGGACGCGGATACGCTAAGCGCATGATCATAGAGCTGTCCAAGATACTGGACACATGGCAGCAGGAAAGGGGTGCGGGACAGGGACACCCGCAGTGTCTCTTCTCAGTGCTGTATTCGGATATCGGCAAGTCGTTTTATGCAGCGCACGGATGGCATCCGTATGCTTCCTCCCACTTCGCTTTAGCTCCGGAGGCTGTCGGAACCGCTGCCGTCAACGGTAGTGCCAATGGGAATGGGAACAGCAGCGGAAATAATGGCAGCGTCAGAATCACAAAGGGTGTCGACATGAGCATTGTCAAGGACATGTCTCGGGAGGATGTGCTTCGATACATGTGCTCTGAGCCAGTGATGGAGCAGCACAAGCAAAAGCTTAAGGATGCCTCCAAGGTGTCTTCCAAGGCTATTGCGGCTTTCCCGCCAGACTTTGCGCACATGTCCTGGCACTGGGCCCGAGATGAATTTTACTCCCAGATCCTGCGGCCGGAGAAGGGCGAGACTCATGTCAAGGGTGCAGCGGTGCCTAGCCGCAAGGTATTCATGACCTGGAACCGAAAGTACGGAGCCACACCCAAGGACTGTACGCTGTACATTCTCCGGACCCAGTACGAGGAGCCCAGCTCGCCGGCAGAGAGACAGGGTGTCATTGAAGCGCTGGCGGCGATACTGCGTCGGGCCCGGGTAGAAGCTCACGAATGGAACGTCGACCACGTCCAGATCTGGAATCCCTCTGCGCTGGTCAAGGAGGCTATCCAGATTGCTGATCCGGACGCAGCAGAAGTCCACAGGGAGAAAGACAGCATCCCTTGTCTGAAATGGGACGGAGACAAGCTCGGGTATGGAGAGAACGTCGACTGGATGTGGAATGAAAGATATGGATGGTGCTGAGCTGGCAATTTGACCTGATTTTTGATTGATATATTGATATGCACGAGACGAGATCTTTTTTCTTCCTTTCTCTCTCTGACGGCCGATTCTAATCTGACGGAACGAATTCTAAAGCCTGGGCTGGTGATTGATGATGAAATGATCAGGGCCACTGCGTTTGTGTCAGTTTGGCTCTCCTTTCTGGCTGTTGCTGCTGTTGTTTCCATAAATTCTGCTCATCACACACGATGGGAGTGGATGTATCGAAAGATACCAGGGGCGGGCGGCTCAATATCTTTTTTTTTTTTTTTTTTTATTCTTTTCATGTGATTTTTCAATTTTTTTTTGTGGTGTTGATTTCCATTCAGTTTTTTTTAACGATGGCATTAGACAAGCGCAGAAAGCAGAGATGCGATGCTATAGAGGGAGGCTATTGAGAAAGCCGTTTCATTTTGTTATATGCTGGGAAGATGGATTGCCCAAATGGATCCCCATGTCAATCCGATCCAATCGCGCGTTTGTGTATTAATAACTATGATTTGGCTGGAAGCAGATAGTCGTCGACTCTGGCTGTCGGTAGCAGGATTTCTTCAGCCAGGCAGCATTGATGTTAGCATTTCTAGCGTGTGCATATATAGCGTAGTACATATATGTGACATAACTAATGGCAAAGTGAGTTGTCAAGAAGCGGGGTTACAAACGTACATCCAGATTGTCGATAGACGCATATGATCTGAATTGCTCGGGCAAGAGATCCTTCCAGTCGCTGGAGAAGGTATCCACGTTCAGGACAGCCTTGGGGGTCCCGTTAGACGACTCGAGGAGGAGCTCTGCCGTCCATTGGGCTGTTATATGCTGATCGAGATTTGCCCCTATAGCCACAAAGTTAGTTATCAGACTTCAAATCAGGGGGGGAGGGCGGAGGGGGGGAAAAGTAAATAAACAAAATCGTATATTAAATAATTTGCCGGGAGGGCGTTGCGTCGTGTCGTGTCGTACGTACACTTCAGGTCCCCATCAATGGGCGAATTATCCACCAGCCTACGCACAATGGCGTCAAACAGCGAGCGAGGAAACGGATACTCGTCGATAACGGTGTGTTCGGCCTCTTCTATGACGGCACTCCACAGGTCCTCGACCAGGAACTGTTTGCCGAGATCGATGCCATGGAGGGTTGCGCCCTCGATGATCTTCTCCCAGGCCATGAGCTTTGCCCTGGCCGAGGGACGATGACACCCGATCGCACCGGACTCTTTGTTCTTGTGGACGAATGCGCAGATGTGTTTCCAGGCGCGCTCGCACTCGGCGCGGGAGAAGGGTATGTCTGCGAAGACCTTGGAGCGCTCATGGACGATCTCCGAGGGGGAGAGGGGGTGGTCGTCCTCCTCGGTGCGCTCGTCCATGAGGATGTCGCTTTCGTCGTAGACGGCGAGGGCGGCCAGCAGGGGCCGGAGGGCTGTCTCGGAGGAGGCCATGGCCTGGACTTCGAGTGTCGACTTGCACTGTGCTACGGCCGTGATGCCTGGTGTCGTCGTCGGCGTCGTCGTCGGAGCTGTGCCTGGCCCTTCTACCTGGGGCCTGATCAGGAAGACGGAATTGGAGGAGTTGACCTGGCGTAGCGAGAAGGTCTTTGCCGGCGTGCACAGGTTCACGAAGTCAGCTCCCGGCCGTGAGGACGCAGTCGTAGTCGTAGTCGTAGTCGTAGAAGCAGAAGAAGTCGTAGTAGCAGAAGTGGTCGTAGTCGTAGTGGTGGTGGAGGCTGTCGATGTGGGCGCAGATGACTTCAGGCACAGCCTAGGAGGGTCAGCGTCAGCACCAGCAGCAGCCAAAGAAGGGACGGCATAGACGAGCCCAACGAGACGGACGAGCCGGAGCAGGATACGCACTGTGGAGGGTGGTCTGATTCGAGCAGGTCTAGCAGTTCGGGCGGCAGCTCGAGCAGGCGGACGGGCTGTAGGGGCTGCGTCTGCGTCAGGCGAAGGTCCATTACTCTGCGGCGGGCAGCAGGCAGCTCGCGACGGGGGCCCAGCGAGAGCGCAAAGACAGCTCCAGACCGCGGCGAGGGACGCTTGAGGTTCGATATGTCTGTTGTATTATTATCGTTGCTGGCGTCCTGGCGTCCTGGGGGGGCAGATCTGTGGCAGCGAGGCCGCGGATCCGGTGGCGCTGAGGAGCTCCGTTTTGGCGTCTGGCGGGGTCTTTTCTTCGTACGCTGCAAGGTCCAGAGTTAAGTATTATTCAGAGAAGACTAAGCATCTTATTATTAACGGCGAGTAGTTGACGAGCTGGAGAGCTGGAGAGATGGTGAGTTGACGAGCAGGTGAAGCTGAATCGGTGGAGATTTTGGTAGAAGTTGATATTTTGGTGGATTTTGACGCTGAAAAAGACCTACGACGAGGACGATGGACAACAAAGTAGATATACATCAGAGAAAGAAAAAAAAAGGAAATGACAAATTGATATAGAGCTTCGTCGGCTGGAGAGACAAGGGGAAAACACCAGGAACGCAGGAGGAAAGCGGGAGACCGTCTAGTAAGAGGCGTGAAGAAGAGGGCTCGACTCGCAGCGGTAGCATCACACTGCAGCATTGATATATGTAGTATAAGAAAGAGATGAAGAGAAAAGAAAGAAAATAAACCCAGAAGAACGTCTCTTTTGGCGGAAATGGGCTGCTTGGTGGTAGATGTTAGTCTGTGGTTGGCAGGTAAAGGGTCAGGGGTAGGGCCAGGGGTAGGTCGAGAATAGGGGGTATGTCCGTATCAACTTACAAGTCTATCATCAAGGTCTAGGAAGCATGAAAGAAAAGACGGGCTTCAGAGAGGATCATTCGGCCTTCTGCTCGCCTCTCGACGCTTCTCTGGCCTTGTCTCTGGGCTTCTGCTTCTGCTTGTCTGATGTCTTTTGGTCGTTGGACCGTTGAACCTGCGCCTTGTCGTCCGGTTTGCCAGCTACTTCTTTAGCCTCGTCCTTGACCTCTTTCACGTCTTTCCTGACTTCATTCTTGACTTCATTCTTGACCTCTTTCTTGACCTCTTTCTTGCTGTCCGTCTTGTCGATCTTGTCTGTTTTCTCGGTTTTGTCGGTTTTGTCTGTCTTGTCTGTCTTGTCTGCATTTTCTGAGCCATCGTTCGACTGCTTCGAGGCCTTGTCTTTCTGCTGCTGCTGCTTCTTCTCTTTCTCCTTCAGTTGCTGCTGAGTCTTGTCCTTTTGCATGATGTCGTGTACGGCAGCACTGTCCTTCTCAGACTCGACGCTGGAGTCCTTGAACTGCTCCTTGATCTTCTTCGCCTTCTCCTTCTTCTCCTTCTCTTCCGCCTCTCGCTGCTTGCGTTCTCGCTCCATCTCCTTCATGTGGCGCAGGTCATCGACGCTGGGCTCGTACAGATGCCAGATCGTGTAGTGCGGCAGGCCGACGACGGAGAATTTCATGCGTTTCGACATCTAGCCTCCAGTTAGTATGTATATATATATATATATATTTGATAAACCTGTAGAACATGCATACCTTTCCAAAGGCCTCTGTTTCGGCGTGCTTCTCAAAGGAAAAGGCAGGGAAATGGACTCCCGCCCGGAAGACCTTTGCCTTGGCCAGGATACTGACACCGCCGACTCCGTCGATCTCCATCTCCATGTCCGGGTCGCCAAAGGGGTCTCGCAGGTAGGCCAGATGAGGTCTCCAGGTAGCGTACTCGGCGTATCCCTCGACAATGACGGCGTCTTCATCGAGTGTATCAGCTAGAGCCAGAGCGGTCTCGGACTCCTGCCACGAGTTCAGATCGTACGGCTGCTCTCCACCCAGCCAGTCTGGCAGCGGTCTCCAGACATCTACACCTAGTTAGTAAACTGCATTTCCCACTTTTCTTCAGAAAAGGAGTAAACGTACTAGGGACGATGACGTCCTTGTTATGCCGCATGAGGTCCTCGAGGATGGTAAACGGGGCGGTTTCAACGTCAGCGTCTCGCCAGTAGACCCAGCTATGCGTCGGGCGCAGCGTGGCACTCAGCAGCCAGTTCCTCGCCTGGGCCATGAGCTTCCGTCTCGAGGCCTGGGCCGCAAAGCCGTGTCTGCTCTCGACGTCCTGGTTGACCTTCTGGCCAAAGTCCTTCTCGATGACCGAGATCTCGCCGTACGGCTGCCGCGGGTCCGGGTCGTTCTGCAGCTCCTCCAGCAGCTTCGTCAGCAGGCCCGAGGTGTCGTCCTTCGAGTCCGAGACCAGGAAGGCCAGGTCAATGAGGTGGTGAGGGTAGGTGAAGTTGCGCAGATGCGAGAAGAACATGGGCAGGTGAGGCGCGGCGTCTCGTAGGGGGGTGCACAGCAGGACTCGCTCCTCGCGCTCCCACCCCCTGGGCGTCCCCTCGACGTTCGACAGGTCGTAGTAGCGGACGGTCTCGAGCTGGAAGTCGTCTGAGGCGGCGAAGAGGCCGAGCGAGGCTGCTCCCAGCAGCGACGGGCGCCATGAAGGGAAGAGGAAGAGCAGCAGGCCGATCGAGAGCAGGCCGCCGACGACGAGACGCTGCAGCAGGGCCCGGCGGCGGCGAAGAGCAGGCTGCGAGCGAGGTTGGAATCTTTGCCAGTCAGCTATCTTCTTCATCTCTCTGTCTCCGTCTTCATCTATTCGTTATTCAGTGATATATTCGTGGTATCCTACCTATGGGGGGAGATGGAAAATGTACCGCTCTCCCGCTTGGGGGCAGCGGTATAGCCATTGGAAAAGGCCGAATGCCTGTTCATGTCGCCGCGAGCAGCATCAGCAGCGGCAGCGGCCTTGATCTAGAGACTCGAGCAGTCGAAGCAGAGAAGTAGAAGCAGAGAAACAGCGGAAGAAGCAGAGAAGAAGAGAAGATGAAGATGTGAAAAAGAACAAGGGGCCAAAGGGGCGAAAAAGAGACGAAGATCACAAAAGGAGTCAGCAAGCCGCAGCCCTCAGAAGTGCCAGCAGCGGCCAATACAAGGCGCTTTAACGTCCAATATTTGGCCAGACAAGCGAGTGAGACAGATAGACGGCGTCTTCGTCTCTTCTTCTGCTCTTCGGTCGGCTTTTTACTGGTTTTTTCGCTTTCTTCAGCTTGTTTCAGGGATCATCTTTCTTCCGCCTGCAGGTCTTGCTCAAGTACCCGCGATGTAGACAGATGTATAGACAGTTGTACGGAGTAGACTATGGCCTATATCTACTATGTTCCCTACTGCTAGAGGCCTCGTTGTACGGAGTAGCTTGTGGTAGATATAAGACGTTGATTCAGTATCTGCTGCTGCGGTGTTATGCTGGATATGAAGCAAAAAGACACCGTGGCCGGCGATCTTCATGCCTCTGCCAGGATCGAGATCAACAGAGAATACGAGTGGAAAAAAGGCAGACGGCGGGTAGCCGGTGGTACGTAGTGCTCCCATGAGAGCCGTGTAAGAGATGATAGCGGTGATGGTTGCTCTCCTGATGCCGCAGTTGATATATACGGAGTATAGGATACAAGATACCCCTGAATGGCTACCCCTGAGATACCTGGAGATACCGAAGAGTTCTTTCTATTCCCTATCATGTATCATGTATCATGCTACAACTGAGTAACTACCTGACAGTAGCTCCAGCAAGGCTCTTGACGGTACAGACTCCACCAGACTTGACCATCAGCCTGCCCATGGCCGGCTTCGAGCCAGCAGCCTCGCTCACCTGAGGCACCGCCGCGCTCTCAAACACAACCTCCAGCCCGTCCGTCGTCGTGAAGCCCGGCTGGAAGGTCTCCCACATCTTCTTCTTCGGGTTCAGCTGCTTCTCCGGCTCCGCTTCGTCCCAGCCGTCAAAGTACACTCGCTCACCTGCCTCTGCGCCCTCGGGCGGGTTGACCAGCTCGACGGGGCCGGCATGCGAGTCGTCGTTGCGTGGTGAAGCTGCCAGCACCATGGCCGCAGACTTGATTCCTCGCATCGTCACCGGCTTCAGGTTGCAGACCGTCACCACTTTGCGGCCCTGCATATCCTCCAGGGGAACCAGACCGTTCAGGCCGGAGCAGACGGTTCGGACAGTCAGTCCCGTTTCTTCGTCGAGCTGCGTGTTGTCGCTGCCGGGAGCGTCTCCGCAGGCTATCGTCGAGACGTAAAGCGAGTCTGCGTTGGGGTGGTTGATGGCTCGTAGAATATGGCCGACACGCAGGTCGATGACGCAGGGCGACATGGGTGCTGCCGGCGCGGGAGCGGGCTTCTGTCGAGGCTGCTTCTCCTTCTTTTCCTTCTTTGCCTTGTTCTCTCCTGCTGCTTCACCTCCAGCAGCGCCAGCTTCACCCTTAGTAGCAGCATCTTCCGGCTTCCCCTTTCCAACCACAACAGTAGCCTCAGCCTTCTTCTTAGCCTTCTTGTCGTCCTTGGGCACCGCAATCACATTATCCAGGTCAATAGCAACCTTCTCCTCGGCCGGTATCTCCAGTCCAAACAGCTCTGCGTTCTGCACAAAGTCCACATGCCGCACAATATGATGGTACCCGTCCTCCCCCGTCCGCTGCTCAGCAGTCCACTTCTCCACCACGGGAGCCAGAGCTGCATACAGCGCCACGTCCAGCACAGACGGCTTCACGCCCAGCATTGTAGTCCGCATAGCCAGATGTGCGTTCAGCTTCTTCAGCTGCTCTCCCAGCCCCAGTTTCTCAGCATCTGCGCCCTCCTTCAGGCTGTCTGACAGCTTCCTGACATCGCCCAGCCATGACTCGATCTCTGCTCGCTCGGCGTCAGAGTACAGCACCGTGGGGAAGATGAGCGGCGTGAGGGTGTGCAGGTTGACCTCCGTGGCCTGCAGCGGGACGGCCTGCGGGTATGAGCGGTGCAGCAGCGAGAGCAGCGAGGCCGTCGGTGTCGATGCCGTCGCCATGCTGGCTGTCCTGTTCGCCTGGCTTCCTAGAATGCCTCTTGCACTGCTTCTTCTCGCTGCCGGTGCGGGCGAAGCTGCTCGGGTGACTGCTGTGACTGTTGCTGAGAGCGCTCGTCGCGGGGTTGAGGCCCGGAGAAGCGACGGGATCAGGCCTGGGGGCGGCAGCTTGACGGATGGCACTCTCAGACCGAGTGCACTGCAGAGACAATCGGTCTTCGTCTCTTCTTCTCTTCTTCGTCTATTTTCTTGTCTTTAATTCGCTTCGTCTGTTCAATTCGTTGTTATTTCGTCTTTTTTCCTGTTGATTTTTAGAAAACTTTTTGTGTCGAGGGGTTGCTTAGTAAGCGGGAGATACAGAATACGGGATAAGACATTGATATAGATATTGATATAGATATTGATAGAAGTGGAATAGAAGTAGATGAGTTTATTAGAATTATGTACGGTCGTGACGCAGTCAATATGATACATGACTGAACTAGCTACAAGAAGAAAAGAGTCCGTCTATCATCAAGGAGAAAAATGGTCAAGAAAAACATCAAGCATGCGGAGCAAGAGAGATGGAAGGACCTCGCTGGTCGAAGACGACGAAGAGGGCCTTGAAGAAGACGTCTCCCAGAATCTGGATGCCGCCGGCGTTGTTGGACTGTAGGCCTCCGTAGCATGCTACTCCCAGTTAGTAAGTGGACATCAAAATGTAAAAGGACGTAAAAGAAAAGGGGATCATACTCTCAACGCCGTCAGGACCAGGGCCGTAGCTCTGGAAAGTGAGCAGCGAGCTCGGGATAATAGCCATATGGTCTGTTCCCACTGCAAGAAAGAGAGAGGGCATGGGCGAGTTGCACGGATACACCCATCCAGCAAACCGAGTGGGATCGTACCGCGCTCCGGGAACCTGTGCATAGTACGCCTTGACAATCTTCTCGTCCAGGACAAGCAGCGTGGTACCCGTATCCAGGATCGCGGTGCCAGTCCCGTTCTGAATCGTCTGGATTTTATCCAGCTTGCCCACAGAGTACAAGCTGCACGGGATCTCCCAGAAGCCATTCTCGTTGATGACGGGCACCTTGATCAGATCGCCGTGATACTTGGACTTGTCGATGGTGCCGAACTCGTATGAGCCCATCTTGCCGTGTCTGAGCTGGGCGGTGAACACAGGCTCGTCCAGGTCCTCGGCCAGGTTCTCGAAGAAGGTCTTCTGCTTGACGGGGCGGATGGTGTTGAGCTTGGTCATGGCCAGACCGACAAGGCCGTCGGACGTCTTGTCCTCTGCGAGTGAGGCTGCAACTTTGCTGGGCAGCCCAATAGCTTGGTTGCGGACTGTGGCGCCGCCAATGTCCATCACATCCGAGTAGACCGGGCCAGAAGCGTGGGTTTTGTCGCCGTACTTGATGTCAAAGGTCTGGTCGACCAGCTTGGATGCTGTCTTGGACTTGGACGGATCATACAGGTGGTGGTCCTTCTTTGCCTCTTCATCGGTCATTTGCGTGTTCATCACCCATCTAGATTCGCTGTTTAGTGATCTGTCGGATGTGATATTGATATGATGCATCAGAAAAGAAGCACTTACGTGTCTGACGAGCCAGTATCAAAGTTCATGATGAATGGCTGTCCTCCAATGGTCACTGGGGAGAGAAATTGGATATCATGGTTCGTAGGATTGTTCACGACCTCGCCCTTCTCATCTTGACTCTCGACGCCCTCCTTGCCGCTGCCTGCAGTAGCCTTCGAGTTGCCAGGGAGTTTGCTGATGTGCTGTGGATGGTAGCCGTCCATCTCATGCGTTGTTGGGATGCCGTATTTGGCGTACGCTCTCTGCAGGTCTGTTGGTCCATCGCGAGAATACTCTGTTTCTCCCCGTCGCGCAAGATGTACCTTGAAGCTGCCGGTCTTCTTTCGAGGTGTAGGCTTGCTGAGTGCGAGAGGCAGCAGGACAGCTACCAGGAGGGTTGATACATGCATCTTCATGGCTTTTTTGGTAGCAAAGGGAACTGGAAAAAAGAGATAGAGAGAAATGGCCAGAAAAAGAGAAGCAAAGAGAGATGCAGAAGTAAAGAAAAGGAAGAACTTTTTAACTGTCTGGCACAGTGAATAGAAATAAACAAAAAAGATGTATGAATCAAAGAGGTCAACAATTGATATCTATGAGGACAATAACAGACAGACAGCCCGCTGCGGCCGGGCAACCATCAAGTGAAGGAAGTCCTAGGCCTGGCACCAGTCTATTCAAGATAGACGGAGGTATGTACGTTTTTTGATGGACCGGCCAGAAAAAGGGACAAAAAGACAAAGATGGTAAATCCACTGCTCAGCAGTGATGCATTGATATAGGACAGAAACAAAAAAAAAAAAAAAAAAAAAAAAACAAGCGAGAGAAAGAAGAGAGTGAAAGAGAGAGGAAGCGAGGGAGAGGGTTAAAGACAGTCACAGACAGGCAGGAGATGTAACCAGAACCAGGTCCATCCCTGAGCGGCCATATCTGTATCTTTTATAAAACTCTCCGCAGAGAAGAAAAGAAAAGAAAAGCAAAGAACAAGCGCATAAACTCGACTGTGATCCAGGTGTCAAACAGCCTTAAGCTTAGTCTGCCCCTTTCCTGCCTTGGGAGCCCAGGCAGCAAAGAGGACAAGCTGCAGACAGAATAATGCAGATGCAGGCAAAAAGACGCAAGAAAAAAAAAAAAGCGCCCTTCTCCTGGTCCGAAAAGTCTGTCTGACTGCCGAAGTCCCACAGGGCGGCATGCTGGCGAGAGTAAGGTGTCGGCTCTTCCGTCGCCCATTGGATCTTGTGCGAGGCCTGGGGCGCCAGAGCCAGGTCGCAAGCGAGAGGTATGAAACGCTGAGGAGTGGATGAGAGACAGCCAACACCGCAGGAAGTCAATCAAAGGGGAAAGAGAAAGACGAACAGCCGCCGGCCAAGGGCGAGAGGTGAAACCAGCCCCGGAGGCGAGTGTCGATAGGCCTGGAACTTGGCGCGGAGAAGGGCGCTGATTCGGCAGATGGAAATCAGTGAAACGCACCCTTGATTGGGGGAGGAGAATGTTTCTTTTTTTATCAGCCAGCAAGTCGAACTAGTCAAGACTAGTGAATTGCTTGGTTGCGGTTTATATGTTGTGTGAGTTTGTTGACTCTGGAAGTCTGCAGCGGGAGATGTTCAATGGCTGCGGTGGACGGGAGATATTCGTTCGACCCCTTGCAGCCCTGGCTTGTCCGGCGGCTAGACGTAGATATAAATAGTCGAGCAGTCGAGGATCGTGGTCGATAAGACGGACGGTAAGAGTAGTAATAAAAAAAAAGCTGCTGAAGAATCTGTGTGCAGGGCTGACAGGGTCTTGGATACGTGATTATGGGTTTGGTGGTTGGGGGGGGTTACTCAGAGCACATCTTGGTCGCCCAGGAGCCTGCCAACCTGTCTGACAACCGACTTCAAGGCCAGCGTCGCGGGACTGTCCGGAAAGCTGTCAATGAAGCTCTCACCAAAGTCGCAGGCCATGCCTACTCGAGGGTCGAGCGGTATCGAGCCCAGGAACTCGATGTCCAGGTCTGCCGCCAGCTGTCTGCCTCCGCCGGTGGTCGCCTTGAAGATGTCAGACTGGTGCTTGCAGCTGGGACAGACGAAGCCTGACATGTTCTCTACCAATCCGAGGATGCGTATACCAGCCTTGCGACAAAAGTCGACTTCCTTGCGCACATCAAGCAGTGACACCTCCTGCGGCGTGGTGACCAACACTGCTCCGTCAACCCCAGACTCCTTCAGCAGCGAATTAACAGAAAGGTGCTCATCCGAGGTGCCCGGCGGGGTGTCGACAATCAGGTAGTCCATCTCCCCCCATTCGACGTCCTTGAGGAACTGCTTGATGAGTCCGTTCTTCTTGGGACCGCGCCATATGACGGCGTCGTCGCGGTTGGGCAGCATGAACTGGATGCTCATGACGGCCAAGTTGTCCGACACCCAGACCGGGTTCCAGCCGTCAGCGCTGACGTGGATTGTCTCTGCCTCGACATCCATCATCTTGGGGATGGAGGGCCCGCAGATGTCGGCGTCCATGATGCCCACAGTCGACTGCGGGTTCGAGGCGAATGCGTGTGCCAGCAGGGTCGAAAAGGTCGACTTGCCCACTCCTCCCTTGCCCGAGAGCACGAGGATCTTGTGTCTAATCGATGCCAGGCGTGCAGTGATGAGCGGGATGTCCGGGTCGGGCCCCTTGGGGGCGGAAGCACATATCGCCTGGTTCGGACACCCTGCGCAGGCGTCTCCCTTTCCGGCCTGTGACGACGTTGGTCCCGGGCAGTGTTCTATCCAGTTAGTCGCCTTCTCCTTGCCTATATAACTATGCAAGAGTGTCCAGATGATCAGCCTACCTGGCTCCGGCGCAACAAGATCTGGGGCCTCCGCCATCTTTCTTTCCCGCCCTCTTTTCTTCCTGTTCCCCGAGTTCCCTCACTTAATCCCCCGTCTTCCGCTTGGCTTCTTCCTTATCCCGCGTACTACCAAGTCAGAGCTGCTGCTGCTGTCCGGCTTCTTCAGCGTCCTTGTCTGTCTCTCTCTGTCTGTCTCTGTCTCTGTCTGTTAAGCTGATAAAAAAAGCATCTGAAAGATTGATAATCAAAATCCCTTATCGTGTATGGTAACGTATTGTAAGATCTTCCGTAGCATGTGATTATCCACGCCGCTTTCTGCCTGTAACTTTGGTATTAGCCGTTACCCCCACTATACTCCGTACATCAATAACGACATCCGCCGCAGCAGCAAAAGACGAGCAAAAGACGGGCAAGAAGACAGCGAAAAGTGACGAAAACAAGAGACGGCAAGGGAAAGAAAAGCTGCTGGGCGTGCAGAGGGAGTCCGTGTCGATGGCATACGTGCGATTAAACTCGCCCGATCGTCTCTGGGGTCGATCCTGGGGGCGCTACCAAGTATCCCTTTGTACCGAGTACTTACTTCTACCTCCCGCGGCCGCTGGCTATTCAGCATTATCCTGCTTCCTGGCCGTCGTCAAAGGCGAAGAGGAGAAGCAATCCCTCTGGCGGCCCGCGATCACCGCAACAACCGCATCAACCGCATCTTTTCAAGGGCCGTCGAAAGTCAAAGAACCCGCCCTGCGCAGACGATCAGAGGCCACCCCTCGCCCGCCGTCGTTGGTGGAGGAGGTGTCTCTACCTCTTCCGTTACCTGTTTTGACGTCCCTGATCTCGTATTTATGCATGCACATGTAGGCCGGGATGCTTCTCATGCACCCGTAGGCATCCTCATCCCGACGTTGATGTTGATATTGTGTTATGGCGCGGGCTCCGCAGCTGTTTAGTTCGTAGTTAGTCGAAAGCGCAGCAAAAAGACGCCGCCGGACGTTGACATCATCGAGCAGGGCGACGGGAAAAGCAAAAGCAAAACCCACAAGAGGAGAAAAAGGCCGCTCCATCCAACCCTGACGTCGGCGCAGCCATTATTATGCTATTTAAGAGACAAGACTAGCTTCTGGCAGTTGATATAGCCCCGGGTTGCGCCTCTTCGTCGTCTCGCTTCTTTTTCCGAGGGACTTTTTCGGCCAAGAAGTCGTTTTTGCTGCAGGTCTCGTGTGCCTCTTGGGGAGATTTTTCGACAGACTCCAGCCATTAACTATCGCCGCATCACAGAGAGCCCACAAGTGCATCAGGCCTGCCAATTCAACTTGGCCAGCATCGTATTGGACGATTCAACTCTGCGGCGGTCCGGACAGTTGGCTGGTTGGAAGACTACGCCGTCGTTGGAGGCCATTGTTGATAATACCTGCGACTACAACAACAACAGCAAGACGGAGTGACAACCGCCACCATGGCAAGACTATCTGGAGTCGAGCGGCCGGACGACAGTGGACTGCGCGAGAGAAAGGCCAAGGCAGTAGAAGAGCCCGTCAAGCAGCCTGTTGAGGGCGCGGATGGCGCTGCTGCTGCTGCTCAGGCAAAGAAGAAGACCATCGGCAGGACGCCAGACGGCACTGGTAGGTCTACATTATTATGCAATTACACCTGGTATTATCTTTGAATGCAGGCTGACAGACGGCAGCATTCACCGTTCCGCATACTCGGGACATGGTCTCGCAGTTGTTGTCGCCCTCGGAGCCCAAGAACCTGTCAGACATCCTGGTGCTGTCCATCATCGGCCTGCACATCGTCCTGCTCTACCTGCTGCCATCCTTCCTGCGCATCCCCATATTTGCCGTGCTCTTCCTCTCATGGCGCGCTGCGTACAATATCGGCATCGGGTGGCTTCTCCACATGCAGTCAAACCACTCTACAATGGTGCTCTGGGCCCGTCAGACAAAGATATTCGTCAACCCGGCCACCGGAGACAACCCGCACCCACAGCTATACAGCTTCATCAAACGCGAGCTGGAGACCAAGATACCCGAAGACTACTCATTTGAAGATGCGCCGATAGAGTACAATACCTGGCTGGTCTTCAGACGGGTTGTCGACCTTATTCTCATGTGTGATTTTACTTCCTACTGCCTCTTTGCGATTGCATGTGGCTCCCGGCCTGCAGAGGAGAACTTTTTGGTCCTCATTCTTCGTTGGGTTGTTGGATTGGGCCTTGTTCTGTTCAATCTCTGGGTCAAACTCGATGCGCATCGTGTCGTCAAGGATTTCGCCTGGTACTGGGGTGATTTCTTCTATCTTGTTGACCAGGAGTTGACCTTTGACGGCGTCTTCGAAATGGCCCCCCACCCCATGTATTCTGTTGGATACGCTGGTTACTACGGAATCTCCCTCATGGCTGCCAGCTACAAGGTGCTCTTCATCTCAATTCTCGCCCACGCAGCCCAGTTTGCCTTCCTTGTCCTGGTAGAGAACCCGCATATTGAAAAGACCTACAATGCGCCTCCACCACGAAAGAGAACCATTGAATCTCATGCTGGACTTGCCGGGGAGGAGAAATCCAGCCGCAGGCCATCTGAAAGCAGTGAAATGGTTCCCCCTCCGTCTCCTGTGGCTCTGCCTTCTTCAACCCATAATCTCGTCGGTGTCAAGAACCTCGATCTCCACCGTATCACTGATTCCTCCATCATCCTGATCCAGGTTCTCTTCTTTGCTCTTACCATGCTTACCCCATCCACACCCATATATCAGTTCTTTTTCGTCTTAAACGCTGCCATCTGGCGACTCTGGTACTCCGTTGGCATCGGTTACATCCTCAACTGCCAATCCCACCGCCGAGAATGGACCAGACACTTCGTCAAGTTTGGAGAAACCAAGGAAGAAGCCTGGAACCAGTGGAAAGGAACATACCATCTTAGCATGACCCTCTGCTACGCCAGTTTCATCGCCGCCGCCTGGAAAATGTACACTCTCCCGGAAAACTGGGGATACGGTCTTGCCATCCTCAAACACGTCCTTGGTGCCGGCCTGATTGCACTCCAGATATGGACCTCCGTCAGCATCTACGATTCCCTGGGCGAGTTTGGCTGGTTCTTCGGTGACTTCTTCTTCGACGAGGCGCCCAAGTTGACGTACAGTGGTATCTACCGCTTCCTCAACAACCCGGAACGTGTCCTTGGTCTCGCGGGTGTCTGGGGTGCCGCACTCATTACCAGCAGTCGAGCCATGATCTTCCTCGCCCTGCTCAGCCATACCCTCGGAATCGCATTCATCCAACTCGTCGAACGCCCACACATGCAGAAACTATACGGCCGTGGACTCCGACAGGACGCCGGCTTGGTACGCAGCATCAAACGCTCGCTTCCTCCCTCGTTCAAACAATTGCACGGCAGCGTCGATCGGATCCTGGACGAATCAATCGAGTTCATCGAGGAAGTCCTCGACACCGCACGACCAAAGCTGGCTGCCGGCGTCACCACCTTCGTCAAGGATACCAGTGAGCTATTCCACAAGTACCCTGCTCGCATCACCATCACCCGTATCGAACCTGATCTTGCTGGCTACGACATGAACGACTACTCCATCAACGTCGACACATCCGACTGCATCACCATCCGGGACGGCGCGGAAGACAAATCCGAAGTGCTCGTCTTCGAATACGGTTCCCCGATCAAAGTTAACTGGACTGCACCATTGAACCATAGCAAAAGGGACTGGGTAGGCCTGTACATGATTGGCCAAAACCCGTCTCGTGAAGTCACCAATGTTTCCTCCTGGGGTCGATGGGTAGCTACTAACCATGGCTCCTTTGACTCCGTACTTAGCGAAAAGGGCCTAATAGCAAGTGATGTCGTCGTTTCAAAACCCGGCACATCCAACACCAGCAAGAAACCATCCGCTAAGTCAAGTTCGGGTAAAAAGTCCTCCACCTCCTCCTCCTCTCACGAAGTAGCTTCCGGCCAAATGGTTTTCTCTGGCGACAAGCTATGGTGGACCCAAGGCGTATTTGAATTCCGATACCACCATAACGGCAAGCATAATGTCATGGCTACTTCGCGACCATTCGAGATCCGTATACCCAAGTTTGATGACGGACAAATCCCATCCCACGTTTCTAGCAATGGTAACGGTTTCATGACTACAGCAATCGAACAGGCCCTTCTACCCATTGTGCAGAACTGCTTTGATAGAGATCCGGAGATCTCGCCGCAGACTGCCGAGGAGCCTTTCGGATGTGAGACCGAAGGTGATCTTAAGTATGCTAAGAGGGTTGTGTATGCTGTTCATCAGATGTATGTCCCAGTCAACTTTCCTACCACTAATTCCTCATTGCAGTTGCTAATTTAACATGCCAGGTTTGGAATTGAATTCGCTACTGAGGTTGTTCGCGCCGATGGCAATGTGCAGAACCTCGCATGGAGGATATGCAATGCAAAGAAAGTTTTGGTACGTTATAAAACTGACTTTTCCCTCGTATCTGTCGAATAGTACCGGCTAATGATCTCTATAGGCACCCTATAGCATGAGAAAATCAAACGGCGCCAGCACACCAACTGGTGAATCCGAAGAAATGAAATAGACACCCCAGCAAAAAAGATACAGTATACCAAGTTCCTTATCCCTCTGGAATTATATATTCTTATCCCTCATTACCCGGGTTGTTGTTGTCCGTGTCTATGACCTTATTGATTGTCTAGGCTAAACCCCATCCCATCCCTAAACCACATATATCATTACACTAAACTACACTACACTGCATGCTTTGGGCTTGTTTCATAGAGCAATTGAATACATACATACCTATTCCTTGCATACACGCTCCCTTTTACCCTGCCCCATGCTCTCTCTGCACGATGAACATTTTATATCCCTTGCTCTTCATGGCATATGATTCTTCATGGTTATTATTATGCATTTTACGAGAATAAAGACGGAAAGTAAAAAAAAAAAAAAAAAAGAGGGGAGCGGAGAAGAGAGATGAGATCGGGCGTTTGATGAGATAATGTTAGAGTAGCTTGGATGAGTTTTAATATATCCGGGTTTCTTTAATTTGTTCTCGTAGTGGGTATGGGGCCTGGTTTCTGTAGGAATATAGACAAGACACTCACACCCATTAATAGGCAACATACGACACTATTAAGGAAGAGACAAAACAGACAAGGGAAAGATAGCATTCATTCATATAAAATATACAAGATTACGCTAGATATGAGATGACTCTACAACTTACACCTTCAAACAGTCAGCAACATTTCTTGACTGGTAGTAGGCTGCATCCCACAGACATATACAGGGCAATGTGAGTGAAAGTCAGGTAAGCCGTTTTAAATCATCCCCTTCCCCCATCAAGACCACCGCCCAATCAACACTCCAAAACGAAATGATGGAAGAACAGCAGTCCAGATAGGACTTTGACACTCAGTAACCAGACTATAATTCGAAGATAAATGTCCTTGCCTTCCTCCACAACCAATCATCCCCATCCGCTTTGAAAGAAGACAGGTCCGGTATCAGGGAGGGGAGAAGACCTTCAAATCAAGCCCGGAGACATCGATATCAAATGGAGGTTACCCTTTCGGGATCTTGGAATGGATTGACTTGGTATCATCATGAAGGAATGTGTTGGGTATGTTTGGTAGCACGAAGTAGCATGGGAGGCAAAATCGCTTTAACTCACATTTTATGCAGCCCGATGGATCAGGAGGCTGATATTGGTATGATTTGAAATCGAACGGTACGATGTATCTACAAGAGTTATCCACTTGGACATGTTAGTCAATATGCATCTCGACAAGTGGCTCTAAAATGACAAGTCCAAAATTGTGTGAATGTGATCAGGAGGTTTGGTAAGATTTTGTTATCTTCAATGATATTGCAGAAGCAGAACTGAAAAAAATGATTCTCATCATGAAGGATTTTGGCGCGGTAGAGGCGGTTGTAGGAAAATTTCTTACCGACGCTGTTCAATTGGCTTGTCTTGCCACTCAATTGATCGGCCACGAAGCAGTCTCGCAGCTACCTATTCTCATCTATCAGCAAGAAGGCCCTCCCACGATGTGATATGAGTCAAAAAGAGAAGAGGAGAGAAGTATTCAGATGGTAGTGCATGTTCTGTAAGGCTCATTGTGAATCGCCGAAAGAACTTTTGAAAATATGCATCATAAAAGGGAATTGAAGAGGGAAAAGCAGACATATCCTTACCTGTTAGTATGCAGAACCACGCTCAACTCAGCTCGACTGAAAGTCTCCAAAGCATCATCAACTCTGGCCATCTCCATCGTGGCGAGCGAGCGTGGTTCATCTGTTGTTTGTGTGAAGAAAAGAAGGAAAAGAAAGAGTTTTACATTGTGAAGTGAGGTCGCTTTTTGAGTGCAGAAAATAACCGGAAGATCTTCGGCCCGACGCGTCCACTTCCATTCGGAAAACATCGACCTCGGGACCTCGCGATAAAGACGGGCGTAGGACGATAGGTAAAAGATACAGCAGACAACATTGAGAAGATAGTGACTGTCGGTGGGATGGCGGATAGAAGGAGGATCAATGGCCCAGCAGGAGCTACGAGAGCGCCAGTGTTTGTCTCCTGCGCAGATGGGAAGGACAAGTCGGCGGCCTTTGAGCGGCCGACTCGTACAAGAGACGCCAGAGAGCTCAGAAAGATCTGTAAGATGCTGACGATTCATGCTGGAAGCAGTTCATGGGGCTAATATATCTAGATTTAAAAACGGGAGTTATCCCATCAGCGTCTGGCTCAGCTTACTTCGAGCTTCACCCATCCAATTCCAGTTCCGGCGGCTCTCTTATCCCGCCATCTTCGTCTCTAAAACTGATATGCTCTGTCAATGGACCAAAACCACTCTCTCGATCGACCCCCTTTTCTCCAAACCTTCTACTATCAGCCCATGTCAAATTCGCTCCCTTTGCTAATCGGCGGCGGAGAGCTCACGTTCGCGACATGAACGAGAGAGACTTGGGGGTTCACCTTGAAAATGCCCTTCGTGGAGCTATCATTGGCGATCGATGGCCCAAAAGCGGATTAGATATCACAATCATGATCTTAGAGGGGGAAGATGATCGCTGGTGGGGAGACATGTCAACTGCAGAGACCTTGACGGGATCTGATGGCTGGGGCATGATGAACGTCCTTGCGCACTGTGTCACTGTGGCTTCTGCGGCTATTGCAGACGCGAGAATTGATTGCTTAGACCTCGTTGCGGGGGGTGTTGCGGCTGTGGTTGGCACTTGCAGCTCGGGCGAGGGGGCTACATCATCTACCAAGACGGTGGTGCTTGACCCAGACCCTTCAGAGCATCTTAATATATCCTCATCCTGTGTTGTGGGCTATATGCCATCTCTAGACGAGATCACGGAACTATGGCTGAAAGGGGATATGCCTGGTGCGAGCTCCGATGGCACTTACGACTCTCGTAATCATGATGCCCTAATGGGTGGAGCCATTGCGGCAGCGAAGGCTTCTCACTCCGTTCTTATTGAAGCAGTCAAAGAGTCTGCCGTGCAAGCCATCAGTAACGCAGCGAACAATAAACCACACGATAGCAGCAGTGAGATGGAAATATAATAAAAGAAGAAACCCCTCCAAAATTAATTAACATCTTAACCCTGAATGTGGGTAGCCAATTTAGGACGAAAGGAGGCGACGAATTATCCCGGCATTCGAAGCGAAAAGGGTAATATCTCGCAGAAAAACCGATCGGGCACCAATATCTCGAGAATTATGTACCAGGTAGTAGTGGTGGCTCTTATTGAGTGTTAACACCAGCCCCCACCATCGCCGGCGGCCTTCTCGCTCTCAGTCTGTGATATCCTTCTTGAGGTGATCACCACAACCGCCACTGCGATGTCTCCCCCGCTGTTCCACATATTGATATTCTGTGGCGCAATATCGGCGCACCGTTGGAGGTTATCATCGCCACCACAATTTACTAGATGATCTCGTCCATATCCGGCCAACAGCGCTTTTATATGGAATATGAAAGATACCAAATGACAACAGGATGTACGTCAAATCCGTCCAAGACTAAGATGTTTATAGCTGTGTTACTGGATGTAATGGTGGTGAAATAAAATGAGAGAAGAAAAAATTAATATCCGCAAAATCGCCATTTTGTTTTCCCCTTTAAATCATCTGTTTTCCAGTTATTAATTTTCTGGGGGAATAGAGGAATCACGCCTGAGAGAGAGACGTCATGGCTTATGATCACAAAGACATTATCTAGAGCATCAAACTCCTGGACTTTACCTACCGTCTCCATGGCCGCATCGCGGTCTGGAAAGAGGAATCCGTGGGAAACCTCGAATATTGATTTGGTAGGACATCTTGCACGAGCATAGTCTCGAACCAAGACTCTATGATCAGTGCTTTTATCTTCGCTTTGTTTAACTGAAACTGGCAGAGGCAGATATGACGATGGCCGAAGCACGCCTGGATGGTGGCAAGTGTCAGCGCCCATGAAAATAAACGAAGGAGGGTCAGCTGTGGTACGTGCAAGTGCACATAGATGCCCTTCAGCATGGCCAGGTGCATCGAGCAGATAGAAGGATCCATTGCCAAAGAAATCCATGGCTCTAAATTGGCCAATATTCGGGCAGTTGTCAAAGGATATCTCTCGAACGACCCTTTAAGCAGTATCACTTTCCAGGACAAACGAGTCTGGGTTCTGCGGCCAGACTGAGAGAGCTATATCTCTGGCTCCAGGTCCGACTATGAGCTCCGTAGTAGGCGGAAAGACGGACATGTCCCCAATATGGTCGAAGTGGTTATGTGACCATATCACTGCCTGTATGTCTTCGCGCCGGAGATTAAGGTCACCGGTATTGGACTCAATGATCGAGGCTACATCTGAGCCTACTGTGATAACCGTTGTTTCTTCAATAACTGAAACAACCTTTGGAGCATAGTTCCGCCAGTCGGTACGGATACCGAGATCAAATACGATGTTCCGGGTGCCGCTGGATACGAGGAAGCAGTATGAAGGTGCGTGGAAGCCAGTGAATCCCTCGATCATTGGCTCCCAGAACAGTTTCGGGTTCAAGTGGACAAGAGTGTTGCTGGTGTTGATTCAGCTGTTAACTGGGTGACTAATGGGAGGTGTCGTGGACATACGTATCGATAACCCGCACATTTACCGTGGACGATGAGATCGGTATATCTACGCCTGGTGTGGGGATAGCTGTTCCAAGCTCTTTGCTTTCCATGGCTCGTTATTTCTGATTGTGTCTGTGGACCTGAAGCCGTCAAGGTATGTTTTCAATTCCATCAATCAGGGTATATAATGTACGATGGGCGTGTCTAACCCCGCCTATGCATCCCTTCTGCAACGGTAGCATGGGCCTGCAAAAAGCTTCAGCAAGGAGCGTTATTGACATGTGCTATCCAACATGATGTACGGAATAGTTAGAGATGCTGACATATGACTAGCTGAATATCAGTGTCAAGTTACACCGAGTTATCTCTTCATTGACAGGAGCTTTCGAACGCACTTGCCACCAGCCAAGTGCTAGAGCCTTATAGTGTTACTGGCTAGCTTCTTCGGATGTCAAATAGCAAATGGTACCGTGGTGTCCGATCTAGGTGGCCTAACAGATCTGGCTTTCTAGCACATACATAGACCAGCCTGGAGCGGCTAATACGGGATCTATATAACACTTATGCGAACCGTGGGTTAGTTAATTACCGGGGATACGGCACTGGAATCATCCGGACTTGAGGAACCGAAGAGCTCTGCCAGAGTAGACTTCTTCAGAGGGGCGCTGCTGGTTTCACAACGCCTATATAATTCTGGGCTCTGGCGGTGACATACAACCATGGCTGTGTTGGACAGTATAGCCCAGTGGCCCGTGATGGCAACACTCGTAATGGGAGGCAGCTGACGGCTTGCCCAGCGGCCTATGTCAGCCTCCTTATCTCCGCCTCAAAAACAACAGCTTGTCAGCAGGCTGTCACTCGAAAGGAGGGCTTCTAAGGGTCGTCAAGGTCCTTACGCCGTGTAGTTCTGTCAACTTCAAGTCCCCCTCCAGCTAGCTCGTTGGTTATCGACGGGAAAATTCGATGGTCAGAGATAACGCCAAACCCCGTCCCATGATCGTCTAGACAGACAACGCATCTATATAAAGCAAACGAATAACCTTAGGTTTATTCTTAGTTCAATAGTCGATCTATTGGAATGCAGTCCAATATTTGCCGTGTAGATCGAGGCTTAAGTTTCTACATAAAAACTTCCAGAAACGGAACGCTTACGTGAGACGGCTCGATGTGGTTACTTCAACCTCTCGACCTCAACCTGAGATTCATCAACTGCAACATCGTCAGCTTTGTATCTTGATATCAGGTATGAAGCCCAGAAATTTGACTGCTAGGGAGTATCCCTCTCCTAGGCAGAGATAGACTGCCCGAGGATTGACGCCATGCTGGCTTTCTCAGGGATTTAGACAAAGAGCAATGGCGAGGTCGATTTGTGGACTGATGTGGCTGAAACTGCGTCTTCCCACGTCGAAATCGTAACCCGGGCGAGAAGAAGCGAAGCAAGCACAAGGGGAATCCATGCTGGGAATTTGCCGTTCTCTAATCCCTATGCTGTTGTCTATCGAAAGGCTCCGGACAGCATTCAACCAAGGGCGGCTCCAAGACGTGAAGGAGCTTTTATCTCAGGGGCAAGGCAGTCGATCGAGATGTACGGGATAGAAGGGCGGATCTTGCAAGGCAATGCTGTAATCCTGGATCCTAGGTCCCCCAGGTAGCTTAAACTGATCAATCGTGTCCACTTGCTCCTGTCATTGTGCCAGCGAATGGTCGCGATCCCGATGCCTCTCTCGCTGTACGAGAGGGAAAGACATCACACCACCAACTAGGGAGACCCTTGTTGGCCGAAGGCTGAGTTTGGCTCATGGTCCGTCCCGGCCGGGGATTTCTTAGTCGAATGCATAGGCCCTCAGAAGAAGTTTCACATTTCTTGAATTCAAAGGAGCGTCCTTAGTATGGGGTACTTTTAGGAGGCGGCCGAATTAATTCCAGGTGCTGGTGTAGGAAGCATGCATCTTGGTACAGCGGAATATATGCAGCTTGCTTTAACGTCCTCCCCTCACTCGCTGGGAGAGCGGCTCGTCAAAGCAGCCAAGGCACTAATCTTGAAGTGTTCCTTGCGATCGTCCTGATCAATGCCCTGGGATGGAATATACTAACGCTTCTGTGGAGCCGGCTCAATTGGTGTATTTCCCCACCCGAAGTCAACTGTCTAGTTCGGGTACTGGGAAGTGTGCCCCTGAAGCGTCCTCTTTCAACCTTGCCAATGCCGGGAAAGTCGAGTCACGGAGTCGACGGTTACGGAGTTTTCCGTAGAGCGAAACCTGTCGCAGTTTGGGTCACCTTGACTCAACTGTGTTGGGATATATCATGTTTAAAATATGTACGGAGTGAGCACGGAGTATATGCATCATGCTACGTAAGTGGCCCAGACTCGTCCATATTTATTTGCTCATTCGAGTGTCTGTGGAGGCGGTATAGTTTGAATATGCATTGATAATGGAAATAGAATATCCAAGGAACGCCTAACAATCCACCCCTTATGTCGATCGCAGGTTAGGCTGAGGGCCTCGTATATATTCATTTTTCCTGCCCGGGTATAAGGTCTCCAGTCTTCCTTATGGAGTATACTCAAAGCGTTTTTTTTTTTTCACTTCTCCGAACACTTTCGGTTGAATTTCTTTACTTTTCCAAGGTTGAACCTGGACTAGACAAGACCGAAGAAAAACATCCCTACCTGTGTCCAGGGGAGCTTCTCTCAAAATACGACCCCTTTTCAGAAAGACTTCAGGAAGGAAATGGCACTCAACCAATAATGCTCTACACCGGCCTTAACATAGTTCGGCTGCATGTCATCACGATAAAATTTGCAAGCCAATCCTGAACATGCTCCGTATTCCCACTCTCCTGTTCCCTTTACCAATACAAAAAGGGCGTATCGGGCGAAGGAGCTATGTCGGCCCTAAGGAAACTATTTAGCTCGGAGAGGCCCATATTTCATTACGACATAACTGACGGAGGACAGAACTCATATTCTCCTCTCGCTCAAGAGTCAGATTCTCCGGAAACTCGACCATCTCGCCTTCGCCATAGAAGCACTCCCCAATATATTGGATTTGAAAAGCAATTCGAAGACCTACACGAACAGCTGGAATCACGCCCGCCTCAAAGGCGTTCCTGTCTAGGTCATATGTCGTCTCCTCGACGAACCAAGCGCCATGTCGATGTGCTGGAGGCTATATTCTCCAAGCAGAGTCTATATCATGCCCCAACCGTTGTGCCGTTGACCACCACCTCCTACAACGAAGATATTGCCGAACGAAACCTTGCCGGCGGCGGCCAGGAACATGGAAGCTGTCCAAGTCGTTATTCCCACGTTATATCTGCAATATACCAAGAAGATGTAGCAGATCGAAATATGGTACCGTTCAGTCCCCCTATTCTCATTTCGCCTCCTCCGGGAGAAGAGCAAGTAGCTGGGAATAACCAGAAGCGAGCTGTGGCAAGGAGGGTGAAGAAGAGCCAGCGAGAGTCAGATTCGAGTTTATGCGAAGAAACAGCTGCTCTTCGAACCATTGCTTCGGACCAAGATATCCGCAGGCATCCCTCATGCTCAAGTAACAGGAACGAATTATCGAGCGGGAAGAAGTTGAGAGCAGACATGGACGAAAATAACCCATTGAGGTCAAGGAAATCTGCTCCTAACTTCTCCGTTCACCCCGCCGAAGACGAGGAACAGAACCCCAATGAAGCCTCTACAGCCCGCAAAAAACTCCCACAAGCACGAAGAACTCAAGGTACTTCCCAAGCTGAGCAGGGCTGTGAGCAGACAATTGAACGTCCACTATCGAAATCGTCCAATGACGACCCTAAGGCGGCTAAAGAATCGACGTCTAAGCCCGAGTCACAAGAAAATTCATCCAGCCCTGAACATAGCTCGTCAAACCGCTTGTTGTCGCCAAACAGTGCTCGGAGGCGGGTCAAGAGAAATGTCCGGGATCTGTCCATCAACACTCAACTGGCCGCTCCCGGAAAGAAGTTTGCAAAGATATCTAAAAAGTCCCCTTTGAGACCAGTTCCAGTCTCTCCATGCCGAGAGCCCAGCTCAACGCTGGATGAAATAGTAAACAGTCCGATAGCCCTTACAAGTCCAATAAACCCGTCCCCCAGGCTTACTGGCTTTACAGCTTCGGAAATGTTGAACCTATTCAAACAAGCATACGCATCGTCCCAAACGAATGCAGCCCGCCCCACCTTCGAATCCCTTCAGGATGCCATCATCCGCGAAATAAACAGTCATGATGCCTTCAGTCACCTTAATCCGCAGAGCCCGAGCCCCGTCTCGCCTGTACCGTCTCTCACACCAGACCTAAGCACGAACGGAAAACAAACAGAGAAGTATACGACCCGGCCGATGACGGCCCTCTCAGCAACACGGAGCGTTTCTTCGAGAGAAGGGAGCGTACGATCCAAACGAAGCTTCTGTTGTGACCATCAATCGAGGCCAGACTCCCAGGGGCGTGAGATATCGTTTCCAGCAATCAAAGAACTGGATCCGGAAAACAGCAACTCCGTTGCCCTCAAGAGAAGGTATTCCTGCTCTCAGCCAGCGCCCAGTCCTAGAGTACGGATTTTTGAACCCAACGATTGCTTGCATAGGGACGGAAGACGGCAACAAGTATCTGTAGCTACAGGTCAGGTGTCTGATATGTACCAAACCAAAGACCCGATTGGACACTCGAGCTTGCATTTCCGTCAGCAGCTTTCGAATGGTTACATTTCGAAGGCAGTCTCTATCTTCGATACACCGCAGACCATGAAACCATCCATGTCTATTAATGGCAGAGATGGTGTTCACATGGGCGACATATCCCCACCTGTAGTAACTATTTTCAGCGATGTTGAAGAGAAGCCATATTCTGGTCTCAGGAGAAAACGTTCGACAACCATGAAGTCCTCGAAACTACATTTATTCATACCCTGTCGCAAATCCTCACGCCCAAAACACATCCCCATTGTCATTTCCAACACCACAACCAACAACGTTCTCTATGACCCCCCTTCTAGTGGCACCAAAAAAAGCCCGATTAGCCCTCTCTCTACTTCTTCTGGACGAAAACGAATGCCCTTTCGGATAATTGGCAGTTAAATTTCTACTTTCTACCGTTTACTTTCTCAGGCAACCCGGTTGCATCTTACAGTCTTGACCGCTCAACTGGCTGGTTGGATGCCAATCGCTTGGTATGTCCTGGTTATGACTTTTCCTATGTTTGTATATCAGACGATGTACTACTCTTTGGATGATGTACTATGTTGCATCTCTCCTTCGCACCACGCAGGCATTTCATTAAGCGTTTATTTATGTGCTTTTTTATCTACATTCTTTGTGATTCCCCCATATATTATTTCCTTACCTTTTTGATAGCTAGTTGCACCGAATATACCAGAATTATCGGCCTCACGGCACCTGCAGTTTAATTTGTCTTGTTATTACTTGAAGTATGTAAAGCTACATGGAATCAAGGCTGTCCTACCATAAAACCACCCTGGAAACGGGACAAACGCGATGTGTAACAAGGACATCTCAAACCAAGGGCGAAAACCTACGATCTCCCGGCACTATGCATGTAAGTAAGAAGCGGAGCGCAGCTGTCTCATACACCGCGTTTTTGATGTCATACTGCGCATTCTCAGGTAATATATCGGATGAGTCGATGCAGACATCATCCTGGTAGTAAATTACTAGGCATCATCGCTGTTAGAGACAGCTTGGACCTGTTCTAGCAGGTATAGCCGTTCAATGATTAGTACGGAATGTAGACTGATCGTGGGATGTTAGTCAGAGTCAAACTGATTTCAGGCGGGCACGGGGCTGACACTAGTATTTTAGTAAAGAACAAAGGATGTTTCATCTCCAGATTCTCCTTTTATCCGTAGCAAATCGCTGTACGCCGTGATAACTGCGATGAATTCGGGGCTATGCATAAATGGCCAGATATTACCCTGCTATCTGTCCTTTTCTCCCGACCCAAGTGGGCTTCCTGCATTGGATAACTAGTGCAACGAACAGTTTCTGTCCATCCTGCACACCCGATGTGACTCTCCCTGCAACTGTCCTACGCTGGCAGACGCAAGGCGCACAAGGTGTAACCGCGTGTTGCGAAGTTGGGGACGGGCGTTTGAGATATACGAGGCCAAATAAGCTTGAATGCGGCCCGCCGAGCCAAGCACTGACCTCCTCCTGACCCGTGGCGCCGGGATCGTGTTCCGGCACGGCTCCACTCTGTAACAAGTATGTAGTTATGTATCGACCTCTGAGGATATCAAAGGCGACGGGTGTAGGACATGCGGCGTAGCAGGGCGACGGTTCTGCATGTTCACGGAGATGCTAGAGATATTCTGCCTATCTGACACCCGAGTCTCGGAGTGGGAAGATTCCGGGACTCGGTTCCTGCAAATATGGATGTTGTTCCCTTCTCACATTAACTATAGTTACCCTCTTGGCTCAACCTCACCTTTGCAGAGTGCTCCAGATTGATGAATTACAAGGCGGCCCAGGAGTCACAGAAAGCTCGCTTACGATGGGAGAGCCAACGAGCCCATCCAGCATACCTGAAACCACTACACAATGTACCAATGGAAACCTAGCCGCGAAAAAGGTTGAGGGAGATGCCCAGCTCGAGAGGGTAAAAGCCAACCAGCAATCTACAGACCCCAATATTGTTGACTGGGACGGGCCTGATGATCCGGAGAACCCACTCAATTGGTCATCAACAAGGAGAATTCTGATCATCATATTTGTGAGCTCTTATACGTTTACCTCGTAGGTGATTTTCCCTCTTTTCTACACTGGCACCAGTCAGAGAGCAGAAGTCTAACTAATTTAATCCATAAACTCAGGAATCTAGCCGCAACGATATTTGCCCCCGGGGTAAAGCAAATGACACATGAGTTCCACATCACCAATCCTACCGTCGAATACATGATAATAAGCATTTACGTGCTTGGATTTGCTCTAGGTCCGATAATATTTGGGCCTCTCTCCGAATTATATGGCCGCCTTGTCATTTACTACACATGTATCCTGGTATTCCTGGCCTTCACTGCAGGATGCACATTCAGTACCAATGTGGAGATGTTCCTTGCCTTTCGATTTATATGCGGCTGTGCTGCCTCCGGTCCCATGAGTATAGGAGGTGGCACGTTAGCTGATATCATCCCTCAGGAGGAGCGAGGAAGAGCTATAAGCATATTCACTCTGGGGCCCATGCTAGGCCCTGTATGTGATCTTCTACCCGAGGAATAACCGAATACCCTACTGACTTGGCACACGAATAACTAGGTTCTTGGCCCTGCTATCGGTGGTTTTATATCCCAGTACGCCACCTGGCGCTGGACCTTGAGGGTTATTCTGATATTGGTAGGATACTCCTACTGCAGCTAGGTTAGGTTTGATTCTAATATATTCACAGGCTGGTGTTATTAGCATCGGTACTTTCTTGTTTCTAAAGGAGACGTACGCACCAACCATATTGCAGAAAAAGGCTAAACGCCTGAGAAAAAAGACAGGAAACCCAAATCTCAAACCGAAAGTCGTCAAAAAGGGGGCTCCTCATCAAATGATCCTCCAGGCAATTATCCGTCCGATGAAGTTGCTCATTTTCTCACCTATAGTTTTACTCCTTGCCCTATATGCAGGGCTAGTATATGGCTTCTTTTTCCTGCTGTTCGCTACTTTCCCATCAGTATTCCAGAATACTTATGGATTTAGCAGTGGGACGTCTGGCCTTGCATACCTAGGTCTAGGTATTGGGATGATGATAGGTTTGGCTGTATTTTCCGTCGTGAGTGATAGGGTGCTAGTTAAGAAACCGGGTGAGTCCATGGCCAAACCAGAACAGCGTTTGATTCCGATGAAATGGTTCGGCCTTGCAACCCCAATTGGCTGTTTCATATATGGCTGGGCCGCGCACTACCATACACACTGGACGATACCGATATTAGGGACAGTTATCATGGGGTTTTCATCGCTGTTTATAATGACCCCAGCCCAGATTTACTGTGTTGATGCATTCGGACCGCAGGCCGCCGCCTCCGCACTTGCTGCCAATCTACTCATCCGCTCGCCGTTCGGTGCCTTTCTCGACCTTGCTGCAGGACCACTATATGGAAAGCTAGGATTGGGTTGGGGGAATAGTGTGCTAGGATTCATTATCCTGGCGTTCACGCCGGTACCGTGGTTGTTTTATCGATACGGGGAGTACTTGCGAACTCGATTTGCAGTCGAGTTATAGCATCAACGGTAGAATTCAGTAGAGGTCGGGAGACAGTAAAGGGTGGAGCTCTAGAATATACTCCTGTATATCTATTCGATTCGCCACCTTTAGGCATGATCATGACATCAATCATCGAGAATAAAGTACAAAAATTCATTGAATTCAATGGCTAAGTAACTCCTAGGTATGTTGCAAAGCAGTGAAGAATTAATCTTGTGGTATCAAAAGGAGGATACGTTTAATATGATCCTGGAAAAAGCGAGTTAGGCTCAGCCAACAAATAGTCAGTTTGATAGAATGGGGAGCACTTACGTCCGAACATGCACCACTTCTCGGCAGTCTTTTCACACTTGGGGTTGGTACATTTGGTTACTCCAAGTTCGATACCCTCTGGCTGATCGAATGGAATGCACAAACTCTTAGCACCCATGCTTGGAGCTTTGGCATCTTGGGGTTCACCAGACTCCTCTTCGGCCTTTCTGGCGCTCATTTCCTTGATCTGGTCCTCACATTCTTCGGTCAAGCAGTGTGGAATCATGCATATATTCTTGGAGTTCAGGGCAGGGCAGAAATCATCCCAGTTAGTGATCTTCTTAAGGTTCTCATCAAATGATGCCTTAGCACGAGAGTAGAGGTCCGCTTGGATAGTCTCAAGCAAGGCGGGAACAGCGGTACCCAGGTCTTTAATCTGAATGGAGGATTTGCCCTCCTTTCCAGCGATGTCACGACGCGAGGTAGTGACAAAGGAGCCTGCAGATTCCCCAGGGCCAAATTCTAGGCGGAGAGGGATACCCTTCAGCTCCCAGTCATTGAACTTCCATCCAGGGGTATACCCATCACGCCTGTCAACTTCAACGCGGACGCCAGCTGCAGATAGAACCGTGGCTATGGCTTCAATCTCAGCCATTATAGCTGCGCGCTCCTCATCTGGGGTTTTTGCGCCCAGACCAACGGGGACAATGACGGTTTGGATATCGGCAACACGTGGTGGAAGAACCAATCCACGGTTATCACCATGGATCATGACCATCACACCGATGGTTCGAGTAGACAGACCCCAAGAGTTCTGCCAGACATGCAATGGTGGCTTCTTCTCGTCTGGGCGGGCAGACGGATCCTCAACAGTGATACCGAACATCTTGCTAAAGTTCTGGCCAAGGCCGTGAGATGTTCCTCCTTGAATTCCACGTCCAGTGGCTGGAATGTATCCTTCTACGGTAGTGGTATAGAGACCACCGGCAAATTTCTCTTTGTCAGTCTTCTGACCCTGGATGACAGGGACAGCGAGAAGCTCTTCATAAACATGAGCATAGTGCTGGAGAATCTGGAGAACCTCCGTATGAGCTTCTTCTCTTGTTAAATGAGCAGTGTGGCCTTCTTGCCATAGGAACTCTCTTGTACGCAGGAATGGCTGTGGGTTCTTGAACTCCCATCTCACGACAGAGTTCCACTGGTTGAGTTTGAGTGGCAGGTCGCGGTGACTTCGAATCCATTTGGCGTAGTATGGGTACATAACAGTTTCGGAAGTGGGACGAATGGCTATTTTCTTCTCAAGAGGAGAGTTTCCACTGTTAAGTACTGTCAGTTGGATGTTTTGGCAGCCACTGAAAGAGACAACGGGGGTAGTGCTTACGCATGAGTCACCCAAGCTACCTCGGCAGCAAAGCCCTCTATATGGTCTTTTTCCTTCTTCAAAACATCTTCAGACACGAATAGAGGAAATGAGCAGTTCTTGACATTCATCTGCTTTATTTTGGCATCAAACCAGCTCTGGATCTGTTCCCATATGAAAAAGGAGTGAGGCTATAGCCATAGTTAGTGACTTGCTGTGACTCCCCAGCCTGTAAACCAAACTGTAGCAGCAAAAACCAGCATACCTTGAGGACAAAGCATCCAGATACATCATAGTAGTCCAGCATCTCGCCCTTGAGCAATACCTGCTGGTACCATGCTGCAAAATCGTCCTCCTTGGCCACATCTATACCGATCAGCGCAGGTCCATCGCCCTTCTTCTTTGCCGGCTTCACGGCCGCGTGCTTCGTTCCACTGTGGCCAATCCCTTTATCTGCCTTATCTGCCTTCCCGGCCTTGCCCTGAGCAAGCTTCTCCTTCTTAGCAGCCTTCTTCGCGGCGTTCTTCGAGATCTCTGCTGGCTGGGGGGCGCCAGCGTCGCCTGCGGGGTTTGCGCTGCGCTCAGGAAGCGAAGTCGGCTCGGTCGCGGCGGCGGGAGCAGCGGATTCCTGGCCCGACATGGCTGTTCCTTCGAGTAGCAACCAGTATCAAGCTGTGTTGAGCAGTAGAGAAGAGCTGAGGTCGTGAAGCGCCGGATGCTGTGAAGCTGTACATGCAATTTTGTCCTTCTTTTTCCCCCACACGCACAAAAGTTTGGAGGGGTCGAAAATGCCACACAAAAAGAGTTTCACCGCCTTCGAGGTGGCAGAATGGGCCCAAAAGCTGCTTTTTGTTCTTTTTGCGCTGGACAAGAAGCGAAAAACAACCGACGGCCACCATTCTTGTTTGCGGCTCTTTGAACGACGGTTATACAGGCTCGAGGCACCGGCAGACGAAGGCATTCAGGCGCTGAGAGACGGCCATGGCAAGCATCTTTGAGCAGTCGCGGAATTCCGGGACGCTGTGTGAGTTGAGCCCCTTGTTTTTGCTTGCTTGACCCGCAAGGCAGCTAAGCTGACAGGCCGCCGTTTGGTATGCCAGTCCTAGGAGGAACCAAGCTGAGTGGCTCTGACATTCGCGATCAGAATGGTGCGTTGAAGCTCTCTCTCGATGGATGCAGCTGTTGTTTCTAAGGCGTCTTTCCAGTTCTCGCAACACAGGCCATTGCCAATGTGGTGAAAAGCTCGTTTGGCCCCTCCGGGCTAGATAAGATGATGGTGGATGATATAGGGGTAAACATCGCCAATTCGACCTTGGTTTATACTGGTTGTGCTTACATTTGGCACAGGATGTCACAGTCACAAACGATGGAGCTACGATTTTGAGCTTACTCGATGTCGAACACCCGGCTGGAAAGATCTTGGTCGATCTCGCTCAGCAGCAAGACAAGGAGGTACTTCAATCTTTTGTTGCATACATATCAGCAAGTATCAACGGCTCTCTGACGATCAACTAGGTTGGAGATGGCACAACTTCGGTTGTGTTGATAGCAGCGGAGCTCCTTCGACGTGGAAACGAATTGATGAAGAACAGGATACATCCCACCACCATCATAACCGGATACAGGTTAGCCCTCCGCGAGGCAGTAAAGTATATGAACGAAAACATCAGCATCAAGGTTGAAAACTTGGAGAAAGATAGCATGCTGAACATCGCCAAAACCTCCATGTCCAGCAAGATTATCGGGTCGGACATGGATTTCTTTGCAAAGATGGTTGTTGATGCTATGCTCTCTGTCAAGACGACATCTCCCAAGGGTGAAGTAAAATACCCCGTCAAGGCGGTCAATCTGCTTAAAGCACACGGAAAGAGTGCCACGGAGTCGATACTGGTCAACGGTTATGCTTTGAACTGCACTATCGCGTCTCAGGCCATGCCCACCAGAATAACAGATGCAAAAATTGCCTGTCTTGACATGAACCTTCAGAAGGAGCGAATGAAGCTCGGAGTTCACATTACTGTTGAAGATCCAACCCAGCTGGAGAAGATCCGTGAGCGAGAGGCTGGCATTGTCATTGACAGAATAGAGATGATCCTCAAGGCCGGTGCCAACGTCATCTTCACCACCAAGGGAATTGATGACATGTGCTTGAAGATGTTTGTGGAAAAGGGCGCCATGGCTGTTCGACGGTGCAAGAAGGAAGACCTGCGAAGAATCGCTAAGGCTACCGGTGCCACTCTCCTCAGCACACTCTCCGACCTCAACGGAGATGAGAAGTTTGAAACCTCCAGCTTGGGCTACGCAGACGAGGTTGTGCAGGAGAGAATATCCGATGACGAGTGCATTTTGGTCAAGGGAACCAAAGTCTTCAGCTCCGCGTCAATCATCCTCCGTGGATCTAACGATTTCCAACTAGACGAGATGGAACGATCAGTCCATGATTCTCTGTGTGCTGTCAAGCGAACACTTGAGAGTGGTTCCATTGTTCCAGGAGGCGGTGCTGTAGAGACAGCTCTTCACATCTACCTTGAGGAGTTTGCAAGCACAGTGGTAAGTAGACTCTGATTATAACATTTTACATTTGGAAAACCCCCAATTGACCACCCATGTTTAGAGCTCCCGAGAGCAACTTGCAATCGGTGAATTTGCCCAGTCTCTGCTCATCATCCCCAAGACACTGGCTGTCAATGCTGCCAAAGACGCATCCGAGCTTGTAGCTCAGCTACGCTCTCGCCACGCCCACGCCCTTCGTGTCCAAGAGGGCGTTGCCAATGAAGCCGATAAAGCTATCGCCAAGCAAAAGAACTATCGAAACTACGGGCTCGAGCTCCTGAAGGGCCGAGTAACTGATTCCGTCAAGGCTGGTGTCTTGGAACCCAGCATGAGCAAAGTGAAACAGCTTAAGAGTGCCGTCGAAGCATGCATTGCCATCATGAGAATCGATACCATGATTAAACTGGATCCCGAGAAGCGCGAAGATGACGGACATGGCCATTAGATTTAATGTTGGAACGGAACCGTGTACCATGCATGTTATATGATAGCTTGTCCGAGCTACTACAGCATAATGCATATCTCTTAATGTCCTGGAAAGAGAAAAGAATATAAAAGCTTCGATTCGCATAGACTGCACTACTATTTTGCGTCTAGTTTTGGACGTGGTTTTTTGATTAATGGGAAATAAGGAGAGGGTGATATGCTATATTGAAAGTATCATAACTCGCTAATTCTGTAGTGTATGGATATGCTAAAACTAAACGAAAATATTCCAGCCGAGAGAGAAAGTAAGGAAGACAACGCCGAAGGTTCAACCCTATCTCCCGAGAGATGTCATCATGAGTATAACGCTTGTAAGGAAAGAGAAAATAAGTTCAATTACGCTTCGTCGTCATCATAGGATGGATCTTTGACGTCTGCCCAACCGCACTGCCATCGTTGTCCGTTTATATCCCTATCACGTCGGAGTTTTCGAGCCGCGGGGCCCTCACGCCAGCACCTTGCATGCAAATCATCGCTGACAGTGACCAATTCACCCCCATGTGCCCATGAGACAGCAGTAACTTCTTTATTATGACCCTCAACCAGGGCTGTTCCATGTTGGTATATGGGGATAGTATGTTCTAGTCTGTCAGAGAGACTTGAGCTGGAGTTTGACCTTCGAAGACAAGGACGGAGACGATGTTCAGCAGTGGACTGTATGGGAGGTAAGGATGTGTTGGCGGTTGGGGTAGTAGACGGAGGCTGGTTGGTGGACGATGCAAGGGAAGGAGTAAGGTATCGTTCATTTGTGGGGAAGAGTATGGCACAGTTATCACTGCTTCCAACCGACAGAAGTTCAGTCTTATCGTCGGCTGGTCGACGGAGCCCAAGCTTAACGAAAAACGAACCAACCATCAGCCGTGGGTGACGGAAGCCGTACAGAGGGCCTAGACCGGCCTTTGCCTCTTCAGCAGGATATCGTCGTCCGGGAGTGTTGTTGGGCTGTGACATTTCAGGAGAGTTGCCCAGGAGAAGATGGGGGGTCGAATATGCATAAATAGTACCATCTCTGCAGAGGGTGTAGAGTCTACTTCCGTCTGTGTTAAAGGTTAGAGAGGTCAGGCCGAACTGGCGGAAGCGAGAATGACTGTCGGGCTGACGGGTTGAAGCCAGCGGAACAGCAGCTCGTCGTAAAGTGTATGCAGTTCGAAGATCCCACAGTCTCACACAGGCGTTTGATTCCGAGGAGGTAACAAACAAGTGTTCACGGCCTGGGTTCAGGAAGGAAACCGACGTGACGGTCGTGTCATCACGACGTAGCTGGGATTCCTGCTCAGACTTGGTACGAGCTCTCTCCAGGTGTGCACCTGTAATGGTCTTGGACGTTTGAGCGTACTTCATCTTGGCCGGTGGCCTGAGAGTGTCATCATCATCATCACCAAGAGAACATTGCAACCGGAAAGCTGGCTTGTCATAGGCCTTGTATCTTAGATCCCATATATTGACGCTGCCATCTCGGCTGCACGTTGCAACTACGTTGTTGTTGCTTCCAGGCTGGAACTGCACCCGTTTGACGGAGCAAGTATGCTTGGACAGAGAGTAGATAGGGGTCTGGGTAGTCATATCAATAATGTGGGAGGTTTGATCTCCGGATGCTGTGGCTAACAGTTTATCATCGCTGGAGAATTCAAGATCCATTATGGAGTTCTTATGCATGGATGGGAATGATAAATACGCGCTAGAAAACCCATTCTCAACATCGGGAGAGGTATCCAGTAGCCTGATACCACCAGCTTCATCCCCGACAGCAACCAAGGAATTGGCTTTATATTGTTAGTTTTTAACTTTATATAATTGTGGTTCAGGGGTGTATAGAAAGAACAACTTACTGTTGCACGAGGCGGTACAATATGGTGTTACCGGATACTCCCCTTTCCAGCAAGCATGACTATCTTCAGACTTGCTATAGAAGCTTGCCGTCTCGTCCTGCCAGTCTATCAAGAGTCAGTTTTGATACTCCGCTAAAGCATGCATATATAGTCTGGCTGGTACGTACTGATGCCACTTGAAGCCCGTATAGTCGTTCTGGAGCGTCTGGACAGACCAAAGCTGCGTACATGTAAGCTTGATGACGTTTGGCCTAGAACCTTAGACCGACGCAACGGAGCTGGCATTTGAAGAGTCTCAACCGGCTCCTCGGCTTCTGGCTCATCAACCTCATCAGCCGGGGCAAAGATATTGCCTTTCTTCGGTGACGATGCATCATCAAAGATTGGCGGTGCAATTCGCACTCGTCTCAGCGGGGATGATTGGAGAGGAGGCGAGCTTAATCCGCAGAAGGAGAGCTTTCTCTTCTTGCTAGGTGTACGGAACGAATCCTGGCACGGTGAAGAACTGGTAATTGCGCAGTCACTGCTATCAGGAACGCCAGGAAACGCCGGTCCCAGCCTGTTCAAGGCCGGAGAGGACGTGATCTCCTGCAGAGCGTTTCGTATGGACCGGCTCCGGGTATTGGGAGCGTTGAGAGACGACCTGGGGGTGAAGAAGCGCCGAAACGACCGGGGAGCGACTGGAGGCTTCTTCTTCGGCTTCATAGGAGGAGGAGAGGAGGGCAGCGTGTCCTCGGTCGCATTGAGCGAGGGAGGAGATGATGGGACGGCATCGTCTTCGTGGACATCAACCATGGCTGCTGCAGTTATTGTTCAATATATTGATTGACACCGCGGACGGACGAGAGCGAACCGAGTCCCCTTTGTCCCTTGTAAATAGCCACTCTCAATTCATCTAGTAGTAGGTAGGATCAATAAGATACAAAATCGTGCTGGTGAATGAATATCCTCGACGTTGCCAGCCAGCGTCTTCCCGCCACCGACGAAAGAAAAAAAAGAGATAAGATGCGATGTTCGCTTTCGTGCTGCGGCTTTCACGTCGCGCGCGAGTCACGAAAAAAAAAACAATATTTCCTTATTTAGACCCGCAAAGAGGTAAAAGTCTTGGCAAAACGCAACTTTTTTTACGTGACGCGCAGTTGGTCCGTGCTTTCCTTCTTTGATTTTTAGCCTCGGCTTAGGCCAAAAGGGGACTAGCGCCGATGTTCCTGAAAAGGGCAGGCGGTGAGGTGACTTCTTGGCGCGGCAGAAAAGTAGCTTATGTAATATGAAATCTTAAAGTTTATATTTTTTTTTTTGCTTTTCGATAGGAAAAAAAGATAAAAAATTAAAGAATAAAAAAAGTGATTGTTGACGGCCTGGATTGAAGACGGGAGCTCTTTGGCCAGCAATTCGTCAGGACAGCGCTATGATGGCGCAGATAAAGAGGAAAGGCCACGGCCAGGATGAGCCAAGCAGCTCTACGCCGAAGAAAAAGGCCAAGGTGGACGCTGAAGAGCTCAATGGCGCTTCAAAGCTGAAGAAGAAATCCAAGGAGCAGAAGGAGCAGAAGGAACAGAAGGAGGCCGTGAAAGTGAGCAAGAAGGATACAAGCGCCGTTTCGAAAGCTGCGCCGATATCAATGCTGCGAGATGAACAGCCTGCCTTTCCTCGGGGTGGTAACAACGTGCTCACCCCTCTTGAACGGAAGCAGATACAGATTCAAGCTACCAAGGACGTCTTATTCGAGCAAAAGGGGAAGAACGGTGCGGAATTTGCGAATAGTGAAGATGAAGGAAGCTTGGGCGCAGTAGAAGATAAGAAGGATGCTGGTACCAAATCGAAAAAAAGGAAAGCAAAGGCATCGAAGACCAAAGAGGCGCCAGCAGCAGCTAAACAAGGAGTGAAGGTTGAATCCCTCACTTACAAGGTAAGAAGTGATGCTACTACTGTTGTTAAATCTGACCATCAGCTAATTAATAATAGCGTATTGCAGTAGGATCTAGAATTCTGGGCCAGGTCTCGAGCATAGGTCTCCACGATATCTCACTGGCTCTTCCAAATAACCTGACGGGCTTTGTGCCGCTAAACGCAATTTCTAAATCTTTGACCAGAAAAGTTGAGGCTATGCTGGGAGATGACAAGAGTGAAGACGAGGAGGACGAGGACGATGACCTTGAGTTGAAGAACTATGTCAGAGTTGGGCAATATTTGCGCGCAGCTGTCACCGCCACTATCAGAAATGAGGATGATAGGAAAGTGAAAAACAAGAAACATATTGAACTCTCTATTGAACCTCATGCTGCAAACTCGGGCCTAACAAAGGCCGATATGGTGGTCAATGCTACAGTCCAAGCTTCGGTTATAAGTGTCGAAGATCATGGCCTCGTTATGGATCTGGGCTTGGAAGACAATGAAGCCAAGGGGTTCATTTCCTCTCGAGAGTTACCTGCGGGAGTTGACATATCCACTGTTAAAGAGGGATCAGTCTTCTTATGCATTGTTACCGGTCAAAATGCCAGCGGGACTGTCATTAAGCTCTCTGCAGACCTTCCTTCCGCTGGTTCTGTCAAAAAGGCCCATTTCCTAAACACGGCGCCAACAATCAATGCATTTCTGCCAGGAACTGCCGCTGAGATACTAATTACTGAAGTGACTCCCCGCGGGATGATTGGAAAAATCATGGGAATGTTAGATGCTGTGGTAGACGTTATTCACTCTGGGGCTAGCGACGGGAAAAAGGACCTGACTACAAAGTACCATGCAGGTGCAAAGATCAAGGGCCGGCTCATCACCACATATCCCTCCAGTGATCCAGTCAAACTTGGTTTCTCCATTCTTGACAGTGTTCTGAAGTTCTCTCCCACGGCCACCCTTGTGAATGGAGCCGATGATGACCTGCCCTCAATCTCAGATATAATACCCGAGGTTAAGGTTACCTATGTCGATAGCTCCCTGGGATTGTACGTTCAACTGGGCTCTACCAAACATCAAGGGTTCGTACATCTCTCCAGGCTTGCAGATGGACGAGTTGATTCTATTTCCTCTATCGAGGGACCATATAAAGTAGGTTCAACTCACGAAGGCAGGATAATTGGCTTCAGTGCTATGGACAACCTGTTCTTGGTGTCTTTGGAGCCAAAGATCATTGAACAGCCTTTCTTCCGTCTCGAGGATGTGACTGTTGGTAGCGTTGTGAAGGGAAAGATTGAGAAACTTCTCATTAAGCCGGAAGGTATCAATGGGTTGATAGTCTCTTTGACAGATAGCATTTCTGGCCTTGTACCAGAAATGCATATGGCTGACACCAAACTACAACACCCGGAGAAGAAATTCCGAGAGGGTCTCAAAGTCTCCGTTCGAGTTTTGTCTGTCGATCTACAAAAGCGTCAGCTCAGGTTGACTCTGAAAAAATCACTTCTGAACAGTGATTCAGCTCCTTGGAAGGACTACGAAAGCATCTCGGCAGGTAGCCGATCCCCGGGAACCCTGATCAAAATTCAGAACAATGGAGCGATTGTGCAGTTCTATGGCGCCGTCAAGGGTTTCCTCCCAGTCTCCGAAATGAGCGAAGCCTACATTAAAGACCCTTCACAACATTTTACTGTTGGTCAGGTCGTTAATATACATGCTCTTACCGTTGATGCAGAGAATGAAAGATTGGTTGTCTCGTGCAAGGACCCCTCTACTGTGACTGCAGACTACCAATCGGCTTTTGAAAATGTTCATCCAGGACTTGTAGTTTCTGGAACCGTTTTCGAAAAGTCAAGCGATGACTTGCTTATCAAATTACAGGACTCAGGCCTGATCGCAAGACTTACTTCCGACCATATCTCCGACGGCTCCTCGACAAAACGTACGTCTACTCTGAACCGTATCAGAGTTGGTCAGAAGATGGACGGTCTTTTAGTTTACAGAGTGAAAAAATCCCATCGCCTCATCGAAGTTACCAACAAGGCTACTCTCAAGGAAGCCGCCGCTGAGGGAAGGTTACCAGCCAAATTCGAAGACATCAAACACGGTTTGAAAGTAACTGGCATCGTCAAGAATATCATCCCCGAGGGAATATTTGTGGAATTTTTGGATAACCTCACCGGCCTGATACCTAAGCGCTTGGTTGATGATGATCATGCTTCTCGACCTGATTTCGGATACAGTCGATTCCAGGTGATCTCCGCTACAGTTTGCGCCGTACAAGAGGATTCGGACCGTTTCCTTCTTAGTTTAAAACCTGTGTCAAAGCTCAAACAGCAGTCTGACTCCAGCTCAGCATCAGAAAAGAAGGCTCCTGCTGTGGTCTTGAATAATCCCATTGATGAGGAATTGAAGGCTATGGAGGACATTGTAGTTGGAAAGATCACCAAAGCCAAAATTACATCGGTCAAGGATACACAGCTCAATGTTGTTCTAGCCGACAACGTTCAAGGAAGAATCGATATTTCTGAAATATTTGACTCCTGGGAAGACATCAAGGACCGAAAACGCCCTCTTAAATCATTCCACTCCAAGGCGATCCTTCCAGTCAGGGTTCTTGGAATTCATGACGCTCGAAATCACAAGTTCCTGCCCATCAGCCATCGGTCTGGTAAAGTATCGGTTTACGAGCTCTCTACTAAGCGCAGCTGCCTTCAGGCGAGTGAGTTCAAACCTCTTCATCTGGAACAACTTAAGGTTGGGGACCGTTATATCGGATTCGTGAACAACATTGCGGAAGACTGTCTATGGTTGAACATTTCACCTAATGTACGAGGGCGGCTTCGCATCACTGACATTTCCGACGATATTTCAATCAGAGGAAATATCCAGAAGAATTTCCCTATCGGCTCGGCACTACAAGTGGCTGTAACCGGGATAGACGTTGAGAAAAATCGACTTGACTTGTCAGCAAGGATCGGAAGTTCAGCTAAGACACTGACCGTTGCGGACCTATCCAAGGGGATGATACTGGTGGGACGAGTTACCAAAATAACTGACCGCCAAGTGTTGGTCCAAATTAATGACAATGTTGTCGGTGCTATTTCTCTTATTGATATGGCCGATGATTATACCAAGGTCAACCCAACTAACTTCCACAAGAACGAAGCTCTGCGTGTCTGTGTTGTCGATGTCGATATTCCAAACAAGAAGATTTCTTTCTCTGTTCGGCCATCAAAGGTTCTTAGTTCCTCGTTGGCTGTTGTCGATCCTGAAATAACTTCAATCGATAACCTCAAGGTCGGCCAGATCGTCCGTGGGTTTGTTCGAAGAGTTGACAACATTGGAGTCTTTGTGACTCTAGGACACGATGTGACCGCTTATATCCGAGTTTCAGATCTTTCGGATTCGTTTTTGAAGGAGTGGAAGGATGAGTTCCAGGTTGACCAGCTCGTTCAAGGTAGACTTACAGTCGTGGACAAGGACAACAACAAGATACAGATGTCACTGAAGAAATCAGCGTTGGATCCCAACTATAAACCGCCTTTCAATCTAAAGGACTTAAAGATTGGTCAAATTGTTACCGGTAAGGTTCGAAAAGTCGAAGAGTATGGTGCTTTCATTGCCATTGACGGCAGTGCCAACCTAAGTGGGTTGTGTCACAGGTCCGAGATGGCAGAGAAGCGTGTCGAAGATGCTACCCAGCTGTACGAAAAGGATGACATCGTCAAGGCAAAGGTCTTGAAAGTTGATCTGGAGAAAGGCCAAATCGCGCTAGGCTTGAAAGCATCATACTTCAGGGATCTCCCAGAAGAGGAAGAGAGCGACGCCAATTCCAGTGATGATGAAGCAGGCGGTATCAAGCTTGATGTTGGAAGCGATTCAGACGACGATGTATCTATGGGAGGGGTTGACCTTGAAGGAGAAGACGACAAAGAGGAAGAGGAAGATAGTGATGAAGATATTGAAATGGAAAACGCTCCTGATAGCACTAAAAAGGGCGGACTTGTTACCTCTGGCTTTGACTGGACTGGCGATGGAGATAAAGACATGAATGAGACTGCCGATGAGTCTACTGAGGATGATGGCGCTACCAAGAGGAAAAAGCGCCGGAAAGCTGAGATTCAAGTGGACAGAACTGGCGACCTGGATGCTAATGGACCCCAGACTGTTGCTGACTATGAACGGTTACTTCTTGGAGAGCCAGATTCTAGTCTGTTGTGGTTGAAGTACATGGCTTTCCAGTTGGAGCTGGGAGAAGTGGACAAGGCAAGAGAAATTGCCGATCGTGCTTTGCGAACCATGAGTATTGGACAAGATACAGAGAAGCTCAATGTCTGGGTTGCACGGCTCAATCTGGAAAATACCTTTGGCAATGACGACACTCTTGACGAGGTCTTCAAGAGCGCCTGCGAGTATAACGATGCTCATGAAATATACGACAGGATGATAAGCATATTCATTCAATCAGGCAAAGCAGAGGTAAGCATATATGCACCACCCACGCAACCATTATTCATACTAATAAATATATAGAAAGCGGATGAGCTTTTCCAAACTGCCCTGAAGAAAAAGGTCTCTTCCACCCCAGATTTCTTCTTAAACTATGCAAACTTCCTGTTTGATACCATGGAAGCTCCTCAGCGGGGCCGTGACCTACTCCCCCGTGCATTACAATCTCTACCTCCCCATACCCATGTTGAAGTTACATCCAGATTTGGTCAGCTGGAATTCCGCTCCCCTAACGGAGATATCGAGCGTGGAAGAACAGTATTTGAGGGTCTCTTGTCCTCGTTCCCCAAGCGCATTGATTTGTGGAATGTGTTGTTGGATTTGGAAATCAAAGTTGGTGATGAAGAGCAAGTGAGACGGCTCTTTGAGCGCGTGCTTGGAATCGGCCATGGTGTTGTCGCAGCCGATGGAACCAAAGGAGGCCCCAAAAAGAAACTAAAAGAAAAGCAAGCCAAATTCCTTTTCAAGAAATGGCTTGCGTTTGAAGAGAAGATTGCCCCTGAAGGGGATACAAGGATGGTGGACGAAGTCAAAGCTCGTGCCGCAGATTATGTCAGATCTATCAAAGGAGATGCTTGAAAGAGGCTCTTATAGATTAAGGCTCTTCGTTTTATATTTTGTTTATACTGTCAAGCGTTTGCCTTCTAGATCCTCGCTGGTGTCTTGTGTATTTACAAAAAAGTTTAGATTATGATACCTGGAATGTCATGATAAGGATATCTTTGAAAATATATACCGGGCTCAAACCAAGAGAATTTTATTCTCTCTTGCTAGCCATAAGTTTTCTATACTGCTCCACGATACTTTGTCTCTCGCTGGCTAGCTCTTCTCTTCGTCTCAAACTACCAGCAGCAGCAGGGACATCAGCAACATGAACCTTTGCACCTCCCATTCCGCGCACTTTGAATATTTCTCTGGGTTTTGCCAGTTTCTCTGGAGGGGCTTGAACAACGTCAGCCGGATTGATTGGCTTGGTAATGTTTGCTCTCTTGTTCAATTTTGCCCATGGATCGTCGTCGTCATCGCTACTTATGGCGTGGTCGTCACCATTGCCATCATCAATTCCCTTCTTCTTTTTCTTCTTCTTTTTCTGTGCTAAGCTGGTTTTCTTGCTTTTCCCCTTGACGCTAGCTCCGGCTTCACGCTCCCATTCCTTCCATAGATCATTAATCTCCTCCTCCTCTCCTTCAGCTTCCTCAATTGCAGCCTGACGTTTCTCTCGGAACTTTCGATCTTCTTCACGCCATTGGCTTTGTAGCCGTAACAATCTCTTCTCATGCTTTGTTTGTCGAGTATCCCTTATTTTTCCCAACGCAGCGTCCTTTCCTCCCTTTGATAGCGATGCTCGTTTGGCTAATTCGGAAAATGGGAGCGCACGATCAACTCGAGCAGCAAACTCAGATATCCTTTCTCCTGGTAGAATCTTGGGAATATTTGCGTCCTTTGCGTCCGCTGCAGCCTTCGCTTTGCTATTCTTGTTTTGTGTTTTCTGCTGGTTTGTGTCATTTTGGCGTTTCCTTTTGCGACTGTTCTGTTCGCTCGAGTCTAACTCCGTGTCTCGGTCTCCTTGTTTCCGCTTGCCATTTGATTCCTGATATACTCGCATGAGCCGAGCGAAGGCCTTGGGGGTGTCATCTTGCAGCGTTTTTGTAGTAGACTTCTTCTGCTTGGGCCCTTTTCTTGTGTCTTGTCCACCTTTGGACTTTACATCGGCTTTTTCAAGTCTAGTAGGGAGGGATTTTGCTATCGAAGTTGGAGGGAGATCATAATCGTCACTATTAACCTGTGAGTATTCGAAGACATATACGCAAGAATAGCACAGCAAAACCAGGATAAGCCTTTACTCACTCTCCGTTCCCTCGTCTCTTGTGTTTGTGAGGCATACTGAAATCGCAGTGTATTCAAATGTGGTCGTTGTTATTTCTTAGTTTTATCTTTTCCACTTTTCGACCTTTGAAGATTTGAAGAATTTAGAGTTTTGGGGCTGATGCCAAGACCTTTTCCTTTTTGTTGACGATTTTCGACTTTCGGACTTTCAATCAACGTCAGTCGAAGACAACGACGACGATACGCTCAAGATGTCTCTGAAATCCGAAGAGATGACACTATTGCATGAGATAGACGCATACGGAGAATTAGGAGTTTAATCATGTCACCGGAAATATACCCAACGCAGTTTGCGTTCCTCCATATCGAGAATGCTCTGAGATACGCGGGATGAAAAGCAAAAGACATAGAGAGATATCGATTATCGTATGTACAAAATGAATTTCAATGTCGAAATAACTAATTGGGGATCTATTTAACAGGAATGTGGGAATATGGAAAAGAGCAATATGAAACAAGAAGATTAATTAGGCAAGGCTGGTTCACGAGCATTAAGCCTTGCGCCATCTCTCGCTTGAAAAGCGTTTAGCAGGCAACTGGCAAAGCAGGGACGTCGGAGGCGGTCTCGCCAAGGGCAACCTCGGCAGCACGGCGACGGACGAGGCCAGGAAGAACCTTTCCACCTCCGTACTTCCACTGGGGGAGCTCCTCGCGGAGGACGGTGTTGACGTCCTCGAGAGCGTTGAGACGCTGAAGGAGGCTGGAAGTGGCAACGTTTCCTGGGCCGACGTTGAAGGTCCAAGAGACGAGAGCACCATACTGGTTCTCGTTGAGGTGGACACCATCAGCGGTCTTCAAGGTGATGGTCTGCTGGGGGGCCTATAGTATTATATCACTCATTAACAACTTCATGCGTCCACTTAAAGGCCATGGAAGGGTATGCATACCTTGACGTCTTGGATGAGGAGCTGGGTTGCAGTATCCTCAGTGAGAGGGAATGGGAAGCCAACTTCTCCGCAGTTCTTGCTCTGGCAGAGATGGCCGTAGCCGACGGTTGGGAGGCCAACTGGGTCAGGTGCAGGAGCTGGGACGAATCCCTCGAACTCCTTGATGAGAGCGATGGTGGCAGGGTTGACGTCTGGGCCAACACAGTCTCTGGCCGAGATCTGCATGGGAGCTGCGAGAGCAGCTGGGAGGAAGGAGATGGCAGAGATGAAGATTGAGGAGCGCATTTTGGTTGATGAATGGGTTGATTTGAAAGGTGGATTGAAGTTGGGAGTTTGGTTGGTATTGTTGTTGTTGTTCTGGTCTTTGTTGTCTGTTGTCTTGCTTCTTTGGATATTTCATGGACGGGTTCTGTCGAGGTTTATATAGACCTCTTGTCTCCGGTTTCTTTCCTCTCAAGTCAGAGTATACGAGATCATCTCTCCCCTGGACCACCGTTCCCGCAGCAGGGAGTCCATTGCTACCTCTTCGAGCACCGCGACTGGCGATGCGTGATTTCAGCCTGGTGCATAAGTTGGCTTAATCCGTATTTCTGATGACAGGAGATGGAGAGGTTGCCACATTTCGTGAAGCACAGCCTCTCATGTCCTCGAGTCCCGCTGTCCCCATTGACGATCACCAAAAGCCCTATGGCCCTCTTGCCGTGTAACGCAGCGGGGATATGGACGATCTGCGGTTTGGTCCTGCCAGTCCCCTATCCACGTTGCCCCTGAGGCTCGTATAACAGAGTGATTATTCACTAATAATAGAAACATGCTGGGGCCAGCTCGGATCAACTTAATTTGAACTGCAATGAAACATTCCTTGCACAAGACTGCTACCCTATTACTCCCTTATATTAAGGTACGATGCAGTAGTCTCGAAGTCAGGCTTGGGTGATTGGTTACATACCTCGTTTTTATGGAGGCTGTACCGTCAATCATCTCGAGTTCACTTGAGGCTGACAACGACGACGAAGCAAAGAATAGCAACATGTGTGGGCGATCAGCAACTACTCAGGACCTCAACCAAAAACCTGCCGTCCTTTGGCAGCTGAGAAATGCATGAAACTACCTGGTTTTTGGTGCAGATTGGAAGATCTATCAAATAAGATAGCCTCGGCATCGGAATTTGCCCATCGATATCAGCAGCCTCGCAGGAAAAGAAATACATGTCGAGGGATATGCCAATAATAGAATATAGAGAAAACAAGGAAACATGCGGTAAGTATATACACAAAGAATCTACAGGTCTATTCTACAAGGAGCCGAGGGCCTCTTCGCCGAACTCACGTTGAATGCTCCCTTCCGCCCTGAGCATATGGCCCAGCCAATCTCGGGCATTCTCAAAGTCTGGAGCACCAAACTTCACGAGGACAAATCCATTGCGTACTCGAGCAGCCGTCCACGTTACATTTCTGTGGCGCATCTCTGCCGGTTCTGTCGTGTCGTCGTGACTATCATATTTCTCGTTGTTATTGACATGCTCGTTCGTGTGTGTGGGATAGTACGTGGAGCTCGACGACCAATTCTGACCGCCGATCCTGGGTTGTGAAGTAAAGGCCTCCATGAAGAAGTCAGCCAGGGACTCGAACAGTGGTCCGTGGATGATCAGCGTCCCCAGTACGCCATGAGGATGAGCGCGAGAGCGGACTGAGGTCTGTGACTGAATGGAAGACATATGGCTCCCTGCAGAGCTGTCAGGAACACTGGCATCTGGTTGCTTCTGCGCGGCTGTCTCATTGTTCAATATCACAGCATCTCGGAGCAGCAGCCTCCTCTTCCCGGTCTTACAGTCTTCGAGCCAGATTTCATTTCTCCCGGTCCATGAATCGAAAGACCAATTCTCTCCTCTGGCGCTACGCCCTTCCGTCACCCAGTCGAGGACACAGAGGCTGCCCTTGTGGGCCGGTTTAGTGACACCTTCGTCGCCCTGCGAGCTGCCTGCAGCCTTGCTGTGGTCCCCGTGGAGCAGAGTGAATGTCTGGAATTGGTCATACCGACTATCTGCAAATGGCGCAGATGGATCAGGCAGCAAGCACAACCCAGACTCACGGCCCAATTGGACTTTGAGGGTCTGTTTGCTCCGGTCATTATCGGTCTTGGGGATGGGTCTTTTCCTGCCACCCTGGGCCTCGGTCTTGTATATCTTCGTGCTCCCCTGTGGAGTGGTGACCACAAGCCTTCCCCTTGGCTTGACTGTCACAGAGACATCAATGTGGTCTCCCGGAAGAAGACCACCGCCGTAGGTAAGAAGATAGAGGTGTAACGGGGGTGTGGCGGTAGCCGGGTACCTGGACTTTAATTCACCCTCAGGAGTGCGCGAGAGGAGCTTAAGAGGATAGTTGTAAGAAACGGTCGATAGAGACGGGATAGCCGGTGGAAGGACTGTGAGAACGACCTCGCCGCGGCCAGAGCTGTTGGCAAAGGCCGAGGGCGCAAAGGGGGAGTTGAGAATCGGCATTGCGCCGTGTCTAGGTCAGGGGCTTCCTCATCGATTGACTGCCGCCACGTAGTTAGTTCCAAGGAGCTATCAAAAGCGCACGAGCAGGCAGTCTCTGAAGAGAATAGCGATCCTTGAAGAAACGAACCAGCAGTGATGATGGGAAAAGGTGAAGATCTGAAGCCGTTGAAGATGAAAAAGCTGGAGTTGAAGAAGTTGAAGATTATCAAAACCGCTTTTTGCGGGGGAAAACGGGAAAGATAAGCAGTTATTACCGTACCTTGTAATATTACATACGGTACAGCTTATCCTGGCTTATCGTGTGGAAAATGACAGTACCTGTATGTAATAACGCATACCATACAGTAAGACCGACTGCAGCCTAACTTTTTTTCTCTTGCGCGCGTTCAAGTTTATCGAAAAAACAACGTCGAGACGGCTTCAACTTCGATGAATCTCGAGGAACGAAGCGAACTGATATCTCAGATCTCCTCTGGCCTGCTGAGTGTCATCTCCCCGAGCAGCTCGCACTGTTGCCCTCCCCCACTGGCCCATTTTCTTGCGCGGAAAGCAAAAGGCAAAACATCTAAATAGCGCGTCGCTTGAAGCTAGCTATATTACATTAAGTTGACCAGGAAGCCTTGCTAGAACAACCGTCTCACCACCAAGAATAGCGAGGTACCGCTGCAGAAGAGCCTGAATATCGATCGCGTTACCGTATACGATGGAGGCACCTGAGGATCGTGGCTCGAGTCCGCTCTCCGAGGTGGGCAGCGAGGCCGCACTTCAGGAAGACCAGAGACCGTCCAGACGACAATCAGGGCGCGTTAGGCGGAAACCAGAGATATTCTCTTCGCAGACATTCAATTCGAGCCGTCCAAAGCGGAAACGGCAGTCTGAGGGTCACGATAACGAAGACGACGCGTCAAATGATGAATCCGACCAGGCGCAACAAGAGGACGAAGTCGATGAGGACGGAGAGGACGATGAAAGTGAAGAAAGCGAAGGAGAGGCCGATGATGAGGAATTTACGGCACGCAGACAGGCGAAGAAAAGGGACTCGTCCAGCAGGAAACAACAGAACAAGAAGTCAAAGGCGAAGCCGGCTGCTAAGAAGCAAAAGATCATGAACGGGATATCAACGGAGCTCGCCTTGCGTCCTATCATGAATGGGCAGAAACCGAAGCCGCCAAGTAGGAAGAAGAAGCCTCGAATGAGACAGAGTGAACTCGGTGACGAGGAGGGGTTATACGGTGCGTACGCCTTATTTAATATCTTTTTTCTTTCCCCGGTGGTATTGCTAACGCGAATATAGCGGAGGTGTTTGGACGCGGTCATACTACTGAAGCTGTTGCGGCGGAATGGCTTACGAAATACGAAGAGCACAATATTAATGCAATGCGAGACCTGATCAATTTTGTCCTGAGATGCTCCGGAACTGATATCAAAGTTGAAAGCACTGATATCGAGGATGTGGACAATGTTTCCAACCGCCTCACAGACATCCAGGAAGAGTACCAGGCACAAGATATAACCGACTACCCGCTTGTGTCGAAAGCAAAGAACCTCAAGTCTTTCCAGTCCGTCTTGACCAGCTTTTTTGATGACCTTATTCGGACCATTCACAGCGCTTCTATCCTCTACAGTGACCCGGCCCTCTTCGAAAATATCCAGGCGTGGATCAGCTCAATGTCATCGGCCCCTATCAGACCGTTCAGACATACCGCCACGATTATCTCCCTGACAATCATGACTACGCTCTGCCATATTGCTAAAGAGGTGTCCTCTAGCGTGTCTAACTCACGGACTCAACTCGAGACTGAGCGGAAGAAGAAATCCGCGAACAAGGGAAGAATCAGTGCCCTACAGACCAAGATCAAGGAAGGACAGAAGAAACTAGAAGCAATTGATGACATGCTTCGCGACTCCTTTGATGCGGTCTTTGTCCACCGGTACAGAGACGTCGATCCTAAGATCAGACAAGAGTGCATGGGTCTCCTGGGCCTCTGGATCAGTCTGTACAAGGACATGTTTTTTGACGGCCAGTATCTTCGATATCTCGGATGGGTACTCTCGGATACGGTAGCAGCCACCAGATCAGTTGTTATACACCAGTTGCATAAACTGTTCCAGAATAAAGATAATATTCCTGGCCTGCGAGGCTTTACTGAGCGTTTCCGTCCTAGAATAGTGGAAATGGCTGTGAGGGATGCAGAGCCTGGAGTCCGCGCTGCTACGGTGGAACTACTGGATGTTATCCGTGATGCGGGCCTTTTAGAACCTGACGATATCGACAGCATTGGCAGGCTTGTATTTGACATTGAACCGCGAGTGCGCAAAGCTGCTGGAAAGTTCTTTGTTGCGAACATTGTTGATGTCTATGAATCGTCAACTGAGAGTATGGAGGAAGAGGTCAATGAATTTTTTGGTGAAGAAGATGAGGAAAATCATGATACCCCTAACCGATCCTGGATCAAGTTCAAGTGCCTTGTCGACATGTTGCAGGTTTACGACGCACAAGAAAGTGAACTGCACGATGAAAATGATCAGTCGACTTCTCGATACGCTTCGTTTGGCAATTCTATCGGCTCGAGATTCGTTTTAGCCACCGAATCAATTTACCCTCACTTCAAAGAGTTCGAACACTGGGAATCGTTGGCTGGATACCTTCTATATGATCATTCGCAGATCTCTGAACCCACAGATGATAACGACACAACAGCCGCCATTAAATGCCTATATAAGCTGAACGAAGGACAGGAAACTATTCTGCTAGAGGTACTCGAGTGTGCTGTCAAATTGCATATTCAGGTAGTCTCAAAATCGGATGTAGACAAAAAAGGGAGGAAGACAAAACAGTCGGTTCAGCTGATGGAAGAACGACTCGAGTCTATCGCACATAACTTGTCCCAAATAATACCCCGACTCCTGAATAAATTTGGTGCTGTACCAGAAGCTGCATCCCCAGTTCTTCGATTAGAACACCTTGTCAACCTCGATCTCATACAGGAGATACAAAAGGATGCAGCCGCCTACTCTGATCTTTTGAACAATATCAATCAACAATTCTTGACGCATTCTGATCAAGCGGTGCTAGCTGAGGCCACAGTCGCTTTCCTGCGTGCTCGATCATCAGATGAGCTGAAAGAGGCCATGGAAGGCAAGATTCAGGAACTCTGGGATGACACTGTTGATTCTTTGAATAATATACTGGAAAATAAAAAGGAACCTGAAAACGTGAAGCTGCCAAAAGGTGCTCTTGCCACGCTCTCTAGCACTGTGATGCGCATTTCGAACCTTGCTAGCATATCAGATTGCACTTCGACCCTGGAAACGGCACCACGACCAACCTCAAAGAAACAGAATAAACGTGCTGAAGCTCCTATTGGCTTACTCCTCTCGCTAGCCAAACGAAGCCTACGAGAAGAGGACGACGACGATGATGTGAACAAACTTGAGCAAGATATTGCTCTGAATACTTTCAAGACGTTGTTGGTCTACTTCATGTGGAAGATCCAAAACCTGACGGCAGCTGTTACCACTGGTAGCAATAAGGGTGCTTATGATGCTGAATACTTCGAGTCTCTATCTCAGAGACGCGAGTCCTTTATTGCAACGCTCTCTGCCCTTATGCAACCACATGGCTCGGGTTTAAAACATGTTAAGCTTGCCGCTACAACAACACTGCTTGACTTACAGACGGCGTTTGGCACACTTCGACATGCGGCGCCTCCTGGGAAGAATGTCACCTCTATGACTAAAGACGACCTGGCATTCCGAGTTCAAGAACTTCCCCAGGAGATCAGTCCGGAGATCCGCAATGTTCTATCCCGACTTCACGACAGCGCCGAACAGACGTTTGCTAAAAAATCAAAACGAAAGCTTGATGTGGCAGTAGATGCCGAGCCGGCGGAGAGTGAAAGTGAAATGGATCTCAACTCCGATGACGAGGAAGGCGATGCGAGTGATGCAGACGAGAATGAGGAAGAGGCTAAACGTTCTATCCTGCTTGCTGAGCAGAGACTCTGTGAGCTTACCGGAAAGATCGTTCTCGCTATCATTGGCCGGGTGTTAGACGTGTCTGGCCCTCAGGCCGGAAAACTGAGGCGTAAGCTACTCAGAAACAAATCGCGTTTAGGCCAGAATTATAAGGAGGTCCTTTCGTATCTGGAAGACAGCCAAAAGGATGGCCCCGCAACTCGAAGACGAGTTGCGCCCAAGGGCAAAGAACCGGAAGGCCAGGAAGATACTGCCGCTAACGGGGTTGCACCAAACACTCGCGGCGGGAAATTCAAGTCTACCGAACTGGTCGAGGATGATGACGAAGAGGAGGAAGATGTGATTGTCGGAGATGAAGATGATGAAGAAAACCTACGGGCCCGCGGCCTAATTGAAGACGAAGAAGAGGAACCTGCTGTTAGCGACGGCGAAGAAGAACGAGAAGCAGCCTCACCCTCCCCGGACGAGGATGATATAATGGGAGATTGAGCGGGATTATCCTCTGCTATCAAAATTAGAGACAGTGATGATTTTATGAACTGGGGCCCCATGTACTGGGGGAATTTCCTTGACTTCTTTTCATTCTTATACAAAGCCATTCCACCAACGGTTTGATTTACTATTAATCTGCCTGTACTTATACTTTAACTGTACTCCCCCCTGAACCTTTTTTGATTTCGAATGTTTTATACACTATTCCACGTTATAGGTACCGTGGTCTTCTACGGCGTCCTCCCATTGGTTTGAGAAACAGATATCCGTCCCCTTTTAACTACCACTCCTTTGCTCCTACTACGGTACTACCTAGACACTTTTCATGTTACATTAATGTTGCCCCAGCACCGACGAACGCAGACTTCTTGTTTATACATTATTTAGTATATATTCGCCCATGGGTGTGACCTATTCCTGGTGGCAAAAGGCTGCTTGCGGTGACAACTTCCCTGTAAACAACAATCACACTGGTCGATGATGATAGTTGTCGTAGCCAACGAATATCTGCCAGATTCCATAACAACAAC